TATTGAATGGCCTAGTGTGATATGTTTTATTATTCGAGGTGAAGGCAAATTGAGAACTGTCTTTTGTGGCTTTCCGATCATTAAATATACTGTTATGTTAATGAAGTTACACAGGATGTCATTAAAATCGTCAAAGATGAACTAAGGTACTAATAATGATACTTTATCATTAGCAAGTCAAAATTAATTCATTGCGGTTACTAGTAAAGTTTTTGGTTAGCGCAAGTTGCACTAATGCGCTACTGAGTACCGTTAGCCGAATTCTAGTTTCAAACATCAACGATTTCAATTACATCCTGTAAAATCCGCCATTTTCCTATGGCTTTAATGTATATGCTTATAATAGTAACAATTTCCGCATAACTGAGATATTTCTGAACTAGAATTAAGTATATTTTTTTAGATTTTTCAAACTGTTTTTGAATAATCGTCAGTGCATAATTTTATGTGTTTGGAGAGCATTTTCCTTTATAATCAGAAACATGTTTAATATTAATGACTTACCTGTATTAATTGTTAAGGCTATGTATAAATTGGAGTTAACGGGCATGCAATAACAGTATGATTATACTTAATCATAAAACATTGAATTTTCGATAATATATTTTTGACCATAGTTTGCGATGAGACATTAACGACCGAATACTGAAAGGCTACTAATATTAAATTGTAATTAAATATCGTCCCGTCTCTGTCATTTTACAAAGAATTTGTAGTGACAGAACTATTCTTAACCCGTCGTGTGTCTAAAGGTGGATCCACACGAGACACAATGTATTTTCTACTGTGCCTCATATATAGGCATTCAAGCAGTTTTTTTATTGAGGGGAGAAAATCATCGAATGACTTCTCCCGCCCGCGTGACGTGGGAGGGAGTGTCAGACTCTTCCTGACTAAAAACCACCCCGTTCCTTCTCCTGCAGGTCGAGGCATTCAAGCGGTTAAGCGCGACTTAAAATTGAGTAGCCTTTCAATATTCGTGCGTAACCTAAGTTTTAAAATCTACGGGAGGTTTTAAAACTTCTTTGTCTATTGTCTCATTATATTTTCAGAAACTATAGAAAATTATATTATTAATAAACCGAATATTCACATTCCAGCTTCAAATCAGCGATGCAATCTAGATATATGAAACCAAATCAATTACACAATCAAAATTCCGTACTATTAGTAATTAGGAGATCATAAAACCATTTTGTTTTAACGACATACTTTGATGATAGAGGTCTCATTATCTAAATTGCAGTGTGACTAATCTGAGAGTGACTTCCACTATTTTCATTTAATAGAACTGGGCATATTCACATACAATGTTCACAACTGTAGTAGCAATAACTTAGGTCTAAAATATAATAAGGCATATTCGTTTATAATAAAACATTCATATCGATCGACGTTATATTATATCGTGTATATTTCACTAGAGCGTTCCGACGAGTGCTAATTATTTAGTCTATAGTCGATTCGGTTAATATCTGTAAATGTAGGCTACTGTGCTTTATAGGGATTCCTTAGGATCGCTAATTCGCTATAACTCGAGTGTTATATCCATAATTTGTTCCGAAGTTTGTATAATCAGGGGCAAATAAACCATTATCATTCAATACACGACAGCATGAGGTAGCGAGAAGTTATACAAAAAACTTAAAAGCGAGTTTACCTTTATTACGAACATATGACAATATAATACTGCTAAGCCTATGATTTAAATTATAAACCCAGTAACAACATCCAATCGATAATGCGAATCGATAATCGATTAAAGAATATTGTCACACAAATCGCGAACGAGATGAAATCAATGTGCAAACAATGTTTTCACTAATTACACCTACGCTTATAATGAGAGCAATTCGCCTAATTAATGTAATTATAACACTTTTAAATGCACGATATATTCCTAAAACGGATATATTTTAACGACCATTCACGACTTTATATTGATGGTGTTAAAGGCTGGTTTTGTTCCCCATGTCCTTTAACGAGTTGTACCGTGCATTAGAAAGTGTGCGGTTGTTTCGTTCGGTTTCGGGAGTGCGGCGGCCTTCCTATCATCTCTTTCTCCTCCCCAGTCACCCTTACGATTAACTAGTATACGCATGCCTTAATCTAAAGAGTAAAATTAAATTTTGATCCAAACTCTAACACCTAACGAAACTAAATACAAATTCATACAATTTTTAACATCCTATACTTTAGATAGATGGGTGTTACCCGTCTTTTTATATCCCTTGAAGGAGACAAGATTTTAGGCTAGTCCAACCGAGATTAGTTTATTTATAATACAATAATTACCGCCAAATATGGCAGGATACGAAGTATTGTTCAAAATTGTTTTATTACTCAAATTAAAGTTTACATTGACTATGTATTCTAATCTTTTTTACTTATTTTGACAGATAAGTTTGACTTATAACCTCAAGTCTGAACTAAACATCTTAAAAGCAAGTCCTTCTCTATTCGCGCAATTATACGCGGTTATATCACAGCCAAATCCGCCGCCGCACGCCTTCCAGCCGTCCGAAGAGCCAACAATGTCGCCGTACTAAACTGGACACAATAATACCGGGACTCAGACATTTTGGAAACCTCCAAATATTATCTTATAATAATATTATTTATTAATCCGAAATACGACATCGGAATGTCCGGTCGCGGCCGAAGTAATGATACATTTTTAAAGATTTATTGTTACAAGCCACACGTAAAATTGGAATACGAGTATTTCATAGCGAGGCGAAACAATATTTTAGTTTTAATATAGGACGCTGTTTGGTCAGCAATATATTGTTATTGTTGCCGTCTGGTTGTCATGGCAACCGTTTCTAAAGTCTTAAAGGACTGTTTATCGCCTTATACCGTAGTATAAACTTACGACCAATATTACAACTTGCGTCACCACAATCTTCACAAATCAATGTCAGTCTTAGAACATCCTCGTCCCGTTCACAAGTTGAAGAAGTTTGTTAGAAGATATATTTTATAGACGTCTAGACAAGTGCCTTACAAAAGAAAAATCATATCAAAAAAACAGCGATTAAATTAAAACATGAATTTTAGAAATCAACTTCCCCCTACAAGTTCGCCGGCTAAACTAAATATACTTAAACCTTCGACTTACGAATCCATTGATAAAAATCCGTTTAGTATTCTTTGAATTCACCGCGAACAGATACACGAACTCGGCAAGAACATTATTTTCATATTGCGCCATGAATCAGTGTTCAATTTAAATCAAAACCTAGACATTTGTCTAGACACCCATTCTTGTCATACATAATATATTTTTCACCATGTTTTTTACTGTGTATTGTAAGATTTCAGAAGTTTTTGCAGAAGAAAAAGACCTCAGTCCTATACTCCACAACCCATTTAGGACCGACCATATAACGAAGTTTTAATTCAATACTATATAAAATCTAGCTGTCTAGCATATTGAAAATACTACTATTATGTACTAATCTAAACAATATTTGTTAGTCTGTTCGTTTACTTATGTGAACGGGATCTTTCAGTTTATTTGATCACGAAAACTGTTATGGAGCGGGGATAACCGTCAATACTATACTTCACGAGATACGTAACTTAATTCACCAAAAAATAGCACATAAAATTGTCTTTATGCAAGAATCTAACGATTTTATTGATCGACGATTGTTACGAATACTGTGGTCGGAGAAACTACCATTTCGAGAAATTTTGTAAAACAATGAAGAACATGAATATTATGTTTGTTTTGGCTTTTAATTAAATGACGATATCACCCGCCCATTAATTTAGATAAGAATAAGAGCGATGGTATTATTGCAACGATATTGTTCGCAATAATTGACCAATATTAAAATGCCTTAGCATTGCAAAATTATTCCGCTATTCATGAGCTAATTACTAGCAAAATTACCTATTGTTTCTCAATGTAAAAGTTATACAATCGTTTCAAATATCTAATGGATATGACAAGACTAATGCCCGTTTTCATGAACCTCTTTAAAATCTATAAAATCCCCTAATGCTACGATACGTGGTACTTAACAGCATTACGGTAAAGTGGGAGCTAAAGGTAAAGGTAAGGGGTTAGTTTAGGCGTACCCTCGCGCTCAGTAACTCTCAGTTAAGAAATAGTTTAGGGGTGATTCATGTAAACGGCCATTCTTCCGCTAACTACATTAGTAATTTGGAAAACAATTACTTGTTTGATAGCACAATCTGTTCATTGATAAAACCGTCGAAAACTGTATATCTACGAATGAAGAATCAACTGATTGTAATGATAAAATCAAGTATGAAAGCAGAACAATAAGCTTTGCATTATAATATGGATTTTACGCGATTCTGTTAACATTTTGTATGGTGAGCTAAGTTCCGTTGATTGCACGCACTTTTACCTCTTAAAACTGTACAAATTAGGCGAGTAGTTATTATAATTCCTCGCACGAACGATGGCCAGATTTTGTTGTTGAAGACAAATTCGCGCATTATGTATTGTCTCATAATTCTTCATATTTACTTCAATATTAAATAACTTTTCCTACGTTAACCTTTTTCCAAACCAAAGATGGCATAACAATATAATAAAATAATACATAATGCGCAAACTTGTAACGGACACATCACTCTCTACAATCCAGTATATCATGATTTCCCTTTGTACAATGTTTCCGCAAATTCAATGACTTTATACTGGTTTTGCATAGCTTGATATGTACCTGTCTACCTCAGACCAGAGACGGATTTAACCTAGTAAGCGCCCCTAATATGTTTACACACTTTTATAGGCAATTGAGTACACGCATCTTGCGATAACCAGGCGCCTTAGGCCTTGTTTGCCTTAGGGACGATACGACTCTGCCTTCGACAGTGGCAAAACCTGCCTATTGTTCATGGCAAGGATTATAAGTAGAGGTATAAATGCGTGTTTACCTACATCCTTGTATCGTTTATATTGTCTGCATAGAGTTTGATTGTCGATGCTTCGTCAGCCGGCGGGGCATGGGTCACTGTCAGTTGTTCTTGTCGATGTTGTGAATCACCCAGTTGAATGACGTCCAACCATTCTTCATTGCTTCATTGAACTTCTGTCTAAAATGCTCCATCGCTTTCTCTTCCGATAGATCCATTACCTGTGTTTAATGGTTGTTGTTAGAAGTTTTCTATAGAAACAGTTTCTTATCTCTAAGTAAAAGTCCCCTTTCCTTGATAACATAATTTTGAATCCCCGAAAGAGCAAGGTGGCATATTTCACAGCAAAACAGGATGATTTATTACTTCGAAAAAGGAAGCAGATTGCTATAAATGATAGGCGACTAAATTACAAGACTTTTACGATTCCATCGACAGATATTGCAAAAACTTCAACATCGCATAAAATTCTGTGTAGGTCCAATAACATCACATAACTAGCTACTTCCGCGCGGTTTCACACGCTCTGCTCAGCTCCTATTGGTCGTAGCGTGATATTTTATAGCCTATATCCATCCTCGATAAATACACTATCCAACACAAAAATAATTATTCAAATTAGCCTTGTAGTTACGGAAATTAGCGCGTTCAAAAAAAACAAACTCTTCCGCTTTATATAATAGTATAAGATAAGATTCTAACATAGTAGTAAATGGTAATTGGTCTACAAATAAATAAATATACTTACTAAAGTTTCACGTAAATATTGGAGATCCTTTTCTGAGCTGAGCTCGGGCAGTCCGGTGGACATCATCATTGAGAACAGTGACAGTATCAGGTGCCCGTGCTTACGGAGTATTGTAAACGCCTGCACACAAACATGAAATTATCATTACTTTCTAGTACAGTTTTAGTTTCAATATTATCTTAGTTACAACTTCAATGCTTAATTACAATTCTTCAAGCCAAAATTATCCATATATCCCCAAGCGATCACCGGTGACCGCTCTCCACTAACTACATTATAGACCTTATTTCCAATGTTTAGAGACTACTCTTGTATGAACAAATTTAGGGGTTAATTTTCAACGGGTTAATTGTTTCAACATCACATAATTGAAATAATGGGATGTAAGGTGCTTCCATTATTTCATTTTTCTTAGGTTTTCGGGTTGGTTTTCGTTGTATGGTTATTATTTGCTTGCAGTAATGTTACAAATAGATACAAGAACCAGTCTCAGCCTAATTTAGAGTCAAAATAAACAACGTATTTGGCGACTGTCCATTTTAATACTAAAAAAACTTCGAATGTTGATATTTTTCTTTCACCAAAGAGTTATTTTCTCACCTTTTCGCAATGTTCCCTAAATATCTTGAAGTCGATGGGCAGTTTGTCCCCGGAGCCCTTCTGTCCCTTGTTGATGACGTGTATGAAGTCGTGAGTGAGCACGAACGGCGCCCTCTCTCGCTTGAACCCGTACCATTGCTTGAAGTGACCCAGGAAGTGACCAAAGTCTATGTGGAATAGCTGTTGGAAAAAAAACTGTGTATAAGTAAAAATTATTTAATCAACACTATCACACCATAACAACAATATAATATGACACCTTGGTATAAAACATTTACGTAAAAACTTCTCACTTCGTTATCTCCAAGTAGGTAGGGTGCATATTTACATTATTCACTTTTCACCGGAGTAAATGAGCCTGTTGCCATTTATCAGGCATACTTTCAAACTCCATACTATAACAAAATTGTTTTTATAATAACTATCGTGAGACATACAAAATTTTCACGTGAGTAACCCGCGATTTTTAGGTATCACCAAATTTTCCAAAAACACGTGACACCCAGGAATCGATTCCAAGACCTCTTTATCTGTACAATAACACTTGCGACCATTCAAACAAGAATACTACTTAGTCGCTAAATAAAATAATGACTAATAAGTAATAATAAACTAACCTGGCCATTGGTTTTGACCATGATATTGTCTGGATGTCTATCAGCGATGCCCAGTACATACGTGGCCACGCAGTATCCGGCGCAGCTCATTGTAAACTCATTCACCGCCTTGTTGAACGCCACCTCGTTGTTCTCTGTATTTCGTCTTAACCATTCTGTTTGAAAATATGTAATTATATTAGTTACTATTTTAATAGTATGGCTTTAAATATTATAATTGATCATAGTGACGAGTTTTTGAAATATAGAAATCAACTTTACTGATTATGAAATAAAGATTCTTATTAAAGTGGTGAATAGTGATGTAACAACCGAGATTTGCTAAATAATTATGGTGTCTTAATAGCATAACCTTGTAAAGATCATTTATGTACCACAACAATTAACAGGTACGCATGTACCTGTTAATTGTTGTGGTTACTACATAATTAATACATGGTCAGTAAATCAAAGTGTAAAAATCGGATAAGATTATCGTCCAATTTACCTAAAATAAATCATAAAACCAAGGTTTTTTCAAATTTACCAGTGGGAAGCAACCTGCATCCAGCCGTTCCCTGCTATAACGACTATAACTACTTAATGAGCAAAGACTTAGACATAATACTCACGTAATAACGTAGACTTATAAATAGTGGATGCGGCATTGAAGAGTGAGCTCTGTTTCTGTATATTGGCGACAGTGGCGGCGTCCTCCACCACCTCGATCATACCCACAGCATATTCCATCGAGATGCAGTTGTAGGGGATCATTCTACGAAATATCAGAAGATATTAGTTTTGTAAATATGGTATATAAACTATATAAATACATAAGGCGGACTTTAGTCTTATTTAACCACAAGTGTAGGTACTTTCTCTCAAAAGTTTTGATCATAATTAAATTTTAACTAACTTCATACATTTCGTACAAGTCTCCAAGTGATCAAGATGCAAGATTCACAATATCATTTTAAAACTATTTATATATTTATTTATTTATATATGCTTTATTGTACACATTTAAGCAAGAAAGTTCACAAACTCCGTTAACTACTCCAACTTTATAGTTGTAGGAATTGCAGACTACTTCTGTTAGAAAATAAAAACAAAATATATAGTATCAAACACATACCTAAAATCATAACCATGATTCTTCCACAGCCTGTCCATGATCCTCAACATTTGCAATGTGAACATGTCCTGTCTTAGATCGTCTCCTATCTTCAGTATAATGCTAATGTCTGAGCCGGTGGGGTCTGCGTTCTCGAACTTAAGCTTCAACGGCCTCATTTTGCTGTCCATAACTCGACATTCATCAGGCCTGGGGGTTTAGAGAAGTGCGTGTTACGTAATGGAAGATGAAGTTGTGATTTTTGGTTGTAGAATGTGAATTTAAGTTTGGTAGTATACAATGTACTTATGATTTAAAGGTTTTTTTTTATTTTGGGGTGGTAGGGTAAACGAGAGACGTATTGTAGATGGATGTTAAGTAATCGATTATTTCTAAGTATTGGATTTTAGATGAACAACTATGATTTTTTTTATATACATCATTGATGGGCCGACGTTTGACCACTATCTCGCCTGGTGGTAAGCGATGATGCGGTCTTACTATACGGATACTTTATTTTTAGCTGTTTTTATAAAACTCTTTATCATTTCTTCTCTGGTATCTGTCTATGTTACTCATTTCGTATTAATTAACATGTTAGATAACATCTCACGTTTAACTTACCACCCTGGACAGAACTATCTCAAAATAGAAGACAAAGTTTGTTAAATTGTTCATTGTCGACATAATTCATTCATAGCGTCTACATTTACATCTACATCGACTTTTCAGTCATGTTTTGTTTAACGTAAAGCAATTTTATACACTTTAAAAGAAGCTTAAATTTTAGAAGATTCTCCTTGGTAACTTTAATCTTTTTGTTTCCACTTACTTGATTCTCTTGCAAACAAAACTAGGGTTAAGCGGCGAGACAAAATCACAGAGAGTTTCGAGGCAGTGCTGCTCTTGTAGGTGATGGATGAGGGCGGCCCGCGCTTGCTTTATTTCCTTCTTCTTCCGAACGCACTGGGACGCCCCTAACACAGCCAAAGTATTGATCACACAACTGTTTATATAAGATAAATGGAGGATATACTTGATAATAAGGTATCCATTATAGAAAACATGGTATTATTAAGATTTTTTTTAATGTAAAGTCCAATTGTTAATTATCTTGTATCTGGTATCGAACCCAGTACTGATGCTAGCGACAGCTAGACTAAATAGACATACTTTATATTGAATCATAGAACGATTTGATGGTTTCATTAATTTAGTATGTATTGACAACCAATTCAGCAATATAAGTTATTTTTTTAAACTGATCAATGCTGATAGCTGTCACTGGTGACGACTAACCACTAACTCCATTATAGACCTTATTTCCGATGTTTAGAGACTACTCTTATATGAACAAATTTTGGGAATTTATATCAGAAGATTGTGTACGAGTTAAATGAAAACATGTTTTGTCATAATTTATCGTAACATTAATGAACATAACGATTTAACAATAGCACAAAAAATCAACACATCAGTCATATTCCAGCAAAGAAAGCTCACAAAAGGCTAGCAGTGCATACAATACTTACATTTGAGTTTGTCTAGACACGTGATCTGCCGCGACAGGCTGTTGATATGGTCCTGACACCCGCGGCAGTACGCCTCCAGTAGTAGACCGAACCGCACTGATACTGACGCCACGTGCATCTCCGACCTGATGTGATAAAATAAACATGTTTATATATGACATAATATAACATCAAGCCTTTTATCCCAAAAGGGGTAGGCAGGGGTGCACATTACAGCACTTAATGCCACTGTACAATGTAAACACACACTTTTCACTAGTTATGTTAGTCCCATGTAATATTGGGTGAGCCTATGGCCATATACCACAATTATATTGTATAGGCACAATTCTCCTATGTCGTGCGTGCATTTACAAACATACAAGTTCACATACGCATCGCACCCAGACCCGGAACAACAATCTGTGGATCACACAAAGAGTTGTTCCGTGCGGGAATCGAATACGCAACACGTTGCGCAGCAGCTAGTTACCCTGCCACCGGGCCAATCGTGAAGTCTATATTTTTGTATTTTATTAAATACTAGCGACCGGCCCCGGCTTCGCACGGGTGCAATATGCATGTATTGGGGCAGACAGACGACGGATAGGGACTTTGTTTTGTTGAATTGTAAATATTTAATTAAGTTTAAAGCTTTTATGACAGCCGCATTTTCTTAAATGAAAAGTATTGCAATATTACCTTAAATGCCAAAAGAGGTAATGTCCGATGGTCATGTTCTTGAACGCCCTCTTGAGCAGGAACACGGAGAGGTCACACATGAGGTACGACTCGTGCTTCAGTGCTTGGACCAGCTGCAGCAGGTACAGGAGGAGGTCGTTGTCACTGCGGGGAGAGAAGAAGAGTAATATAAATAAATAGATCTGGACACGTCCAAAACTGCTTGTATCGAGAGATTACCATTTTCATCAAAGATGATGATTATGAATAGTTTGTTTTAGATGTAGGATAATAATGTTTGTAAATGTTGTATTTACCTATAAGTATTTGTTACACTTATTGTAAAAAACTCAATTTTAAATAAACAAAATTGTAAATAAATAAATAGATTAATTGCCATATGATTATTTCATAACATAATATCACGCTTTTTATCTCCGAAGGCTTAGGCAGAGGTGTACATTATACCACTGTACAATGCAACATCAATTTTTCATTATTTATGTTATGAGTCCCGTGTTTTTAAATAGGGTTTTTAAAAATTCTCAGTAGTAGCAAGGAGTCTGGAATTGTGCCCGGTATATGATTATTTCAGTTTCATGTAAATATCAATATTTATGAACATTTTCGATTAATACCAGTTTTACTTTAAAAATCTATCGTCTTTAATAGTACTTTCAATCCCTGTTAGCTAGTTTGAGAATATTGATACTCAATCTAGCTAGAGGTGTTCTGCACTTACAGTAAATATTTTTAATTTATTTTACTTTATTGCAACCTCATTCCTTAAACAAGAGGCCTTTGCCATGCAGTAGACATTTGCATGTTGAGGATGGATAGAGTAGTATTGCGTCACCTGATCTTCCCGAGGCACTTGACGGCGAAGCTCCTGACGGCGCAGTCTGCGTACGCGTAGTCGAGCAGCTCGAGCGCGGCCTCGACCCGCAGCAGCGGCCAGGCGGCCAGCAGGCGGCGCACGGCGGCCGCGTCGGCTCGCTCGCCCCACTCCACGCACGACAGCAGCTTCGGCAGCAGCTCCGGCGCCTCCGACCGGAACCGCTCTCTGGCGACACACTCTTATATTATATCTAGCGAACCCGGCTAACTTCATACCGCCTAAACATTTTTTTAGACGGTACGAAGTTCTCATATTTTAAACCTTCCCTGAACTTCCACAAATATTTCAAGACCAAAATTAACCAAATCGATTCAGTCGCTCTCAATTTTTAGTGAAACTAATGAACGATAATTCATTTTTATTTATATAGATTATTATTTAACAATAACATATCAGAAACCATCATTGACGGTTTTTTAAATGTTGCCCCACACTTGAATTTTCTTCTGTGTCGTACAGCCATACACCCGTATTTAAAAACATATAAATTCACATACACATCACACCCATACCCGGAACAACAATCTGTGGATCACTGAACACACAAAAGTTGTTCCGTGAGAGAATCGAATCCGCGACACATTGCGCGGCGGCAAACACAGCCACCACACCAACCGTGCAGTCAAAGTGAACATGCATGTATGAATCCAAGTACATAGACAAAAATAGAATTAGTATTTTATGACCGACTTCTCAATCAAATATCAATAGATTATGATCCATTTTTTAGATTAGTTGTCCATACTAAACAGACACTCCATGATTTCTGTTAAAACAGAGATATATCTAGAGGTCTTAGATTTTAATTCGATTATTAATTTCGACCACTAATTGAACAACAAAGAAGTAACATTTTAACATTAGCACGACTGTATTTATCAACAAAACCTACTGCAACTATCTACATTCTACATACTTTTAAGATAACTGTAACTCACCTCGAAGCCCAGATGTCTTTCTTGTCCTGCTCGTGCATTTCATACATGGGGTCTTTCTCGGCAGTAGCCCGTAGTCTGTCGTACTCCCTGCTGAGTCTCTCCATGACCTCGGGCGACACTGTCTCGATGTTTTCCGAGTACTCTCGCACCGTCTCCTCTTTCGGAAATAACACTGGGTATTGGCAGTCGTAACTGGAAAGATAAGACGTAAATATTTGTTGATTATTTTTCTACAACATCACATTTTAACATTTAAAGTGCAAATGAGCTTTCTATTCTTGTCATTTCCTTTTAAATACTTTAATACTGTAGAAATACTGTCACATTTAAAGGAGCAGTAATCAATAGGAAAAAATGTTTTAGCAAGTCATCAAAGAAGAGGAGTCTTTTTTTTAAGGGGGGAAAATCATCGAATGACTGCTCCCGCCTAGGTGAGGCGGAAGGGAGTGCCACTCTTACTGACTAAAAACCACCCCGTTCCTTCTCCTGCACGTCGAGCCGGAGCCCCGGTAACCCGTTAGGTTCTCCGCGACTCCGAATCTGCATCGGCCCTATTGGGCCTCATCTGTGGTGATCTGATAGCTCTTTGAGGTGCGCACGGAACGCGACGCGCCGTACGCTCGGGTAAGAAGAGGTGTCTATGAATGTTTTATACCCGTTTCTACAGATTACTGGTAATAAAACTGACAAGAGTAAAGCCTCTTTGCACGAATAAATAGGAAGTAGTCATCAACCAACACTTACTTAGAGAACTTGACCTGTAGAGCGGCACAGGACTCTCTGAACCCAGATATAGGGTTAGAGACCACTGTCCCAAGTGGATGTAGGACGAGGTCGTCTCCCTGGGTGTCATCCGCCACGTGTGTCCACATAGACAGCGTCACACCGTCTGTACGGAGCTGTTCCTTGTAGTCGAACACCATCGTGTTCGCCCATGTCAGTCTATTTATTACCTCCTGTAATATACACGAATGAGTATAAATAACGTTGCATTACAGTATTTATTGTGTGTGTGGACTTGGAATAAAAGCTCTTAGTTCTATAATTGCATTATGTAAGAAGCAGTGGTGATTATGATCGTTATTACCTTCTCATTTCTTATATTTTGTTTAGTGGATAAAAATTTTCAATGGTTTCGAATGAAAATGGAATTGATCCATTCAGAAATCTCTCTTAAACTGTCAAACACCAAGCGGTCACCGGTGACCGCAACCTATTGTTCTTTAATTGTGTCTATAAATACGGTACTCGACGAGTTAAATATTATACTTTTGAATTACTCGTATCACATTACGTTTTACAAAGTTATTGTTTCGAGTCTAGATCATATTTTAGTTCGATCAGACTGGCAATTTATAGTTATAATAAAATAAAAAATGTACATGCCTTCCCCTTCTTCTTGCTCTTAGTCTTAGAGATCTCGTAGACGCCGAAGCAGATCCTGGCCATCCGTGGTATGTTGGACACTTTGATGGGGAACGTCAGTTCCTCGTCCCACACCGCTGTGCCATCTGTCATCACTGCCGGCTTCGTCTTTTGCGTCTCACATAGAGGCCGGCCGCCGTGGAAGATACCGGCTTGGCATATCACCTGCAATGTAAATTAAAAGTTAGGAAAATATCGATATTTTCTTTATTTTTCTTCCCCAAGTGTTATAGGTGAATCCATTGTCATGATTCAAGGGTGATCTTTTTATAACTGTGCTTTAGTCTAACTTAAAACTTCATCATTGTGTTTTTTAAGGGACAAAATCATCGAATGACTTCTCCCGCCGCACCCAGACGGAGTGTCAGACTCTTACTGACTAAACACCGACCCGTTCCTACTCCTGCACTTCGATCCGGAGCCCCAGTAACCCGTTAAGTCCTCCGCGACATCCTTAGTGTACTGTTGAGATACCAAGATTGTATGATTACCCCTCAGATACATAAATAAGCTTCGAAAAGTATGACGTATAACTATGAGAATTGAGAATACTTTAGTTCTATACCTACAGCTCTTCAATAATTTCATTTCACTTCTATTAATTAACATAATAAGTACTTACAGTTGCACCATTCCCAGGGTCGACGTTAAGTTTGCTAACGCTCTGCACCACGCAAGAGTATTCTTTATGAATATTCCACGAAGATTCATTTTTCTTTCTTCTCATCGTGTTCGAATGCTCTGACGTCAGTCGTCTGCGCTCGGGTAAGCAGTATGGGTAGTAGGGGAGGTCTCGACTTACTGTTTTAGGTAAATAAGAAAATAAATTTATACGTGTCTCTTTTGAAAGAATACACAAGTCAACATAATTTATACCTAATGAAGAAGAATAATAGGTACATCATGTAACGGACCAGCATATCGCTTTCATACACGAATAAATTAATAATTTTAGTACCCATGAAATAAGACTGTAAAATCAATAAATTAAAGTCAAAACTCAAGTCAATGTTCTATAAAACACTGTCTGCTGATTACAAAAAGTCAGTATAGGTTTATACAAGAAATAAATCCCATAGTAAAAAAAAAACAGATTACAAATATTTTCAAGAAAACTTCACCAAGCAGTCTGCATATTCGCAAAAAAACAACTTAGATCACCAACTCACGCGTCAGCGGCAGTTTATCCATGCTGACCGTCATGACCTGCGGCACTCCGTCTGTGGCCAGCATCTCCTGGATGTACAGGAACTGGATGAGCGGGTAGTCTCCGAACAGGTACTCCTCGCGCCCACACACCTTCAACACGTAGTTGTGAGGATCCTCTCCTCGCATGTTCAAGGAGTTCGCCAACCTACGGAGGATCACCTCGATGTGCTGCTGTGGTGTTCTCGTCTCTGGGACGCTTGTTGAAAATGATACCTAGAATTAATTGAACAGAAATTTATTCGTATTAGTTAGTCAGTTTGGTTGGGCAGTAACAGACGTTAAATATCGCTATGATTTTCGAAGCAATTTACGTTGGTCTTACACCTAAGTTACAATAAAAATTCACGGAACAGAAAATAGGTGGAGGTCGCAAACACCACCTAGTATTGCGACCGCAGTCGACACAATCGAATAATTTTAAAAACTGAACATGTCAAAATATTGTTTGGCAAAACCTGTCATGGTATTTTTGTCAGTTGTCATTTAAAATAAATACGAAAAAATGTTGAAATCCCATTTTAATTTGGTTGGGACTGACAGTGAATCAGAGGAGGAAGTATTTGAGGCGGAGGTAGTAGAGGAGTCGGTGAAAGAAGAGCTCCCTCCGAGACTACTCCAGAGGTCTGAGGTTTGCACCCGACTGAGTATGCTGGGCAAGACTGCCTCCGGCGACGGGTGAGCAACAACACTAAGATGTTGTTCCACTGTCTCTAAACCCCTTTTGGAATTATCTGATTTATACATATCTATTTGTTAACAGGTATACATTTTTAAAATGCAAACTAGTAGGAATGAGGATGACAAGTATCGACGCTATAAGGTGTTACAAACACATAATGTTCCTGGATGTTTCCAATAACTACCTAGACTTACATGCGCTTCAAGTTATCACACAGCTACCGAACTTAATACTTATACACGCTGACGACAACAGACTCACCTCCGCAGGACTGAAGCAAATGAGATACTTGCAAGTCATCATTTTTAACAACAACCAAATCACATCTTTGGAAGACGTGTTCCAGGAACAATTGAGCACGTTGGAGCTTGGATTCAATAAACTAACAAAAATAGATTTCAAGCCCAAAATGCCAACTATGAGAGTTTTAGATTTACGAAATAATTTAATAACGGAGATCCCACCTTTAGAATTTCCTAGATTGGACAGTTTGTATCTAGCAGGGAATAAAATTAAGACTCTAACTGGTATAGAGCTTCTAGTCAATTTGAGAGTATTACATGTGCGGAATAATCCGATTAGGTACCTGGACGGTTTTAATGAGAATCAGACGAAGCTTCAATACATCAATTTGAGGAACTGTCGTGTCACTACACTGAGACAAGTGAAGAAGATGAAGGTAATTATAATATGTTATGCTATTGGTACATATTAGAAGGATACACATCAATGTTTAATTTCTGTTATATTAGGTTCTTAAAGCACTTGACACCATCGTTTTGAAGGGATGTCCTTATATGGGAGGAGCGGGTGAAGAGGATCCAGAGAATAAAGAGGAGGAGGAGGACGATCCTCAAATCAGAGTCGAGTTGGTGGCGACAATGCCGCGACTGAAGAGAATCAATAAGACCGCTGTTACGTCCGAGGAAAGGTAATTTCATTAAGTTTCTTCATGTCACACGTGATGTGTCCCCGTATAAAATTACCGGGGACCTAATCTTCTCCATTTCCAATCTCTAGATTCTTAATTCCCCAATTCCTAACCCCCAAAAGCTGGCAACGCATTTGTAACAATTCTTTTGGTTTTGCAAGCCCATGTGAGCCCATAGACATCGGTCTGGGCGATGCCGATTGCTTACTCTCAGGTGCGGATAAAGCGCTATAAGTTACCGCGATAAAAAGGAGCAAAAGTTGGAACGGAGGATGGTGATTAGTCAGTAAAAGTCGAACACTCTCTCTTACCTCACCCAGGGCGGGAGAAGATTTGTGATAAGTGCAAAATACCAACGCCAACAAAGGAAATATAGCAGTTAGCAAACTAACAGTCCCAACATTTTTCTTTTACTTCTTCAATACATGTTGATACTTCTCTTTTTCAGAGAAGAGAGTAAAGAGCTGCTGATGCAGTGGGCGGAAGAAGGTGAAAAGGACGAGGAAGAGATTGAGAACGAACAGCAACAAGGAGAGGAAGAAATCTCTAATGCTGAGGATTAAATGTCATTTTATTCTAATAGGGTAGATGACTCATTTTTAATGTCCGTCTTATTATTTTCAAACATAAGATACGTATTTTTTTATTTTCATAACATAACATCACGCCTTTTATCCCCGAAGGTGTAGGCAGAGGTGCACACAGAAGTGACACCCACTTTTCACTATTTATGTTATGAGTCTCATGTAATAGGGGGTGAGTTTTTTATTTTCTTACGAAAACAAATACTTTCGACGATATATTGATTTGAAAAATCGCGTGACGTCACTTTGAAGTACGTTTTATACTCAAAAATGACGTACCCAGCTCCCACTCCTAAATTTTGATTCGTTTTATCGAAGCATTGTTGTCTTATACGACAAAAAGTACGTATGTCTAATATTTTTTCATTAGGTAACTGACGGACTAAACAGGTTTTTAATTTTCATACCCCGTCATCATCCCTATTGTTTACACATAGTTTAATGCTTCATTCTTAGGATTGCATATTAGAAAATGAATGAAGCAGTTTGACGGAATCATGTCAGTTATGTTTACCTTTCCCATAAAACGATTCTGGTGACTGTTTCGAGAATTTCGAATCGCAATTATTTTTAAGTATGTCGTATTGGCCTTCAGAACGATGGTATCTATTTAAGTGAGTAAGGGCTTATTTTTCCAGCGCCACGACGGTTATTATCGGAAGAATATTTGACAATTTTTCTATGTTAAAAACTGTAAAAAATCAATATTATTCCAAAGACTAGCTGAACCCGCAACTTCTTCGCGTTTTTGTAAAATAAAAGTAGCCTTAATATATTATCTGTCTGCCAATTATTCCGGTCCAGCTATTCCGGAGATTAGCAGTACAAACAGACAGACAGAAATTGTAAAAGATGTTATTTTGGTATGTGTATCGTATCTATATTCATATGCATGTAGTAAAAAGCAGTTATTTTAATATTACAAACAGACATTCCAATTATTTATTTGCATAGATAAGATGTATCTGTTGATTGAATACTCAGCCCTAAGCAGTTATTAACACAATTAAGTCTTAAATTATATTACATAATGAGTTCTTAATTTTAATTCTAATTTCTTATGCTGTCTTAATTATATAATTTATTTAATTCGACAATATTATGTTAATAAGAAATAAACTACACATCTTATTGAAATAAATAATTAAAACTAAAATATTTACACCTTAAAAAAATATATTATATTAGAAGATGAGCTTATTATTTTCAAACCTACTTTTAGTTTAATATCAGACAAAAACAAACACAAAAAAACTGCAAAATCCATGAAAACTTTCCACAAAATAGACTAAAACAAATTGCATAATAGATTGGGATTATAAAAGTGCGATTTGTAGTAATAAAACTGTCATGGGTGCGACAGAAATGTTGAATTTATGAACTTAGGTACGCGTGGTCGAGGTATAAATAAAAATATATTATGAAAACATTGGGGTGTCATTGTCATTGCCAGTTCCCAGACGGCGACAGTTAACGTGTCTAGACAGTTTAGTTTATTTACGTATCGTACAGCTGATCAATTCCTCCTTCATTCTAGTCTAGATATACATATTATCAGAACAAACCCACATTGAAAATAGGTCAATATGTTTGTATGTTCATGAATAAAACTTGAATAGATATTAGTGTTTTATTTTGAAATGAAGATAGTCCCGTTTCATCATCTACTGGGCTCATATTGGTCATAGCGTGATGTTCTATAGTCTTATAGCCTTCTTCAATAAATGCACTCATCATCAACAGCCTATAATTGCCCACTGTTGAGCAAAGCCTCTTCTCACACAGCGAAGGTTTGAGCACTAATCGCCTTGCTCATTGCGGGTTGGTGATTACAAACTTATAATTGGAAATTATAAGCCCAGGTTTCCTCGCGATGTTTACCTACACCGTTTGTCAGTGGTGTCTAGATAATATTAGAATGTACATATAACTCGGAATAAGTCACATTGATATAAATGATATAATGCAACACAAATATTTTTCAAATCAGACCATTAGTGCGTCGAAATAAACAAATAACTTTTCATATTTAAAAAAGGATAGAATAGTATTATAGAATTCCAGGAAAACTTTTCAACTAGTTTACCAATGTTTTAGCGTTGTTTTTTCCTTGTACAGCGAAAATATTTTGAAGCTTAATCATCTTTACGATTACACTTCAGTGTCGAATAACACTGATTAGTGATAAAAATTATACATTCTGTTATAAGTAGATTTATTTTAACTAGTTCATGCGAAATCCGGTTATTCAGTTGAAGATTTGATGCCCAGGCTGCTTACGTATAGGTATCAGGGATGTTATGGATGCATATCCATACGGATGATCCATGACACGGATATAATAATGATTATTATACTGGATACGGTTTGGATAATTTCGGTTACGGATATTAAAATTTTAAGGAATTTCAAAACTAAAATACAAATAGCTAATATTATGATTTCATTTATACGTCACGCCTCTATCCGGTAGTATCCAAAATTTTATTTCGGATTCGGTTATGGTTACGGATATTTTTTATATCGAATATCCGATAGTTTCGGTTACGGCTACGGAGCTCCCTAACATCCCTGATAGGTATGTAAGTAAAATGCCTGAAATCAGTGTTTATGACGGTATGTTCAGATGAATGCACATTACCTAGAAGTTGAGGACCATTTTATAAGAACTCCCCAACTTATGACAATAGGCTATTCTGTAAGATGTCAATTTGAACTAGAAGTGAGGTCGATCACATTCCCAACCGTCATTTGATCGAGATTAATATCTATTCCTTTACAAAACTTAATATACATATAACATCACGCCTTTTATCGCCGAAGGGGTAGGCAGAGGTGCACATTATGCCACTGTGCAATGTAACACCCACTTTTCACTATTTATGTTATGAGTCCCATGTAATAGGGGGTGAGCCTATTGCCATATACCGGGCACAATTCCAGACTCCGTGCTACTACTGAGATTTTTTTAAAAACCCTGTAATACTTTGCCCGATCCGGACCCGAAGACGAGACCCCTTGCCCGACAGTCACACTTGCGACCACTCGGCCAACGAGACAGGCAGACAAAACTTAACTAATCTAGTTACCGGTTTAATACATTTAGCGCCGGTGTACATTTTCTTGACTTATTGTTACTGTTACTGCACATTAATAATTTTTCTAGTTTAATTTTAGCGCTTAATGGGTTAAATAAAAATACAAAGTCCAGTACGCCATTCCTTAGTTAGATTCTGGCAAACGAAAGTAGAGACTGAAAAAGCCCGGCAAATTTAAAAAAATATCAGTATAGCAACCCAAAAATTAGTATGTCATACCTGGAGTAACCTAATTTGATACTTTATAATAATTTGTTTGTTTGTTACGTCTTCACGTCTGGTTACTCCAGGTATGACATACTAATTTTTGGGTTGCTATACTGATATTTTTTAATTTTGCCGGGCTTTTTCAGTCTCTCCTTTCGTTTGCCAGACTCTAGAATTCCAACAAAGTGATAGGTAAACATAGCATGTCTTCTCAAATTGCACTCTTCGTAACTTCGAATTACATAAACAAGTGGAAAACTGACTGTTTCCCGTTACCCGTCATGGTGTCAATATTCTAATGAACTTAGGACCCTGCTATACACTACGACTACACATAAAAACCAGTATAAACGGACCATTGAATGTCCGGAAGAATCGTGCAAAGGCAGATCATGATAAACTGGTTTTCTGCAGGTTCCTGGGCATTTACTTGGAAAAACATACTTCTTACAAATGTTTGCGACTGTATTGTTGATGTTATGGTAAATGAGTAAGTAGGTAGATGACTACTAAGTACAGAGAATTATATTCTGTCACTTTTTTACCATGAAATTCAAAGTTAAAACATGGGTTAAGGGATAACAGATTCTGATGTTATGATCCCCTGTTTTAATAAGAAAGAATAAAGAGTAAAACAAACGGGGTGAGCAGCTAAATAAAACATAATATCATAACATCACGCCTTTTATCCTCGAAGGGGTAGGTAGGCAAGGCACTTAATGCCACTGTACAATGTAACACCCACTTTTCACTATTTATGTTATGAGTCCCATGTAATAGAGGGTGAGCCTATTGCCATATACCGGGCACAATTCCAGACTCCGTGCTACTACTGAGATTTTTTTAAAAACCCAATAGCTAAATAATACCGTTTAAAAATTAAAATGTAGAGTGATATATTTATCGATGCACATTTTTTTATATAGGTATAAGAGGTGATGTGGTCTAGGATGGGGCACGTCTGCCCATAAGCAACCTATCCACTCGGACAATGTTATGCATATCAATTTACAGTAGAACTATGTAGTTTATAGAATTAATTTTAAAATTACCACTTATCACCACTTAGCACGAGCAACTCACTAGCTGTGGTTTTCCTTGACAATTTCGACTTAATTCATACTACATTTTGGGGAAAACCGCAATTGGAAAGTGTAGTGTCTGACTAATAGATGATAGGTCATTAATTTGATACCTTAAAGGGTATTCATTTACATTACTGTATTCTGTGGCGAGTTATAAACCACTTGGACATATGGAAAATTCGTATTTAATGATAAAGTTTAATGTTACTGCCTCGATGGCCGAGTGGTCGCAAGTGCGACTGCCGGGCAAGAGGTCTCGGGTTCGATTCTCGCGTCGGGCAAAGTACTACAGGATTTAAAAAAATCTCAATAGTAGCACGGAGTTTGGAATTGTGCCTGGTATATGGCAATAAGCTCACCCATAGGCTATTACATGGGACTCATAACTTAAATAATGAAAAGTGGGTGTTGCATTGTACAAAATAGTACAAATGTACAGTGGCATTAAGTGTCGTAATGTGCACCTCTGCCTACCCCTTCGGAGGTAAAAAGGTGTGATGTTATGTTATGTTTTAATGTTATCGTCGAAATCGGAAAAAAAAAACATTTTAAACGACTTCATAAAAAGAAGAAGGTTCTTCTCAATTTGACCTGTATGTACGTATGTGTGCAAATATCTAGCAATTACCTGAACCAATTTTGATGTACGATGTTTTCAGAAAAGTGTTTGTTACACTAAGAAGGTTTTAAAAAGAGGGGACTTAAGACGAATTTTTTGAACGTATTACTCTCAAACGACAGCATCTATCTCAATAATCTTACTTTACAGAGTTCCTCATATTCAATCAATATGTTTTTATACTCAATGTTAATATGTAAGCATTTATCCACCAACTCGTCTGATAGTAATGTGTATAATATGAAAGAAAATTCACCGAAAGACCCAAGATTATCACTACATATTATAAAATAAAGTCTGTCTGTCTGACCCTATGTATGCTTAGATCTTTAAAACTACGCAACGGATTTTTATGCGGTTTTTTTAATAGATAGCGATTCTTAAGGAATGTTAAGGTTTATACATGCATATTTCACCCGTGCGAAGCCGGGGCGGGTTGCTAGTTATTAATAAATAAAAGACAATAATTTACCTCCAAATTAGCGAATTTAGTGACAAGTAAGAAACAGTGTTGTGTCAGGATTGTCCGCAGCGTGGTCGGCGTCCCGGGCTGATCTGCGAGTCTTGGTGGGCACTGGTACCGAAGCCTCTCCAACCTGGTGCTTTGCGCCCGACGTATTAGACTTTCCTCGGCTAGGTAACGCATCCTCATTCGAAAGTCATTCACCTCCGAACTTCGAATATTGTCGAATTCGTTAAGGCCTGGTGAAGAAACAACAAAATTAATATGGTTTGTACTTAAATCTATGTATCTAAAACGCTTCCGTTACTGAGTGACTAACAAACTAACTAACTGTCTGACTTACTGACTAACAGACAACGTACAGAAAGTACTGGTCGTAGAGAGCTGAAATTCGGCATATATGTATACTTTAACTTTAAACCTATTAATACAAGGTGTAAACAAACGGTCCCGAAAACCGCCAACAGGTAAAATAAAAGACCAATTTTATTTTCATAAAAGTAATTAATGAATTAAATGTTTCTTTTATATAATGCTGATGCTCAAGACTAATGTCGCATGAATAACACAAAAAACAAAAACGATTAATCTATACTAATATTATAAAGCTGAAGAGTTTGTTTTTTGTTTGTTTGTTTGAACGCGCTAATCTCCGAAACTACAGGTCCGATTTCAATAATTCTTTTTGTGTTGGATAGTACATTTATCGAGGAAGATTATAAGTTACAGAACATCACGCTACGATCATTAGGAGCCGAGTAATGCTGGTGCAACTGCGCGGAAGTAGCCAGTATTGTATAAAAACAATTTCTTTTTCTCAGCGTTTCGGGACGGTTCTGTTTACTCCCCGTAGAAATATTAAAAACATACTTATAATTATTATAGCTAGTTTCATTGACACAAACTAGAGATAGTTTACCCATCTATCTAACACTTTACTTGTAACAAAGATTGTAATAAGAAACAATCATTGAATATGAGCCTCTAGCACGGCTTGAAACTAGTCGAGTTCCTCGTCAAATTACTACGTGAATAAGCCGAAAACATAATAATTTATTTACAAACATTGAATTTAATTTAGTGTAACAAAACTTCTTATCATTTGACCATACAATAAATCGTCGTGTGAGTGGGGTTACCGGAGGCCCAATTACCCTACTTCCCTTCCCCAATAGGCCGGTAACGCACTTGTAACGCCTCTGATGTTCCAGGTGTCAATGGGTGACGCCGATTGCTTACCATCAGGTGATCCGACTGCTCGTTTACCGACTTACACCGTATATATTATAATTATATATAATAATCAGTAGTATGGGTTGTTACAAAATATTACAACAGATGGAAGATAACAATTATGTTTACAACCATTTAAGGTCAATAGCCTTTTAACACCATGAATCACTAACCAAAAGTTATGGAACAAATGTCATAATAAGCACACTAATGTTATGTCTACTAATGTCACTGTATATTTATGACGCTTTTAAATGTTATAATTTTAATTTGAAGGTCATTAACATGAGGATTAATTATTAGGTGTATTTTGTATATGGTAATAAGTACAGTTACAATCCTTTGCAACCCAAATTATGGTGATTGACAGCAATGACCTAAGAATGAAGAGCAAGCAAATCTGAATTCAAACAATCTGGTAATGTTTAAGACTGTTATTAAATCACATGTTATCAACATAATAATATGTACCTGCTCATAAGAATATATTATTTTTTTAAGGGGGGAAAATCATGGAATGGCTGCTCCCGCCTGGGTGAGGCGGGAGGGAGTGTCAGGCTCGAGGCACCTCGAGCCGGAGCCCCGGTAACCCGTTAGGTTCTCCGCGGCTCCAGCTCATAAGAATATTGAAACACCAAAATGCATATTTAAAAATAATTCAAAATTATTTTTAAAAAAATCATGAAATAATTATTCTTCCTCAATATAATAACTTCAGCATGACAAGTTCACTATATTTAACTTATTTACCATTATCCTTAAAAAATAAAACCAAAGAAGAAAAACAGGAAATTATATGGTTCAATAAGAGGATGCCGACGAAATCTCATAATACTATAATTATTCTTAGGTATTTACACTAATAGTAAACAAACCACAATAACAATAAGACCAGCCTCTTTGACGTATTTAAATGACGTGTTCAAAACATAAAATCACGACTTTTATTCTCAATGAGGTAGACGGAGATCATACAGTAAAATATATGCACTTTTTACCAATTACATAGCAAGTTTATGTAATTGTCTAAACAGTAAAATATCTGTAACAATAGTTCGCGATTCCTGTTACAAAGCATTGTCAAAAATCCCAGTACATACTTTATCTAATGCAGTGATCGAATAAAGCTCCATACAGTTTAGTCAAATTAAATTGATAAGTAACAATAACATTGAAAAACTTACTTTTTCCAATCAGACGGCTAATATGTGTGTTCAGCAACTGTTCTCCAGGTCTTTCATAAGATTTCTTGACTATCATAAGCACACCGCATACTGGTTTTATGTCACGGATGCGCTTATTCTCATCATCAACCTCCTCAAGTACTGCGAGGGAGTTGACAAACTGGAAGACATAGCTGGACATCTCATGCAACATCCCAAATAGAGGGAAGTTGACAGCCCTGTCCCATATATCCTAAAAAGAAAGAAGTTGTCATTTTGAATTTTTAACAGAAAAATTGTTCATCTCTGAAAGGTGACTGAACTGCAGAAGCATAAGAATGATACACACAAAATATTCATGCATAATCAACAATATCATGCCTTTTAATCCTGAAAAGATTAAGCACAGGTGCAAATATGTAACATAATATCTGTCTTTTATCAGTTACTAGCGGAACGCAAACTTAAGTTTCGCCTTAGAATTTATTTCGTCACATAAGAACCTTCTAACAACAACAAACTCAATAAAAAAGAATTAGCAAAATCAATTCAACTGCTCTCAAAAATTGCGCATAGCAACACATTTCTATATTATATATATTATATAATTTTTATATTATAGAATACCCTATGTCATGTAGGGTCTATCGAAATGTGTTTCATCACTTATTATATTAGTCCTATTAAAATAGGAGACATATTGCCAAACCACGAGCTTCCTATCAGATTCTGAACTATATAACATTTATAACTTAATTTCGAAATAGAAGTTTCAATTATGATACAAACTAGTAGTTATGTACTGAGAATTGCAGTCCATATTTTTTTAGTGGTCTTTCAATTGTAATGTATATTAAATATTTACTATAGTCGGGCCATCGCAAAGGTGCAAAGTGTCATAAGTAATTTTAATCAGATCTCTCGCTGACACTTATGTGTCCTTTGACAAGACCGTTTGCACATTTGTATTGGCCTAACTATAGATAATTACATTTTGTTTTCCATTTTAAAGTCTAGATGAAACAACGACAATTTTATTTAAAAACATGTTATGATTACAGGTAGTAGTTATCCTGTATGACTGAACTCATTATGAAATCAATTTTTGAATTGACTTATTTCATTATCATCACAGTTGCATAATAAGAAGATATATTCAGAAAGTTTTGCCGGAAAACTAACTAGATATGAGAGCCAAGCTAAAAAAACAACAACAACATTTCTATAGTTATAACATAACATCACGCCTTTATCCTCGAAGGGGTAGGCAGAGGTGCACATTATACCACTGTACAATGTAACACCCAGTTTTCACTATTATGTTATGAGTCCCATGTAATAGGGGGTTCTATAGTTATAACTTTTTTTTAATATGTATTTTTTTATATTTATAACTACAATTATTTTTATAATAGTTACTGCTATCAGGATTACAAGCCAATCTTTTATCATATTACATATTACCAAAAAATAAGTTATCCAAAAGTCATCATTATGAACTTTAATTGTTGTAATTGTCTAGTCATAGGGTGATATCATAATAATAAGTATATCAGTAAACATTGTTAACTCATGTTGTTATTCAATGCAGGGACATGAATACAATGGCATGGCACAAATACATCATCCTCTCCTCTCAGATAACAGATCATGTAAACATCATTTTCCCTAATATAATGGTACTAAAAAAACAGATATTTTAGTTCACAATGAACTAAGTTACCTGTGTTGTTGATTTTTTGAACAATAGAACAGGTACAGGTATTCAAATGTGAATATATTGGGATAATACAACATTTATAATAGATTATAGGTCCTAATAGAAATTCGCAACCAATCGATGACCTAATATTTACGTAAAATACTAGAACATCGTCAGATCCACCTACATGACAAAAAATAGTGCATGATATTGTAAACATTGTAAGCTACTTTCTAAATGTACCTAACAAATGTATCTGTCGGCATGTTACTCAATACTTTGACCTACTTTCCAAAAATGCTATCAAAATATCGTCGGCGAGAGGCGTGAGTCACGCGAGGGTGTTCCTTATTGTCACTAACCTCTTTGACATCCTGGAGAGTGGCATCCCAACTTATCCTCAGAGGAATGTAAACAGAGTTCGGTAACAAACACGTGAGCTCTACCACGTCCGATGGCGAGGACGTCCAGTAGTCCCACGTAAACGGACAGCTCGGCGCAGGAACCATTGTTTTGGTATTATTTTCCCAGGTTACCCAAATTACCCCCGCGACATTTTACAAACTTTCACTGATAACTTGCGTCTACAGCGACCCGGTCGCTGTCCCCAACTGGAAATAATATACACAACACATCAGTCAATGTTGTTGAAACCACAGTGATGTTGAATCATAGCATTTCCTGGTATTTTACGACGGGCATATCGCCATTCGAAACAAAACTGTCAACTTTAATATCATCCAAACAACATCCGAACCAGTATGGAAACCTTTTATTTTATTACCTCTTCATAAAATGTTTACATAATTCATATAATAAAAGAAATGTACGAACGTAAATTATTAAAATATGTTTTTGTGAAATCGTAAATAAAGATTACGTGCAACAAACTATGAGCAAAGTAATTGTTTATGGTATAGTCAATGTTGCCAATACCAATTATAGTGTGACTATGGCAAATACAAAAACAATTCTTAGACTTTATTTCAAATCTCAAAAGGCTAAAATCACCAGCGTGACTTTCAGCCATTTCTGCCAATCTGCCAACTAGATAGATTTGTTTTTCCTGGGTTATGAAAAGCGTAAAGTTTTCAAAAATTCACCGTAATACCAATAGCGCATAGCAATTAATGCAGTTATATTGTATGTATCAGTAGGCTATGAACAATCTTGACTTTAGTCACCCTAACGGCCTGCCTTATAATCTTTAAACTTTTTAGAAAAAATTATAGATGAAACAAGAAATGAAAAACTAAAATATGTATTTCTAAGGAAATAATTTGTACCAATCCCCACTATTGTTTCAAAGAAGTGTTCACGTTGCGAACATGTAGATAAAAAAATCATGACAAAATAAATAGCAACGATTTTATTAGTGCATATTGCATTTCGTGCGTGCGCACAGTAACAATATTGTGCATGTCTTAAATATTGTATTTTTGAGCCATTTGAAACTTTTTAATGCAAAAAAAAGTATTGAAGTAATTATATTTTTCATTACAATTATTATGATCGCATCTTAACCTAAAAATAATTTGACGTTTGTCTCGTGACAGACAATATTGTTGGGCAATGTTGTTTAGCAATGAGAGCGTTTTTATGAATGTATTGTGCTAAATAAAATGTTTGAACATTCAGTCAAGGTACCAAGACATTACAAAATTGCTGCAAATATTTTTAAGAAAGTTGCTACTGAAGGCGGCAGCGTTAAGACTTTGTTGTACGACGATAAACTTCGGCATTTCGTAAGTATTCCTCCAAATTTTGTTATTTTTCTCGAATTTTATGTGTTGTACTACTATTAGTTTGTCATATTTACAGAGGACGAATGTGCTTTATGCACTGATAACAGAAACAATCAAACATGCGAGTCACATAAACAAAATATTCGAGAACTGTAAAATATTAGAAAACGAATCACGTTTAGACCCATGGCTAGCCAAAATTCTGACAGCAGAACTCCTATTCGGCAAAAAGGCTCTACCTGGCAAAAGCAAGCCGGAGCAAACAGTCCTCTCATACAAAGACCAGTTTGAGAAATTTTCATCTGAGCACAAAGACGACTTCAAGACTGAAGGTAATATTTTTTATTCTTTTTCAGATCTAATATCAACATTAACTAAGTACAATGGCTGACCAAGGAGATGCTCCAATTTTGTCACGGCAATCAAAACAAGTGTTACTAGTATTGGCAAATCTATTTTTCTATAGTGTTGCTATGTTCACTCTGCCGTTCATTGCATTTTTCGGTGTTCGCCATTTGCTGACTCTTAATTACCCAGATAATGCATTCTTGGTGAATGTGTGGTCTGTGGCATCTTCTGTAGTGGTAGTGAACATAATCATAGGTGCTTATGTTTATAAAGCATACTATGAGAAGGAGTATGATGAAGATGGTAATGAGATAGACCAGCATGCATACCCTCCACTGAACACTGCAGCACCTGAAGCTTCAACTGAGAAGAGTAGTTTGAACTTGAAGCATGAGTGATGCATTTATGAACATTCCTTTATACATACAGTATTACACTATCTGCTTTTAACATTAAATCTTATTTAAAAACATTTGTATAACAATTGACAGGTTTACAAACAGTATGTTTTGAAACTGTGCAATGTACCAAATTGAATAGTTAGATTATAATATATTAAACTTAAAAGATAAAATATTTTGGCTTTTATTTTATCTCATTTGCATGAACTTATATCTAGGCTACTATAAGATATTTTAATAAAAATTGGTCACTAGTTACAACTAAAGAATTAAATTCCAGAACATGTCTGACTATATAGAGAATGTATTAAGTACCATTGTACCAAACTCAATTGAAAATTCACACATATTTTTATTCTACATTAACCTACATAGCGTGTTGTGCCAATTGCAATTTGATGAAGCCTTTTACATTTTCACCTAATAAGGATCCTTCTCTTGCAATCTGGCTGCATTGAAAAGCATTTATCTATGTTTCTATCGGTCTACTATCACTCCGAACTATCATTAAATACGTTGAGGAGGAAGTTAAAGAAAGTGACAGCACATGGCAGAATTGATGAGACATCTACATCTACCGCTATGGTTGGTTTTTGTAATAGATTTATATTACAGTATTTACCCATCATCTATTCTACTTTACTGACTTTCCGATTGTGTTAATTGTGATGTTATTTTGCCTATCCAGTTGCTCCCAGGCCAAGGTATGTCCGTATCAACACCAACCTTCTTACAACATCAGACGCAATCAGAGCATTCCAAGATGAAGGGTACCGCTTCATACGGTGTACTTCAGGATCCTATGCAGACTACTTGGAACAGATACAAAACCTTACAGAGGAAGACTTCACACAGGACTACCATGTGAAGACTATGTTTGTCTTCGCAGCTGGAACCAAACTCCATGAACATGAACTCTATTTGGAAAATAAGATTATTCTGCAAGATAAGGTAAGCAAGTTATTATTGCATATTGTAATTTTGTATTGCTGTCGTGCACACATATAGTGTGCATGTCGCAACACGTCTCAAACTTGTTCGCATTATGGAAAGCTTGTCTAAACCTGCATACAAACTGTATGCGGCGGCAATACATTCTTCCACGCTTATACATGACTCATATCGTCGAAGATAAGAGCGACCAAACCGCGAGCCCAGCGATAGGAATCATCCTATTTGCGCGCCCCCCAAAACGTTAATATAAAATGACTGCTCCTTGCGACGAGGCACCTTCAGCTGTAATGAAGGCAGTGTATCAAACGCAGTTGATAATTTTATTGGCAGTTAAATGATATGTACTTAAATTAGTTATTAGTTGTACAGTCGATCATAGCTGTCCACACGCTACACATACTGGTCCTTCGAGCCAGGTTCACAGCCTGATTCCTCGAGCCGGTACAGGATGGTATGCATAAAGATATCATAACTTGTTTTTACTTCTTAAAGAGATTAGATTATCAACTTAATAACCTTGCAATAAGGTAGAACATCCGGTTAAGTGGATATGAAATCCGCCTGGTGTAACAATCGATTTAAAATGATAATATGTTGTGCACAAACAGATAACAATCACGTAACGCTGTAACTGCACACATAACCGCGGCTCATGTGCCAATACCTACCGGGGGTACCTACTAATTATTTTTTCTTTTTTTATAAACGTTGCCCCCCGCTCTAGGTTTTTCTCCTGTGTCGTGGGTGCGTTTACAAACATACAAGTTCACATACACATTTACTACACATTATACCCAGACTCGGAACAATAATTTGTGGATCACACAAAAAGTTTCTCCGTGCGGGAATCGAACTCGGGATCGGGACACATTGCCCAGCCACCGCACTAACTGTTCAACTAATCTAGATAATCCTCATATTCCTAATCTCCAAAAGGCCGGTAACGTATGTACTTGTAACACCTCTGGTGTTTCGGATGTCCATGGGCGGCGCCGATTACTTACCATCAGTCTGTTCGTTTACATCGGAATATTTCATAAAAAAATACAGTTTCTAACTTTCAAAATCAGAGGATCTGGTTCTATAGTGGTTTTGAAACACCAATTTTATAAAATTTCGTAACAGCCTCGAATAGCCATCTTAAATACTTATATTCAAACTTGGAAGTTTGATAAAAAATTGATGCCTGTTCTACCAAATTTTCATACCTCTTTTTATCTCTTCCACACAGGCTACTGCAATGGCAGTACATCTGCTGGCCCCTCCACCGGGCAGCGTGGTGTTGGACATGTGTGCAGCGCCGGGCATGAAGACCACACAGTTAGCTGCCTTCTTGAGAAACAATGTAAGTAAAAAAACACGTTCTCTTTATTTAAAACGATTAGGTATTGAATCTTTACAAAATCATATATTAAGGATACATATACTATTAATCGCACAGTCGTAATTAAAAATCGTACTCAACTGCTTGCTATGCTATAGTCGTCGTCAAGTTATTCAACAAGGCCCAGCTAGTAGTTAGGTGCAAACAATACAGGCTACTTACCGCCAAGCCATCAAAGTATACTATAAACGGCAGGTAATATAAAATACTAATATTAAGCACTAATGTATGGAGTGGCATAAAAATAAAAGTAATAACTACAGCAGCAACATAATTTCGCTCGAGCATAAAAATATTACCGCAATATTACTGCAAAAACGGGTCATATAGTGGGAATTTTTTTAACATTCTTATGAGGGGCCGTTCAAATATTACGTAAGCAGATTTTTTACAATTATTTACCCCCCCCCCCCATCCCCCTTGTCAGCAAAAGTAAGCAAAGATCTTACCCCCGCCCCCTTTGCTTACGTACCTAAACATTTTAAAGTATTTTTTATATTATAATTTTAATATTCTATTAGTTACCATAACGTCTAGTTCTATGTCGGTCTTTGCTTGTAATTTATAATTTCAATATGAGGTTTGCCATTCTTGTAATTGCCATTTTTGATGTCGTAATCATCATCTAGACTCCCCTACTCCCTTATCCAAAATAAGCAAAACAGAGACTCCCCATGGTGCTTACGTAATACTTGAACGGCCCCTAAGTAGTCAACCAGGTTAAGAACAGAAGTTAGGTGTTAGCTTTTTAATTACCGTCATCTGCTCTCTAAAATCTAGTTATCCCTTGACTCCTACTTGTAGGTACCTAAAGTCTGATATCAGCCATTTTCGCCACTCCTATTACCTACTAGTTCTATAAATTGATACTGATTTCTTACAAATTCATAATTCTATGAAACAATATTCCGGTAATGCAATTGTACAATTCGTACACTTGTAGTTGATATTGGAGTGTGCAGAGAAAGATCACTCGGATAATGTAACTATAAAGTTTATTGCACCTTAGTGTAGTACAGTATAGCACAGTTGGCAATTCCTTTCTCATTAGGTGTTTACTTCGTTGTTCGTAAGAACACACTCTCCTCGATAATTACTTGATATGTGATTATATACCTAAGCAATATCGCGCGATCGTACCGATCTTAATGTCAACAAAATATCTATGTACCGCTGAAGACTGTACAACAATGTTCCTTCTAAAATTATATTTACACAATCCATTTTATTTATTTTTAGGGTCGCATATATGCAGTAGAGAGGGATGAAAAGAGGCACCGAGTGCTGTGTGACTTCGTTCACAAAACTGGATCGACATGCGTTGAGCCTTTGCACAAAGACGCTCTGGAAATCAAGAAGGGAGATTTGGATAAAGTCGAGTACATTCTTCTGGACCCAAGCTGTTCAGGGTCAGGTAATAACGAGATTTAACTGTTATAATTCTACCAGGTTTAGAAAAAATCATAAGTTGAGACGAATTTGTGTTCTATTGCGTTCATTGTAAGGGTAATATTTGCAAAACAGTTCTATTGTTCAATACTTGTATTAAGGAAAGTAGTTTCTAAGTGTTATCTAACTTCAGTTTCATTGCAACCCAAATTAAAGTCGGTTTTTCTTTGTCACAGGAATGGACTTCTGCGTACACAGCTACATAGAAAGCTCAAGACTTGCAAGACTGACATCTTTACAAGAGAAATTCTTGAAACACGCTATGAACGCCTTTCCCAACTGTAAGCGAATTGTCTACAGCACTTGTTCCTTATACCCAGAAGAGAACGAAAGAGTTATTACAAACGTGGTGAAGACCTCAAGAGCCAAGTGGAGGGTCCAAGATGTCAAAGAACTATTAAAAGGTCAGTGGAACAACTTTGGTTCGGGAATGTACGGCTCAATAGGTACCAGATGTTTGTACTCAAGACCAGATTCTGATTTCACTACTGGGTTCTTCTTAGCTGTTCTCGATAGGGACCCCAAAGATATGGAGAAGAGTTTGAATGCAGAAAAACAGTCACAGAAGCAATGGCAAGCTGCCAATAAAGGAAAATCGCAAAAAAAGGAAAATATAAACGATAATAACAATGACAATGGAGTTGGTGAAGAAAATAATGAGAGCAGCCAAGATTTAATGGACGAAAAAGTCGAACGGAAATCTAAAAAGAAGAAAAATAAATCAAAACTTATTGTAGATGAACATACAGAAACTGATCAGAACAACACACAGGAAACCGAAATAACAGACGAAGCTCCGAAAAGGAAGAAAAAGAAACGTAAACACGATGACAATAGTGTAGACCATGTTATAGAACAATTGGATGATTTAAGCGTAGAATGTGAAATAGAGGTTCCTAAAAAGAAGAAGAAGAAGAAGAAAGATAAACATGCAGAAGAAATAAATCATATCAGTATAACAATAGACACTTCTGCAACTAACGGTGAAACAGAACATAAACAGAAGAAGAAGCGAAAGAAAGATTTAGAACATGAAGACGATGGAGAAATAAAAGTAAAAAATAAGAAAAACAAGTCCAAAAAGAGTGATTCACAAGAAACAGAGATGGAATATGCAGATTTAGAATTGGAAGCGCCTAAAAAGAAAAAGAAGAAGAAATCTAAAGATGATTGATGTTTAAGCTGTGCTTATTATACTTTTTTATGTTTTTTATTACGATTAATAAATGAAATCAAGAATTTAATCTCGTGGTTTTATTGTTCTCTTGTGAAATGTACCCAAATTAAGTTTTTATTTATGATTTTTACAATACTTATATCCTCATTCGTCATTGTGTTTAAATACTTATGAAAGTAATATAAAATTCAGAAAAAAACACAGTGAGGCAGCACGATATTTATCCAGCTATGATGAGTAACAGGCGATATAGTGGTCAAACGTCCCATCAAATCTAGGTACCGTTTTATTTTAGAATCGAATCGATTAGGTACTACTAGACATTATCATTCAACATTATCATTGAACAATTCACCACAGATGGGGCCCAAATAGGGCCGATGCCGATTCAGAGTCGCGGAGAACCTAACGGGTTACCGGGGCTCCGGCGACAACGTGCAGGAGAAGGAACGGGGTGGTTTTTAGACAGTAAAAGTCTGACACTCCCTCCCGCCTCACCCAGGCGGGAGCAGTCATAGGATGATTTTTCATCAAAAAAAAAAAAATTGACAAACAACCTATTTAATTATGGATAAGTACTTCAATACAAAGATTCAATCGTCTAGACTTGCAATTAAAACCTTTATTAGACACAAAAAGTAAATCACTTCTCCCCATACTCAATAAATCTTGTACACAAGTAGGGCAAATGTCATAAACGACGATTATTTCGTCTAGCCATCTTTTCTACGAAATACAAGAACTCAACAATTCTTTGTTATTCTTACTTCATTACAATTTCAACCATATTTTGTTGACATTAGAAGTTAGTTTTACTTCGTCAATATAATCAACATGCTACGCTGTTATGGTGTCACGAATGTGTCGTGCGCCCTTATTTCTTTGCATATTTGGCGGGTCGTATGAAATTACGATTGTTATAGTAGGTTATACTTACCTACTGATAAAACCTATGATGACGGGATACCTAGGTAACTTGTTCTCGTTGTAAGTTTTTACTTATATCTAGTAGTTTAGTAAATAGTTTATGTTTTTGAAATGTTTTGAAAAGTTAAAACGTTAATAATTCTTTCATACACAACGTTTAAAAACTGATATTTGACAAGTCGTTTGATTAATATACTAAAGCCGTCTCCTAAGTGTAACAAACTTTTTACTGAAAACCGCATCTAAATCGGTTCAGCCAATCGCGAGATAGACGTGCACAATCAAACACACACAGGTCAAACTGCGAACATACTTTAACTTTAGTTGAAGTCTGTTGCAAAAGATGTAATTTCACTTGAGCACACGTACGTGATGCATCTGTAAGGGATCAGGGATTTGATCACCGTATCGACTTTGAAAAAGTACTATTGTATGAGAAACCGAGACCGAGAAACTATTGTATGGAAGTAAATGTTTTTCAGAACATGAAAAACATTTATTTCCATACAATAGTGGAAGTAAAATTAAGTAAATACCATAAATCTGATATAGAACTAGTTAAAACCTATTTCTCATGTACCTTTATCTCAATATTCAATGAAAGACATTTGTTTCATAAAGGAAAATCCATATTGACGATAATAACTTGGATAAGTAGGTAGGTTTTTTATTATTAATTCATTTATTAATTCTTCAAGTTACCTACATGTTTGAAACTTACGATGGTTACATGATTTAAAACATATAAGGTAAGGGCAATAAAGTTATATTTCGTGAATCAAAAATGACTATTAGTGGTTACCTAATGTGCGTTTGTAGTTTTGACCGATTAAACTTAGTTTAGTACTTAGCCGGTAACCGTGATTGATTAGCTTTGTAAAGCTTAGTCATTCAGAGATTATTATGTTGTTTAGGTACACGTTAAGTGGAAGTACCTAAGAGTGACCTAAGAGTACCTAAGTACGGCAATGTAGGTAGGTAATTATGTATAGAAGAACGTATTTACCTACTGTTTTTTCAAATTAAGTAGCTTAATTTTTTTCGATAACTGTAGATGATCGGTTATATGCCCGGCCTAGTCCAGGGCCACGTTTAAAAAAAGAAAATACTTACAAAACGTCACTAGGATCTTAACACGAATATTTTTTTTAGTTTCACAGTTCACATACAAAAATAACCACAGTAATAATTTCAAAAACGTTTAGTAGGCCAAACCCTTTAGGTTATTATGAAATAGGTACAAAACTTCCTTATCGCGTTGCTTAGCCTTGAGCTAATAGGAAAAACAACGAAGTAATGCTAAAGCAGGCCTCAGAAGGCGTGTTTAGATGAATCGATTAGACGTAAGTAATAAGTAATTCCAATGTTTTAGTAAAATTGGTGAAAATGGATTTAGGGCGACCAGCGACCAAGTTAGCTTACTTACCTAATGACGTTAATAACTTATGTGTACTGTAGAGACTTATTATTTTTAGGTAACTGTTAATTTATTGGTTGTTATTTAATATTTGTTGTAATTTAATTGCTTACAGTTACCTAACTTTTACATAATATCGAATAAGTGAAGAGTTTTTTTAAGCGGTGAAAATCATCGGATGACTTCTCCCGCCTGGGTGTGGCGGGAGGAAGTGTCAGACTCTTACTGACTGAAAACCACCCCGTTCTTTCTCCTGCACGTCGAGCCGGAGCCCCGGTAACCCGTTAGGTTCTCTGCGACAGTAAAGGGACCTGGGTGTCTTCACTCGGGTTGCTTATGGCCAGACGTGCTGTATCGTAGGCTGCATCATCGCTTACCACCAGACGAGAAAGTGGTCAAACGTCGGCCCATCAACTATAAAAAAGTGAGAAACTTTTCGTGGTTGTCTTGATAAAAGAGTACCCACATTATGTATTTACTCTTACTTACTATTAAACTCCTTATTGTAGCGGAAACCTGGGTGCTTTCTCTTGAATATAAAATATTAATAATTATTCAATGTCAAAACTATACAACCACAATTGTAGCTATTAAAATAGCATTAAGAGTACGGAATATAAAGACGAACTCAATACCATTTAGTTCATTCAATATCCACGCAATACGGACGCAACTCAAGAGTACGGAAATTTCGCAATATCAATGTCGATCGATCGGAATTGGATTCAAGAGTAAGCCAGCTGTAATTTTATGTAACCACCATTAGGTGCCATTTTACTTACTTATTTTTTATTTTACGAATCTTGTTACTGTTTTATCTGCCCTTTCCTTTGGTGGATCTTGATTGATTAGTGAAGGAGATAGCAGATAGACGTGAATGATTATAGATATTATTTACCTTATAACAAAAACGGTTGCCAAGCTACGCGAGTTGTATCAGTCCTCCAAGCGAAGCCCTCTGGGCGGGCGTAACAGGCGGGCCTACGTCAAATCGATTCCCAACCAATCAGCGACCGGATGCCCGATATTATGACACTGGTGTCACTCAGTACCTGTCACTCAATTATTCCACAAGCTAAAATGAACTCTAACGACTTGTATTGAGGTTGAAATTGAGGTGTGAGTGTAGAAATAAATGAGCCTACGTTATTGGCTGTCAGAATTGATGTTACCTCCGCCCATAAGGTTGTTGGTTAGTGAAATCGTTAGGTTTCTGAAATTTTATTTACATACCTATAAAAGTTATTAAATTAGGTTACACATAACATCTTTTTTTAAGGGGGAAAATCATCGAATCACTTATCCTGAGGGAGTGTCAGACTCTTACTGACTAAAAACCATTCCGTTCCTACTCCTGCCTTTTGAGCCGGACCCCGGTAACCGGTCAGAGGTACACAGGTATAGTAAGGATTGTGTAGATACAGACCACAACTGTGCGCTTCTCACGTAGCTTTCTGCCTCGCACAGCAAAATTGTGGAATGATCTGTCGTTGGCGGTTTTTCCGAACCGATACGACCTTCCAGCATTCAAAAAAAGAGCGTATTATTTTTTTAAATGCCGGTAACGCACCTGTGACTCCTCTGGTGTTGCGGGTGTCCACGGGCGGCGCTGATCGCTTACCATCAGGTGATCCGTCAGCTCGTTTGCCTCCTATTCCATAAATTTTTTATTTCCATTCAGAACTACGTAGGTATTTCTTTCAAATACATAATTCCCTTTCAGTAACAAGGAACTGAAACATATTGTCAGTGCGTGCTAGCCTCCATAAAGCAGTTATCGCCAACAATCGGCCGCGATACCTTATTTATTACACTACATTGTTATTATAATAAATGCGTCCCAACGTATTATTACAAAACTTACAGGGTCATAGGAATGTAATAATATTCTTATCTAAATGTTGACACGTTAGTTTAGGTTAAAGAACTAATTTAATTACTAGAAATTTTAAGGTGTGTCTAGATCTAGCGAACACCCTGAACAGGTACCAGGCTATATATGAACATGACAAATGCATGCGTTATCATAAAAGCTATGACAATAAATTATATATATGTAATAAAATAGTCTATATAATATATTGAGTGCCATTCAAACCAATAATTATATTGCCAAAGTTGTATCATTCAATAAAAATATCCAGTTAAATAACTACGAAAAGAAATATTCACTTACCTACGCTACGCTGCTACGCCGTAGCGCGACTACCAGTCGTAGCAACTGCTACGACCGAGTAAGGAAATACCAAAGATATTAGTTTTTATGACAAAATGTCGTACAATTTAGAATTAGGTCAAGTACGAATCAAGTATTTAATCGTAATTGGAGGTAACAAGCGCTTGTTTGTTCCTCAAACGGCTAAGCTTTGAGGAAAAAAATAAGTATTTCTAAAGTGCTGACACGACCCTATTTACCATATATTAAGCTTTTGTACTAACTGCAGATAAATGTTACAATTGTTATATCAGTATTTTAGATACCTAGTTTAAACTGCAACATTTTAAGGTTCAATAGCCTTTTACGTACCTTTCACCTATTACGTTATGACTATAATAAAGTAGATGAGAAATATTTTTCTTTAATCTCCGTCTGATAGATTATTTTAAAACATTACACACGTATTTTTTATTTTATTTTTTTGAAACGAATACTTTCGACGATATATTGATTTGAAATGTCGCGTGACGTCACTTCTATGTACATTTAATACGTAGAAATGACGTTTACCCCCACTTCTAAACTTTGATTCGTTATATCTAAGTATCATTTTATTATACAACAAAAAAAAACGTGTCTAATATTTTTTCATTACCTAACTTACGGACTAATTCGATTTTTCATTTTTTTATTTTGTCCTATAATAAAACAATACTAAGACAAAACGAATCAAAGTGTAGAAGTGGGGGCTAAAACGTCATTTCTACGTATAAAATGTGCATAGAAGTGACGTCACGCGATATTTCAAATCAATATATTGTCGAAAGTATTCGTTTTTGTAAGACAATATTTTTATTGTACACGTATTTTTATACGTGTCTAATGATTTTAAATAATCTACGAGACGGACATTAAAATAAAAATTAGGCATCTACCGTATTTTCAATGCATACAACTTACAGTTTTATTTGCAAAACATACATTGTCCGCGAATCACGCGAGAGTATAATACTTAGCGTCTATTGTTTATGCAAAACGACTGAGCTTGCAAATGTCACATCACACATTAACTTTAACTAACATTACTGTATTTACTTTAATAACTGTATTATCATGAAACTATGGTTAGGTTAGTAGCAGTGTAGTTTTATCTAAACTGCTGATTGGAGGTCGAAAACCCATTTTACTTATAGCTATATAGATATAAATAATAATAATATTTACACTACAAAGGAGCCTTGACTGCCTCGTTGACCGACTGGTCGCAAGTGCGACTGCCAGGCAAGGGATCTCGGGTTCGATTCCCGGGTCGGGCAAAGTATTACTAGGTGCTTTAAAAAATCTCAGTAGTAGCATGGAGTCTGGAATAGTGCCCAGTATATGGCAATAGGCTCATCCTCTATTATATGGGTCTCAATATAAATAGTGAAAAGTGGGTGTTACATTGTATGTACAGTGGCATTAGGTGTCGTAATGTACACCTTTGCCTACCCATTCGGGGATAAAAGGAGTGATGTTATGTTATGATATTATGTTATTAAATGTTAGCATTATTATTTTAGTAGCCGTATTTCTAAATAACTTTTCTTCAAAACAAAATAAGGTTTTGAAGAAAAGTTATTGTATATAAGTTGGGATTGACAATTATTTTTGTTTAAATAAGTGTGACATACTCAGCAAACAAGCTCAGTTTTGTTTAAAGGACATTAACACCAACACTCTACTATTAATCAATTTATCATTCCATCTTTTATGTACTAGTTGTTTATAAAATCGGGGCCAGTGTAACACAATAGTCGGAATCACATACATATTTACGTGTTCGAGAAAATCCTAAGAATTGGTCAGCACATATTATTCACACTAGTATTATAAAGTAAGCCAGTAATTAACGTCTTAGGTCAATAAAACTAACGAGGATAACCTAATTACTTTGTTTATTAGGTATTAGTTGAACCGGTGGCTTTGCTTGTTGGATTTAATACTTTGAGTGAGTAGTAATGTTCCAGATGTTCCTTAATATTCCACTAAAATATCAGATCTCATATGCAATATTAAGGCATCATGTTTATTTATTCATTAACTCTTTTATGCACACAAAAACAAGGTACATGAAGCGGACTTAATGCCATATGGCATAATGTTGTATCCAACTAAATAAACTATAGTCAATGTACTTATTCATTTATGTAGTCATACCCACGAAATGATAAATGTTTAGCAGTTGAAACCTTTTTTTTTTTGTAATTGTAGTATTACTTCGTAACTGTAACTTATAGTAATACTAGCTTTTACCCGCGGCTTCGCTCGCCTCACAAAAGGATAAAAAGTATGTGACATATACCAATACATACAGCGCCATCTATACCAATACTCCAATACTTTTGTTTTCCCTCGGGAATATCAATTTTTTTCGGGATAAAAAGTACCCTATTATTTAATCCAGACTACTAACTTTACGTCTGCAAAAATTCAATGCAATCGGTTAAGTAGTTACGGCGTGAAGTCAGAACAAACAAACAAACTCACTTTCCGATTTACAATATTAATAATATAATATAATATAGTAAGGATTTTATTTCTCATTGTAAGTAATGACTATTATTTCTATCCCATTACACTTTTATTGTATTTCAAACAAGACTGCAGTAGCTAATTGTACATAAGTATAAAACATACATATTGTAGAATACTGAGTTCATGTTTTGGCACACTCTGCAGGCATGTTTGGATGTTTACTGCATTCACGAAGGATAATAGTTTACATAACTGCAAAGAATGGAAGTGATACAACCGAATCATTTTTAGAACAATTAATGCAGTTTTTTTTTGAGTTACAATACTTTTTAATATGTTAATCTATGTATAGTCTACGGAAGGTAAAGAGAGTACTGAAAAGCAACGTTAAATCTTAAACGTTTTCTTCACTATAGCACTACATAGTATAAAACAAAGTCGCTATCCACCGTCTGTCTGTCCCTATGTATGCTTAGATCTTTAAATCTACGCAACGGATTTTGATGCGGTTTTTTTTAAAAGATTGAGTGATACTTAAGGAAGGTTTATATGCTTAATAGTACATGCATATTACACCCGTGCGAAGCCAGGGCAGGTCGCTAGTATTATATAAAGCTGAAGAGTTTGTTTGTTTGAATACGCTTATCTCTAGAACTACTAATCCAAATTGAATAAATCTTTTTGTATTGTGTAGTCCATTTATCGAGGAAGGGTATATGCTAACATTATGCTAGAATTAATAGGAGCCGGGTAGAACGGGTGGAATCGCGCGAAAGTAGCCACTTGTTTTAATAAACAAAATTCTTTTAATGAATAACTTCATTTCAACCTGTAAAAAGGGAATAAAGAATGCTTAAACATCACAACGCGTAACACCTTAGTTATATAACAGTTATTAACAAAAGTTATGTATTTATTATACCTACATAGAACCACAGCGTCATGAATTTAATTTCCGGATTTCAACACGTCATTTAAAAGTGGAGCACCCATTTACTTACGCAACAATATAGATGTATATGCATAATATAATTTAAAACACGTAAATGGGACATAAAACGAAACATTCCCTAAAGCAAGAGGTGAAAAAATATAGTCTTAACCTACATAAACACAACGCTACAATATGCTTCGTTGACCGGCGGGCAACTCGTGTGCGTTAGGACGACTAGACCCTCGGCATATTTATGAAATATATTGAAGAAAAATATTTGATACCAAATAAGTATTCTGAATCTTGAGAATAATCAATAAGTATTCCAATTCTTAGTTTAAATTATTCTTTATATAAATTAGTTTATGATCATGTTCTTCTATCGCTTAACGTTTATAAATAAGATAGTAGGCAAAAAGCATAATTGTTAAGATTTTTTATGTTTGATGGACCGACGTTTGGTTACTATCTCGCCTGGTGGTCAGCGATGAACCAGCCTACGATGGAGCAAGTCTGCCCATAAGCAACCTATTTACTCCGGCCTTGAAGATTAAGTTAAATACCTTCTAGATTATTGTAAAAGTACAATAATTTATCCATTCAAAATTTTCTGAAATATACAAAAAACGCAAAATAATTTGAATTAGCTGTTTTGTCACCAGCTTGCGTCTGCGCAGAGACCGTAGCAAAAGTTTTGGCTACACATAAAAGCTAGCGACTACGTCGTAGCAATTCTGCTACGGCGTAGTTAATAGTTGCTTAATAATAGATGTATCTAGTGTGAATCCACTGAATTAGTAAGGACTTGTATTTTGAAGAGGTATAAAAATAATATTATTTTATGAAAATATTAATAGGTACTTTAACTACGCCTTCCAAGTTGGTATTATTTATTATTGATTTTCCTTTGTGTTATATGTATTGATATGTGAAAAATCGTACTTTTTTTGAAAGACTTAAATCCTGATTTTCCGTGTCCTAGATAGTTTATCGATTAACATAGCACTTGGTCCGGCTGTTTCCGCGCACACGGGTGCGCTGGCCGCTGGCCGCCGTTGCCGCCCATTCGAACAGCCGTCACTCTGTTCCGTTAACAAAACATAACCGGACGACTACCACATTCACAACAAAAACAACCAAACACTTTAATAAACATTATTTAAATTTTTAAATACCACAAAGGCTTTAATTTAAACACAAATAAAAAAATAAAAACACGTTTTTAATCTATCGTCGCGAACTTTTTCGTAATTTAAACATCGAATGTTTTTATCCGGAAGTTACGTCGTACGTTGAGGCGAGCTCGTGAATTGTAATTCTGAATTTGAATATTCGAACTGGATTTTAGTGCTTGTGATTGGTTGTGTATTTTAAAATAGGTTTTTGTTAATTAAATGGCGACCGAGGAAGCTGTGCCGGCGAATGCTGTGGTAAGATTAGATTTGTCTAATAATACACATTTTGCTAACAATTACTTTACTAAAATACTATAAGAATATTGTGTAATAGTTTTATAGGTTTTATGATGATTAATAGATAACCTGTTGACAAACCTATTAAGTATATTGTTGAAATAATTTGGTCGCTTTTAGCTTACAAAGTGCCAAACATTCCATAATTTAATTGGCAGTCGTAAAAACTCATTGTATCGTTTTAATGAGCTATACGGCTTCGTTTTTATAACTATACGATGGTAACTAAGTTATGAATTCATAATTGCATGTTTAATAAGTCTACTATCTTTATAACGCTATTAATTTAACTGTTTAATCTGAAATTGGAACTAAAAAAGGTAACTGAAATAAATACATGCAAGATATTTGAATTTTTGTTGATTAAATTCATCAAATATTTAGTATATTGCACAATAATATATCATAAAATAAAGAAAAATAATCTCGACAAATTTTAACAATTCCACCAAAGTCTGAATCACAATAATTGATACAATTATCGACACGCTAAAATAATGACTATACGGCGATAAAGTCCATAATTACACGTACGACGACCAACTTACGAATATTACTTCTTTCCAGCTAGCTGATTCATTTTATAAGTTTTATTAGTTATAAGTTTAAGTTACAGTCCACTTGGTCGTGAGTCGTGACTACGGTTACTTAGTCACGCAGCGAGCTGACTCGTTAACTGTTATCTTAAAGAACATCTAACGATTGACTATACCTGGGTTAAAGTTTAACAAATCATTAGTTACTGCGAACCAGTCAAGGTTTCACGTCCTTACCATGATTTCTGTTGTTGTTCTGGACTATTGTGTAAGTTATGTTTTGGAATTTGATTCGTTTTTTAATTTTACCTTGTGATAATTTCGGGATGGTATCTTAAATAGTTGTCGTTTGTAAAAAACCATCGTCTCGACCAGTGAGGTTTATTTTAGTAATTTTATGAATAAAACTAAATTATAGTGATAATACTAGTAGTTACAGTATAATATACTAGTAGGTGAAGTTAGTAATATAAGTAATAAATAAATAGTTATGAAGTGATATTTTAGGTACACAATGAAGTCGAAATTACTTTCACATAAAGCTGTTAAAAACGTTTGGTAACTTTATTATGAAGACGTTCTTAATTCTCGTTATTATTACGTCCATTTTCCAACGATGAATAAACCTTAGAGTGTTAGTTAGCTAGATTGTTATCACTTCTCAAGTTTAACAGATATTATCATAGTAGAACTAACAATGTGGCCTTTGGTTGTAACATTGCGATTAGGTTGTTAGCTCCCGACTACTACGTTAAGTGCACTCTTAGCTTAAGTGATCTCGCCTACTCTCAATCAATCAACCACGTGGCCGGCATGAATCGTCAGTTCATGAATGAACATGGACAGTGGTATCAGTTGATTGGAAGTAGGTGGGTGGCCGGGGCGCGCGGCAGTCTGCGGCCGGGCCGGACCGAGGTATGTCGCGTCGGCCGCACCCCCGGCCGCGCCTACTGACGCGTCCCTGTCGCCAGGCTGCCCCAGAACCCACGCCAGCACCAGATCCGACCCCACAGCAGCCTCCCGACCCGCAATCGGACGACGAGCGAGAACCTGGCGACTGGCGGCCCTCCCGCCCCGCAACACCACCGCAGCGTACCGATGACATCTCTGAAGGATCTGAAGCCACTACTAGACCAACAAGAGCTGAACCAGCAAGTCGATACGCCAACCTCAACTACTGGAAAGCCAGAAGAGTTACCTTCTACAGAAATGGGGACCCGTTTCATCCTGGTGTTGAGTTTCGGTTCAAGCCGGGTCGAGATCTGGCGTCTATGGATGCCCTTCTCGACAGGCTGTCAGAAAGACTGGAACTACCTCGAGGAGCGAGGTTCATCTTCGGTATGGATGGTGACAGAAAGTACAGGCTTGAGGAGTTGGAAGACGGAGCCTCTTACGTTGTGTCATCTTATAAGACGTTCAAGGTAAGATTCGTTTCTTTATCCTAATGCGACCTTTAAATTACTTATGATATACATAGTATAGGCTCATGAACTGCAACCGACTACTATTGATAACTAGAGTACCTAATTGCTTAAACTGCGTAGAACGAAATTTCCTAACATCTAAATAAGAACATATAAAACTTAATTAATATCTCAAGGATCTGTCAAAGTTATTCTGGTCAATGACATCGAATAACATTACACTCTTTACACTGTATATATTTACTACAGTCAAAGATTTTGTACATATATAAACAGAACCTCTAGTACATAAAGAGTAGTGGTATATAAAAAACCGAAGGCGATATACATGATGTATGTTTTTGTATAGAAGAACTGTGCTGAAAATCCTTATTCCCACGAAATAATTATAGAGTCTAGACGACAAAACCTGCAACATACAATTAACACCTGCCCCACTTCTAAACGCGAAAAATATTCAATTACAAGCATTTATTTATGAAACAATTATGGGTTTCGTGAACGCCAAAATGTCGTAGGACCAACCTTGGAGATGTGGGTCAGAGGATAAGGGCCACGCACCGCAACTTGTATTTGCATTTTGATTACATACAACTTTGTTTTGTAACATCGATAACATTAATTGCAAATAAATTACGTTTGGACTAAACACTGCTAATTTAGGGCCCGGAAATTGGTGGGAAACCAAAGGGTTTCCCGAAGTCGTAAGTTTTGATTTGCGTGTTCGCTAATTTCTTTTGCAATCGTATTTACTTTTGTGATCCGAGATATTGTTTTTAAATTCTAATCATCATTAAGTAAATACTGTTTGGTATGTAAACTACTTAAGTATATTAAACTGGGAGTGTAATTGGTATAACCAACTCTTAATCTTTTAACTTTTGTCAACCATTTACGTTTAACGCGGTATAATACTTCTAAAATGTTATTGAATCTTTCGGAATGAATCGAAGAATACATTAAAGTACCTAATGAATATTTACCTTAAACCACACCATACTACGACATATACAATAATGGTAACCTAAAAGTTCTTTTTCAATCCAAAATCGGCTTTAAGTACCTAATATGTGCTGTAAATTACCAAAAAGTTCAAAAAATACGCAACGAAAAATGTGTCGTGTTTTTTTTTCACAATGGCGGCCATGTCAAATGCCTACGACCGCTAGCCGCAGACTGGCAACGACATCTACAGGGCATTGCACTTTGCACTTAATATGCACCAAGGCAACGCGTGGATTACCCACCATTAACATTCGAGACTGGCTGTCGACGGCACTGCACGTGTTATCTCGACATAAAGAAATACATTTCCTCCAGTATATGTTTGGCTTAGACAAGCTGAGATTAGGAGTAGTTGTAAAAACGTGGTTTCCTTTGTTTTATAAATTTATAGCTTTGACACTATTATTGTTTCAGTTTTTTAAATAATTCGTCTTTTTCGGGTATATGAGGTTGAAATTCCATAGTTTCTCGTAGCATAGCAGTCAAGAGTTTTATGACAAATTCAAAACCGACTATTACATTGTAACTGTGCGGTAATAAATCGTCTTTAATTTAGGGGTACGTTAAACATACCTAACACGTTAGCCGCCCCGTTGGTCACCGGTGACCTACGTTAGCGGAGGATTTGCCTTCAGCAGTTTTCTGTTCGCAGTCAAAGGCTTAAAAAATCTCAAATCCCAATCTGTAGATGGGATAGGTTGATGGAATGATGTATAAACATGACATGAAAAAGATAGAAGTATCTTATGTACTACAGACTTTCTTTATTATATGTATACCACACATAGAGTAGGGTCAATATTACCGTACATACCACACAAAACCTAACCTAACATAACAATACAAACATTTAATAAGTACTTGTCTAACACCAAGGACGTTATAGCACCAAACTACTTATTATTCAGTGCGTCGCTTCATGTAATCAGTCTTCCTTTCATTTCATATCTCTGTATTTACATATTGACCTGGAAAATCAAAGTTATGTTGAACAGGTGGTGTCTTACGGTTACCGATAAGCATATCTACTATTCTACTTAAGTTTTATCTAATTTATTGTAGCTAAAAGGTTTGTGAACTGTTATTTATTATTATGTACTTCAGTTACTTGTTGGGACCTCCCAGTCCCAGTACTAGTCCCAGTGGGACACCGTTCTATTTTTCTTGTGGTCGGATACAGGATTTCCACTTCATTAGTTGTTACATCTAGTATTCTATCATGTCGTTAATGATAGAATCTAAGTACCATTTACTTTAATTTAAATCATTCACTAAAAAACATAAACCTTTCAATAAAGGCTTAGTTTCACTTTATTCTAATAGAAGGCGCTACTATCACAAAAATTTTATTGTAAGTTATACCTACTTTACTAAAACGTGTCTTCTTTCTTAAAAAGTAATGTTTGGGTCACTTATAACACCTGAAATTATGATTTAAGTTGAGCCGTGACCAAATTGACTCCTTTGAAAGTACTAAAGAGTTCAATTTCAAATTCGTTACGCCCTTACCGTGTCAAAATTATAACCACTTGCGTGTTGACGATCGGCGACTATATTATCCGTAAATTACAATAATTTTGGCAAATATATATTAGATTCGTTAAATATAATCTTTATACACTTTTATAAAAAGGTGTAAACCATTAGATATTAAGATTACTTTGAAGGACAAACGAATACTTGTGAAAAATCTAAAGCAATATAAGTACATAAAGCTAATTCGTCTTAGTGCCCTATTTTTAATGTTTTCCGGGTCGTTAATTTACGTTGTTATAAGTATTATTACTCACATTACTCATACTGGCTAATTGTAATGCATACATCATTTTGAAAAATGGTTCTGTATAAGTTTTACCTCATTATAATATTTCTAACGTCTATAGAGGCTGGTTGAAAAAGTATAAACCTACTATAATAATTATCAAATGTAATAAAATATTCGTAACGCACTTGTGATTCCTCTAGTGTATTGCCCACTTACCTCATGTTCGTATCGGCCCTCCTTTTTTATGACATAAGCCGGTAAACGATTAGACGGATCACCTGATGATAAACAATCGGCGTCGCCCATGTACACCTGGCGTTACAAGTGCGTTACCGGCCCTTTGGGGATTAGAAGTTTGAGGATCGTTGGGGATTCAGGGATTGGGGAGATTGGAGAAGGGGTGGTGATTGGGCCTCCGGTAACCTCACTCACACGACGAAACACAACGCAAGCGTTGCTTCACGTCGGTTCTCTGTGACTGTGAGGCCATGGTATCACTCCGGTCGAGCCGGCCCATTCGTGCCGAAGCATGGCTCTTCCACACTTAAATGGAACATTAAAACCCCATCTTAAAGCGCCTCCTTTCAAATTCTCCATTATATATATACTATTCCACACAGATACCGACATCGCATACACTCTTTACCTTCGCAATAACAATCTATCTTATTTTCAAACATTTATAACAAATAGCTCAAGAATGATAGAATCAAACTAAAATTGTTCAAGACAAGACATATCAATCAAGGGTCCCTAAAAACAAGCTGTCATCAACACTATTGATAAGGGTTGAATAAATGAATAGTAAGTAAATAGAATAATAGTTGGTCGGTCACAGTACAGCAACATATACATAATGTATGTAAAGAAACTAACTGACGAGTACATGAAACACGCGAGACTCAATTAATAACTGCTTTTAGTATTTTTAACGATCTCTATCGCAAAATGTGGCGTAAATAATTCAATTTATTATACTTCACTGGCGTGCTGTGTAAGCTTGACTTAAATTGTGGTTTTATTGAGATTTTTGTCGTTGATTTTAACCTTTGATTACGTGAGATTTTGCCTACTGATTCAGTGGTCGAGGTCGCGGATGTCGGTATAAATTTGACGGTTTTTGGCAGGGTTGTTTGGTGTATTTTCGTATTGTAATTAGGTCATTGTAGAGTAATTAGTAGGTACATGATTTATTTTGAACCAAATATCAGTTCATGGTTACTTTCAAAATAAATGGCAACTCGTAGTAACTATTCTTTATTGCATTCAAGATTCTTGCTGTACCTATGTAATGGCATTAAGTTATTTAGATTATCTTTTGTTAGTATCCTAAAATAGTTTATTTGGAAAATCTCAGCACTATTTCAGATTCCTTTCAGAACAAAACTGGAATCGAACATAACTTCTCACGTTACACAGCCACGCTTGTAATACCACCACCCATTACGAAGTCAAGGCACTAAGTAAATACTTCATGATGAAATTGAATTAAAGACGATGACTAGTAAAATTGTAATAACCTCAAGTGTTTCAGCAAGAACATTGTTTCATAGTGCTAATACAATACTGCGGAGGACTAACGACTTGGGTGCGGTTTGTACAGTCACCGTCACCGCGTAAATTATTCTATGTACAATAATGGTTTATTATGGGAGTTGCATTATAATAAAGTTAATATTTACATGCGTTTTGATGATAATTTAGAATGTTTTTTATGGCATAAGCCGGTAAACGAGCAGACGGATCACCTAATGGTAAGCAATCGACGTCGCCCGGCTTTTTGGGGTTTAGCAGTGTGAGGATCGTTGGGGATTCAGGAATTGGGGAGATTGGGGAGGATTGGGTTGGGGAGGGTAATTGGGCCTCCGGTAACCTCACTCACACGACGAAACGCAACGCAAGCGTTGCTTCACGTCGGTTTTCTGTGAGGACGTGGTATCACTCCGGTCGAGCCGGCCCATTCGTGCCGAAGCATGGCTGTCCCACACCTAAAATGTTATCATATTTATGTAATAATCAGAATATGATTAAGTATAATACTTACATTAATTAAGTTGTTGTTTAAAAACTACGCTCGCGTAGGCATGCTACAGCTGCTACGCGCGTAGCGCAACGTAACCATCTGCTACGACCACACGTAGCACGTACGTTACGGTCGACGCACGTGGCGTTATTTAGTACTGGCTTTCTCTTTTGTTGTAACTCAACATTTTAAATCAGTATCATCACACCTTTGTATCCCTGAAGTGGTATACCAAGGTACCACTTATAATGTAACACCTACTTATCACTATTTATGTTATAAGTGACATGTAAGGGGGTAGGCCTATTGCCACATACCGACCCGGGAATCGTACGTAACGTAACGAATCGTGAGTAACCCGCGATGTTTAGTTAATTTAGTATGTCTCACGATAGTTATTATAAAAATTGTGTTTTGACAAAATTGTATGTAATTGATATCTTCAGCTACTCAGCTGAAGATACACTTACTCAAATGTAACTGGAAAGGATAAATTAACTTTATTAATACTAACTTAGAATATTACTACAATACTCGTATTACATAAAATTACGCCTTTTATCCCCGAAGGGGAAAGTAGACCTGCACATTACGGCACTTTATGCCACTGTACAATGTAACACCCACTTTTCACTATTTATACTACGAGTCCCATGTAATACTGCCTACATGTAAGACTGGTGACAAAAGTTTGATTCTCGGGTCGGGCAAAATATTACTGCGTTTAAAAAAAAATCTCAATAGTTGCACGGAGTTTGAAAATGAGCCCGGTATATAGCAATAGGCTCACTCACTCCCTATACTCGTATTAATAGCCCCCATTATTACAATGTAAGAAAAAACAAAAAACCTCCGAACGTCTAATAAACATTAGCATTTTTATGCTCGCCTGTACTTTTGAAGGAAATGTCTAAATTGCACTTTTGTTCCGCCGTACGTCGTTCGTGATTTCACTGTAGCGTATCGAAACAGTGTAAACTTGCCTTTACATCGAGTGGCGAGTGGCGAACTGCTCACAAAATCGGGGATATGGGTCAGTGAGTGGCTACCTTAATAGCTTATTGTAACGTAACGTAATTCTGTGTGACGTCCTGAAGTTATGTTAACAGATGTGCTATCTAGTGATTATTTGGCACTTTAACATCATCATAACATCACGCATTTTTATCCCCAAAGGGGTAGGCAGAGGTGCACATTACGGCACCTAATGCCACTGTACAATGTAACACCCACTTTTCAATATTTATGTTATGAGTCCCATGTAATAGGGGGTTAGCCTATTGCTATATACCGGGCACATTTCCAGAATCCGTGTTGCTAGTGAGATTTTTAAAAACCCAGTAATACATTGTTCGATCCGAGAATCGAACCCGAGACCCCTCGCCCGGCAGTCGCACTTACTGACCATTCGGCCAACGACGCAGTCAACTTTTCGTTATTGAAAATAATATTCCTGTAAGAAGGGTTTCAATCATAACTTTCTTGTTGTATCGGACAAACTATACGTGCATGTCAAATGCAATAAATTATTTAAAGAAATGCAAATCTCACAACATTTGCATAGTTCTCATAAAAGCAACATTTTCCTCTCAGACATGCAAAGGGTCCAATAATAGAAAGTAGTATTAAAAAAAATACAAACCCATTATAACAAATAGACCGTACGACTTTGACACACTTTGCAAAAATTAACTTTGATGTAACGTTCAATTATGAGCTTCTAAGAAATTTATTATTACGTAGAATTAGTACCAAAAAATTGGATCAAGGTTGACAACAATAAGTGACCCTTCTTGTTTACGTTACATTTAATGAGTGAACCGAAATTCTTATCGGTTGCGTGCCTTAGGCCCCCAACAGCCCACGAGTGAGCATAACAGCTCGTAATTGCTTCTCGTGGTAAAATAACGCAGCTTAGCGCGACGTCTGGGCTGATCCGTATCTGACTGTACTTTACATTGCGTGGAATCTACTGAGAGTGACCTTGGCGCCCCCCGCTCGGCTCTAACCCTCCACCGACAAATAAAATTTCGAATAGTCTGCTTCATCCAACCGTCGTAACCGTACCTCCAGCATTCGTTGTTATATACAACCCTATTACGTCGGTATAGGGTATCATCTCGCGTGTCCTTCGCGTGTTTTGAACCGTTTCGCTATTGCTATGGGCTTTTGTTTTGTTGGTGCTACAAATTAGTCAGCTGTTGCGAGTGGGCCTAGTACCATATATCGTGGCTGCGAATCAAGACGTGCCTTCCTAATAAGTGAATCTGTGTCCCGGAATACTTGGACTTGACATCAAAAGCTCGATTACTATCTAATAATATTGTGGTGCATCCAAAGTGACGTGGCCTTAACAAAACATTTCATGTTTTCAAGTTTATTTAAGTGAAATCGATCATTTATGACCTAGTTCTATCTGTTGGGAGAATCTGAAATTAACGAATACTTAGGTAGAGGTATGGAAATAAAGTTAGTTAGTGTGATGCAGCTCTAACTACGACTACAAATGATGATATTATATTGTTACGGGCTTCATTTATCTAATCAAAATAACTACACAATTCATCCACATTCTGTTTTGATTAATTAATATCTTAGCTACACAGACTACCTAGTGAAATTTCTAACTAGATTTCTTCATTGATATCAAACATTCCCTCCATTCGTGTCAATATTAAAAATTTTAATATTCCCAATTGTATTGGCTAATCAAGATGAACATTCTAAATTTGAACATAAAGTTATGTCAGAAAATACAAAACGTAATATGACATAAACGTACACAATAACAAACTTTATAGCCACACAGTTTTGCTACAAAAACAACTACATTTACTCATAAAGGTTTACACCGCACAATAAACTTATATATAATCAGAAAATAAATAAAATAATGCTACTAGCTGTAGGTTATTAAGTATGGAGATCACGCCAACATAATCGCGAGACTTTTTACTTTATGGTCATATAAAGCGCATAGTGTTGTTCGCGTGTTTGAGATTCGATCTCTGTTGACAGAGCTGGAACGACGTGAACACCATAGCGAATTAAAAAAAAAGTATTTTCTTAGCCACGTGACCACAATATTTTATAGGTCGCCGGTCGCGCATTTGCATTCGAAGAGCCATAGAAAAGCCGTCCGCTAAGTGTTAATTTTAATTTGTGTTAAATTTTTTAAGCGTGCTCTGAACAGTGTAAGTGTCATTTTATTATTTGAAATTTAGGTGACAATATAGGTAGGCATCTCATATTTTTTTACTTTAAGTAAAAATGTTATTTCTGTCAATATGTATGTTAAACCACTAAAGCATCTGCGACAATATTCCGTCAACAGCATAAGACATAGTTGAATCTCATTGCATTTTTTCTAACATACGTAACATAACAGAAAGATTATCAAAAAGCATTTACGGTGAATAACTAGAGACGTGCAAATCGCGTATCTTTAATGTAAGTATATGCAAATGTATGACCGTAGCGACCGGACAGACGTCACCCACTATACGTTACGGCTATCACTGTATGCAAAGCTAAACTGCGAGGTGACACGAAGACACGCGTCCACCAGTAGGTACTTGAACTTGACTCGAGGTGTTGAACGCAAGTGACATTTACAATCACACATTCGTCTATTCACATGAATGAACTCATGAAATGTTTTATTAGGGCAGTTAGATCGTAAAAAATACTTAGGTGATTGTTACGTCACGTTACATAAGGTTTTAATGAGCGTGAGCGAGCTTTGAATTGTGTTGTGGGTTATCACAAGCTACGAAGGTGTGGCGTCCAAGCAGGTACCGGTGGCTGTCAGCTGCTGACAGCTCGATGCTGGACAGCGAAGAAGATTCGCCTTTCGTCGTCGTTTCGCTGCCAGTGAACTCCACTGAGCCATTTGTGAGTCGTTTTGTTTACTATCTATATTTCGGCATGTAATAGAATGTAGAAATTCTTTGCTTACTCGGAAACTGCTGAGAGAATTGCAGCTGCGAAAAGTAAGTAGTGTAGTTCAGTCCTTTCAGTCCAGAAACTTAAAGCTCTTCATAATAAAAATGAGGATTATGGTTCTGGTAGTACTTTGTGTCAATCTATAAAGATATCATTTTGAGTGTTTCTTGCAGTATCTTGCACGTTACTGTAGCGTCAATAGCACGTTTAACACTATTCATCAGTTGGTATTACTTTGCGTTAGTATGTTTTCATTGCCAAAACTCATTAAAAAAGTAAAGCATTAACATATTTTTTGTAAGGATTAAAAAAGTCAATTTACGAGGAAACGGAACAGCTAATAGTCTCTTATCAATTACATAATCCAGTGTTTTCCTTGAGTATTCAAATGAATTGCGTGATCCGGGCACGCTTGCCGAAACCAGCACGTCATAACTAAGGTTATGTCACAAATGGCTTAATGAATGCGTAGTATTTAAATCATTCCTAGTATTTGTTATTGTTAATGCTAGTTATTAGGCTCAGGGTAAAATCGGTGGTAACGTTTGCGAGAATGCTGGACCAAGGTTCTTTTGAGACCTTTAAATTGACATGGTCTTGAAACCTTGGTCTTTTCAATTGACATCTAAATTATTTCGATGCTTTGAGTAATTTTAAGCCTTGTGAATCTTATACCGAAAAGATTTAATGCAAGCTGTAACGCCTTCAATATTCTCATTCATTTGAAAATATTCACATAAGTATCTACTTATACTAGGTGTCTATACTAAACGTTCGCAAAGCCCTTCAAATTCAACTTCCTTATGTACACGAAATACAATTTTCCACGTAAACGACAAAATGACTAACATTTTCAGACATATTAATTTCAAACGCCGCAGTCGACTAGTTATGCAGCAATTTGAGACGTGACCTCGACGAAGCGTGCTCCCCACACGTGGTGGACGATACGTGTGTAAAGACCACCCAAACTAGACCCCCGAACTATCACTTATTACCCCAAGATTCGCGTGAATGCAGTACTTTCGCGAGGGGGTGGAGGTCAATTCGTTGGTACCTTTGTACGTTATTCTAATTGCACGCACAGACTTGCGATAAGGGTGTCCTTGGAAGACGGTCAGTACCACTGGCCAAGGACTTTGGAATAATTTGGATGAAGCAGGGTTTTTGTTTACACGGTCAGTGGTCGGTTGGACGCCGTCGGTGGCTGTCTACGACGGTGACGCGGTTGATTTACTCGACAAAATACCGCGACTTAGTATACAGTATTGCGGGAAGAGCGACGAAGATTTGAGAGTATCTATCATGGTGAGCACTCACTTACCTACTTTTAATATTTTATTTAATGAATATTTTATTATTTTAAGCGAAAAAATATTCTATCTATACGGTACAATAAAGGAACCTTGAAATTATGTCAGTACTTAAATATTTATTTGTTCTCTGCCATCCCGGTTCGTCTGTATTGTTACCTTGTTGGTAATAGGTATCCATTTATTGTGCAGTACTTGTGATTTTATATATAAAATTTTAACCTTATTGTATTCAATTAACAATTAATCAATTTCACGTTAGGCGCCGATACTCAATCGTCTTTTCACCAAAAGGCAGAATAACTATTGACCAAAGACCAGTCACATACACAAAACTAGGTTAAAGTTGTATTCGCGGGGAGGTAAAAAGCAACGGTCAACCACAGAACGGAAGCGAGGGAATTTACCAAAGAACCATAAAATTCTGAATAAATCCACTTTACTTGTAACATTCCCCACACATCGGCCATTGAAAAAACGTTAAAATGTTAACGTAGGAATAAATTAACGTTGCAATACCTTTTATCGGACGGTGTCAAATAATTCTACTGCTTTTCTTTTAATATTTCGCCTTTTTTCGACGAGTTATGCGAAATCGTAAGCATTAAGTTCTAAAATATATTTTGCGGCACTTACTCGTATCTTTTTACGTATAATTCTGTGTTAAAAAAGAGGTTCGTTGCCGTACGTTAGTACATTAAACAAGAATTTATTATACTACTTCATCTTCGGTACTATGCAATACTATTACTATGTCAGATTAACTCGTCGAGTACCGGTTTTACAGACACAATTAAAGAACAATAGGTCGCGGTCACCGGTGACCGCTTGGTATTTGACAGTTTAAGTCGCTGTTAGTATAATTAACAAATCTGAATAAACAGATTTTATATGGAAACTAGCTGACCCGGCAAACGTTGTTTTGCCATTAAATTACTAAAATGGCTATTAAAAAATAAGGGTAAAAATTTAGGATTGTATGTATTTTTGTATGTTGTATCATAAAAAAAATAGGGGGATTTATTTCATTTAGGTGGACGAAAAATAGATGTTGACCAATTCTCATAGATACCGGATATATAAGCACAAAAAAATTCATCAAAATCGGTCAAGCCGTTTCGGAGGAGTATGGCAACGAAAACTGTGACACGAGAATTTTATATATTAAATACGTTAAGTTATCCGACAGTTAAAATATGTAACAAAAAACTTTATTAAATATTGTTAAAACGGCCCTTATGCTTTGTTCGCACTATGCTAGTATTTCAGTCTAGCACCGAGTGTTTAGTATATCCATCTCGCTTCTGTCCCAAAATCGAAGCGAGAGAGAGTTATTAAATACAACGAGTATTTATTACGTCTTGACTAACTTACAAGCATAGTACGAACAAAGCATTAGACACAAAAAATCTGACCGATACATACAATCCTAAGAAGAGTGTCATGTCAAAACACTATCCTCTTTTGACACTTCTATAGGATTGAGATGAGATCACAAAACTATTAACGATTTAAATTTATTTCAAAACATAAAAATATTCGACTGGCTGCCAGGCAACGTATCGCGGTTTGATACTCACACGGAACAGTTATTTATGTGATAAACAGATTGTTGTTCCGGGTCTGAGTGTCATGTGTATGTCAACTTGTATCTTTGTAAACGCACCCATGGTACAGGAGAAAATCCTAACGTGGGGTAAAGATTTATGAAAAAAGATAAATTACTGAATACTGACAACACTTTCTACTGTCTTATTACCTGATACTAAATATACGGAATGGCGAAATAAATAATACAATTTATAGAGTTTTTAGTGCCAGAATATTTTCTTAAACTGTCAAACACCGCGAGGACGCCGGTGACCGCAACCTATTGTTCTTTAATTACACAAAAGGAAGTAATGGAATGAACCGCACGTTTAGGCTTACTGAAATTCACTAAACCCACGATATACATTGAAAGATACAAATTAAGATAATCGTCTAAAATCATTCGTATTGCAGTTCTTTTCGTTTGCATGTCAGTGGAAATTTGTCGGTCAGTTTGCACATTCATCAAACAATGAAATCGTGTCAGGGGCACGAAGCTTCATAGTTTTAGGTCGGGCCGCTTATATACCGAAATAGCTGAAAATACATACTTCTAATGACGTCACTAAGAGCCTGTTATAAGTACTTGAAGCCTAAATTCGGAGGAATGTCGAAGCTTTTCGTTCGATTGAAAGAAACACGGACTCCATTGACCTAAATTGTTTTATTTTATTATATTTTTACGGTATTCAGTACGTAAGTGGTATGCCAGGCATGCTGGACGGTAAACTTAATAGTTCATAATGAGCCATTCATTTAATTACGATAACTAATTATAGTACGATGACGTAGGTACATTTAACAATTCTTAGGTTGCTAAGACAAAACCTTTCCTGACTTTTATCTCAAAAAACTTCTTTGTTATAACAGAAAAATTCTTACCTTGCCGTCGCGACGGTACCGAGTGAAAAGAAACAAATGAATAAGGTAATTAATAAAACTGCAGCATGTAAACTCATTAGGTTGTAGGCAAGCCATAAAAATGCACTAGAGTTTTTCTAGGAGCCACAGATTATACGCAATCTTTCTTCTTCATAAAAGTTGCACTTGTCATTTAGGCACAGGCTATGTAACATTCTTCCTTCTTACTGCGTTCTTCTGATAAATCTGGGGTCTACTAACAGCCATAAGTAAGTATAGCTATAATTAATCTATCTATCTAGCTGCGCATTATAGCACATCCATAGACTTTGAACTCCTCAAAGTGTTCTGCACTGGGTAATGTCTTCAACTTGAGTTTATTTGAAGTATTCTTTTTAATTGACATTAATTGAACTTTACCTACTATCTGTCCGTAAACTGTAACTACAATGAATGAATGAAATTGATATCAATTGATATTTAGTTTGACTGAATCGGGCAAAACATTAATTATTGGATTTTAATATTTCTTAATATTAGCATTCGCCTCCTATTGTATGGAAATCAAATAACTTTTAAAACGCTAGAGTTTCTAAAAACATGATCAACTCTACGGGGAATAAAAAGCATGTTTTAAACATAATGTTTGAATGTATCTTTAACAATGATGGTTTTTAACAGGCGGCGAGCTACGGCAAAAAGAACGGCATGTGGTACGGTGGTACCACGACGGGTACCAGTGCCTGGTCACGAGCTGGTACTCGCAAGCAGTCGGTCGCGGAGTCCGACGCTCCTCCTCCGGGCGGCGGCAAGCCAGCCAGTGGCCGCGTGATCAGGATTATTAATAATATGGACCATTCTATACAGGTAAGTCGGCAGTCCACAAAACTATAGGACAAAAAATAAAAACACAAATTGTAGCCACAAATATTGTAGAACCTGGACAAGACAAGGACTTCACATGAACACCAGTGTTTACAGTTTTCAAAAATAAGATTTATAATACTCGAACCTACTTAAAAATTAAAATATACTTAAGTCGGACTCGTACTTACTTACATTATTTCCGAGAACTGGTCATTATGTACTTAAACAAAAATTATAATAATTTTCTACGTATGTAAATTTTATTCAAATCAAAAGTAAAACATTCGCCCTATTACGTTGCTAAGCGGAACGCAGTAATGTTAAACCTGTACTTATTTATTCTTGCCTACAGTTTATATTATGTACTTAGGTACCTTTGATTTGTAGCAGTAATGTATGTATTGTAAGGGAAAGACTCGGCTTGAACACATAACATAACATAACATCACGCCTTATATCCCCGAAGGGGTAGGCAGAGGTGTACATTACGGCACTTAATGCCATTGTACAATGTAACACCCACTTTTCACTATTTATGTTATGAGTCCCATGTAATAGGGGATGAGCCTATTGCCATATACCGGGCACAATTCCAGACTCCGTGCTACTACTGAGATTTTTTGAAAAATCCCAGTAATACTTTGCCCGACCCGGGAATCGAACCCGAGACCCCTTGTCCGGAAGTCGCAATTGCAACCACTCGGTCAACGAGGCAGACTCGGCTTGAACAATCGTATAGATTTTCAATTATACCATCTAATACTCATATTCTATAAAGCGGAAGTTTGTTTTTTTGTTTGTTTCTTTGAACGCGCTAATCTCCGTAATTACAAATCTGATTTGAATAATTCTTTTTGTGTTGGATAGCGCATTTATTGAGGATGGCTATAGGCTATAAAACATCACGCTACGATCAATAGGAGCTGAGCAGAGCGTGTGAAACCGCACGGAAGTAGCTAGTTTTGTAATAAAGTCTAAAATCTTTTAAAGAGCTTTAAAGTATAGGAGTATATTGATGTGCAATATGCAGATAATAGTGAATGCAAGGCTATGTTTTGTATTTTGTATTCAATAATAATACGCTTTCAGTGAAGGCCTTGAGTAGTAAACAGTGATCGCTGAAGAAGGCTTTGCGAAATTTATTCGAGGTCAACCGATCATAAGTGGCTATACATGTATTACTGAAAACTACATGTTACGGTGATTCACTAAGTATTGGGTATTGCCAAGTTTGTAAAGGGCATTTCGGAAATATCCCTGAAATATCTTAAGGCTTTATGCTGGTCTTTTATTAATATTCATCGTTACTTTGCCTATTTTGACTGTTTACATTAAATACATTATCATTTAATACATTAAAGTATAAACTAATAAAAATACTTTCATTAATCGATTTTATGACCAAATTAATTTTAGTATTTTTCCAGTAAGCTTTTAAGAAATAAGTATGCCAATTGACGCTAATAAAACATAACGGCCCAATTCGCAATTTCGTACAAAATTCATAGAAAACTGTCGTTTTTGACAGTTCCAAAAAAAGTTTTGAATTTGACTAGTTGACAAATATCCCATTAAAAGACATGCAGCTGTAGCCAAATAATGCCATTTAGCGCTTGTCTACATGTAGAATAGAAAATCAAATTATATGGAATTAATGTAAATTTTGACACTTTTGATTTGTACTCTCTCTGTAGACAAGCGCTAAAGTGGCGTTTGGTTATAGGCCATGATTCGAGAGTTTAATATGATGTCGTTTATTTACAGTGTCGTGTTTTATTGAATTTACGCACTACACAACCTTTTGAAGAAGTTTTGGAAGATTTAGGCCAAGTGCTGAAGATGAGCGGAGCTAAGAGGATGTACACAAGCACTGGGCAAGAGGTAAAACCAGTTGCTTTTAATTTAGATAATGTTTGATGTTAACCAATTAAAAATTATGATTTTTTGTTTAAAGATGTTACCAAACGATTAGGTGTTTTAATATACATAGTTATTTAGATAAGTTACTCGTATTTTTAAAACTGAAAGTGTTCCCAATTGTAGGTCCGGAGTTTTTCTCAACTTCGGAACGAGTTCGCAGATGTGGAGACGTTTTACTTGGGCTCTTTGATTGTGGCTCCCGCCTTGAGTCCTGGTATCAGCGCCCCATTACCTATTGAGTCACCCATTAGAAGGTAACCCATATTATTATTGTATATAATATATACATTATTTTAAGATTTTGAGTCCCCCCTTACCACAATCTGACCAAATTGTCAAGTTGAATACTAAGCCAATAACAAAAACGTGTTAATTCCTATTTTCCATATGTATAACGAAAGATTGCGTTATCAGTTTTTAAGTAGAATTAAGTATGATGATGAATATATATGTATGAATTAAACTCCAAACCAATGACTTCATTTTCACTTAAAGATAAGTTAAATCTTTATTTAAACTTTCCGTACAATTATAAAACGTTAGAAAAACTTAAACAATTTTAAATATTGGTACTTATCAAACGTTTAGTTGTCCACTGTACAATCTGTGCATGTCGTCGTCATCGTTTTATAGAAGTAGCAAGAACTACAAATATTTGTGAGTTGTAGATCTCGATCAAGAGGTAACGTGGCGGCTGCGCCGATGGCTGCGGAAGACATGCGCGGGAGACGAGCGAGGAGCAAAAGTCGACCGCGGGTACTATACGCGCCTGAAGGAGAAATAGTTCGCAATTCAGGTAAATTAAAAGTAATTATTTATTGGTTGATTAATCAAAGCATTCTGGGAATAAAAGTAGGTACAAACTATAATCGATATTAATTCTATGTAGCATAGTGTTTGGATTATGTAAATGCGAATAGATAAGCTTACCTTTTGTAGTGAATCCATAGCATAAGCAATACAGTAACAATATATTGTTGTACAGATTACACTTTGCTGGAAGTTTTAAAAGAGGAGCCGATCAGGGTTACAATCAGAGGTCTTCGGCGCACTTTCTACCCCCCGATACACCACGCACCGATCGACAACTCCCCGCCAGAGAAGAAACTACAATTAGATTGGGTGTAAGTATTTTATGAGCTCTTTTTCTCTGCAAAAAATATTAGTATTATAAAATAAAACCTTAGATGTTTCATTTTCCAGTTCTTCAAAGTACAGAGAGAAATGCAAATGATTTTTATGTGGAGCCTGCGATCTTTTGATTTTTTGACAATTGCTTCTTGTAGATATCTTGATCTTATCAAGTGTTATCATATGATAACTTGATCTTATTATTTAATAACCCTCTAATTACCCCCCACCCCGTCCCCAATTTCCCTAATTCCTAAATTCCCAACGATCCTTAAACTCCTAATCCCCAAAAGAATCCGGTAACGCACTTGTAACGCCTCTGGTGTTCCAGGTGTCCATGGGCGAAGCCGATTACTTACCATCAGGTGATCGGTTGCTCATTTACATCGACTTATTCCATAAAAATTTTAGTATATTCCAAAAAAATATGAAAACTTATCATTGTAATGTTACATTTAAAGTGATTTTCTCTCAAACAGTTACGGCTATCGTGGATCGGATTCGCGTCGCAACTTGTGGGTGTTACCGACTGGCGAGCTGCTGTACTACGTGGCGGCTGTCGCCATAATGTATGACAGGGACGAAGAATCCCAGCGACACTACACAGGACACACCGAGGACATACAATGGTAAAGTTTAAAATTCTTATTAAACTGTCAAACACCAAGCGGTCACCGGTGACCGCGACCTATTGTTCTTTAATTGTGTCTATAAAACCGGTACTCGACGAGTTAAGTAATTACATTGTTAAAGTAAATCGCAGGCTACTGCGACTTTATTCGTATTGATTTAGTTCTGCTAACTAACAACTCTCTTTTTTTATGGCATAAGCCGGTAAACAAGCAGACCGATCACGTGATGGTAAGCAATCGGCGTCGCCCATGGACACCTGAAACAACAAGTGCGTTACCGGTCTTTTGGGAATTGGGAATTTGGAGGATTTGGGGTTGGAGGACCTCAATCACACGATGAAACACAACGCAAGTCTTGTTTCACGTCGGTCTTCTGTGAGGCCATAGTATCACTCCGGCCGAGCCTGCCCATTCGTGCCGAAGCCTGTTAAAAATATGTATATGTAGTCTAAAGTTGATCAGATGTTGAAATCAATAGTGAACACAAGTTGAGGAAATAAGTCTTCGAAACCCTTCGCCTGCAAGTTTCTATTTGATTAATAAATACTGTAATAAAAAATAGTACATAACATGTGCCCAAAATTCACTTTTACATTCTTTAGAGGTCATGGGAGACAAAAGTTACCAGCGCTAGCGTTTTCTGTGGGCACGTAAATAAAGGATTAAAATATATTTAAAGTCATCTTTGTGAACCAGCATGGAACTCCATCCATCACGAGAGTTGGTGGCGAGTGGACAGCGCGCAGGTCGCGGCCGGAGAGCGCAGGCGCACGTCCGCATATGGAGCACCGACACGCTACAGACGCTGCATGTGTTCGGCATGGCCGAGTTTGAAGCTGGAGTCTCTGCTGTTGCATTCTCGCAACTTGTAAGTACTTGTGAACAATGTAGATATTTTGGAAGATTGTAGATGAAGAAGATAATTTATTTATTAATAAACTAAACTAATATATGTATAAATATAAACTAAATAATAAATAACTGGAGCTAAGGAAAATAAAAACTAAAGTATTTACAACTAAAATTAACACGTGGAAAAAAGAAAAAAATAAATAAAAGAAAAAGTGCCTTAACGCATCAAAAAAAATATCGTCATCATTGTCTATGATGTAAGGTGTTCAAAAGGCCGGCAGTATTGCCACGTTAGATGCTAATAGAATTATGAAATTGTAAATTAGATAAAGTGTTCCGATTTATCAATCATCAATTAATTCTTGCCTGTAGAATAAAATTGACAGTTGACAGTTTTTACTATAGAAGAATTGTAAAATGTTCAAAATTATTCCTCAGTTTAAATTTATGTGGCGTTGAAGTATCGGTCATGAAAAATTTTCAATTTTATGTAATGACTTATTTGATGTCCAATATATTGAATATGCTAACCCAGCTGACCTATAGGCTTGCTCTATGTAGGAGGGTTGATGTAATTTCAATTACAAATTGAAATTTAATAGGTTCAGGTTAATCTGAGAGCACAGTTTTCCGCTCTCTGTCAAATGTAAGCGAAGTCCCATCTTAGTAGAAGGGTAGGTGGTGACTGGTGACAATGATCTATTCTACATTTGTATTATAACCTTCGTGAGACATACTAAATTAACTGGCTACTTCCACGCGGTTTCACTTGCTCTTCTCGGTGGCTATTAATTGTAGCATGATATTTTATAGCCTATAGCCTTCCTCAATAAATGGGCTATCCAACACAGAAATAATTTTTCAAATCGGACTAGTATTTTCGGAGGTTAGCGCGTTCAAACAAACAAACAAAAAATCAAAATCTTCAGCTTTATAATATTAGTATAGATTATTATGTTTTCGGTTTACTTAAGTAATTATTTGACGAGGAATAATCCGTGAGTAAATACGTCGCGGGTTGCGGAATGCTGCTCATGAATTTGAGCCTCTAGTATGGCTTGAAACTGGTCTAGTTTCTCGTCAAATAATTACGTGAGTAAGCCGAAAATATTATAATTAATGTATTCTACATTAGAAATTTGTACTGATTAGTATTTTCGTAACAGAATGGAGGCAGTTACGTGCTAGCGGTGGACGCTGGCCGCGAGAGTATTCTCTCTGTGTGGCAGTGGCAGTGGGGGCATTTACTAGGAAAAGTTGCGGTGAGTTTACAGTTTTTATATTTTCTTCGACCCTTTAGGCCCGAAACACATAATCGCATTGCGTCGCCGCAACGCTAAACTCGGCAGTTTGCGTTGCGGCGTTGCGGCGTCGTGAAAAAGAGCGTTTTATTGTCGATCAGTAGGAGCACCAGTTCGTCGTGATTTTTTATTGTAGATAAACGGGTCTCTGCCATGGACCATTGTGAAAAACTTATTTGCTTATTTGTTATTAAGAAGACATTGCCTGCTATGCTGGGACGAGCGCTGCGTTGCGACGCCGCAACGCAAACTGCTGATTTTAGCTTTGCGGCGACGCAACGTGGTTATGTGTTTCGGCCCTAAGTGTTAACTAAAGAATTTCTTGATTGGAAAGCCAAATTTTTATCAATCGTTTATTTTTGCGGGTGTTAATGGGCGGCGGTGATCGTTCACCTCCTATTCCACAAAAAAAAATACGTTAACTCTATTCAAATAAGTGAGTAAGCTGTATATTCTAACAAGACCGCTTACAAAACTATGTGACGTATTTAAGCTTAAAGCAATATATTATATTATTTAATTAAAATTTAGACCACAGAGGACATACTCCAAGAATAATTTATGAATTCCGAAAATTAACCTCGAGATATAAATACTTAAGTACTTAAACTAAACTTATCTGCATTCTGGTATTCGTGAAGTACCTAATATGTCGTTACGATAAATAAAATCTAGATAAACAGTGAATGTACAGTGTATGACGTAGTGTCTGTGGCCTTGTGACCTCAAGGTTGGGTCACACATTAAGATGTGGCGACATGTTCAGTGTTTACCCCCGTAGCGCGATGTAGGTAAACTTTGTTTTAAAACTAGTGATGTACTGAGTTCGCAAGAAATGGTATTCTGTAGGATAATTGTTGCGTAGAAAAACTTTTCTTATATCTAGTTCGAAAACATTCAGAAAGTTAAATGTGACGTTAACTAATATATTTTTCATAATTTATTTGTTTTGGGCCTACGTTAAAATACTCATCTCATTTAGGTCTATCAGCTTTTTGCTTTACGAGATATAGACATTTTTCCTCCCGCATTTTCTAATATCTAGATTATAATTTTTGTGTCAAATTAATAATAAGTACCTACAGCATAATGCATACCCACAGGTGTAACCCCACCTTTACGATTCCAAAGCGATATTCTTCCAACAATGGTGACGTGTTTAAACCGTCCCCGCTTTTTAATTTAACGAAGTGATAGGATCTAAGATATAGCACTAGTGCAATGCATTTATTTCACAAGTTGTCGTCGAGGACATTCTTAGAAATTCAGGTTTTAGTTACAATTTCGTATGTGGGTAGGTCATGGGCAGGTAGGTACAGAACGTAATATATTTTGTAGGTACTTATTCAAATATGTAAAAGGTAATGGAATCGTAATTTTGCAGAATTGAAGTCGTTAACTTTAAAGTGTTACAGCAAAGTATTTTTTTAGAATACGTGCCAATAATAACTTAGGTAGAAATCATGTAGCCATGTAAAAATAGGCCGGCTCAACCGGACTGATACCAGAACAGGACCTAACATAAAACAAATAACGATTGAGTTGTGTTCTGGTAAACAAAACAAAATAAACAATGAACAAAAAGTTTTTTTTGCTATTTCAAAGAAACTATTAAAGTCCACCACCATAGATTACGATAAAGCGCGCAAATGTAACCTCTTAGAAAACATAAATCAGTTCGTAGTGTTGTTGGTCGCAAGTTCAACACACTATACGTCGCCACGCCCCCTAGCTACGAAACTGCTACGAAATTGCTACGAGCTACGAAAAGGCGACAAGTCAATATAGTTTATAGACATTTTGTTGTAATCACAAACTGGTTTTTATAATAATTACTCGTAAAAAGAAATAATTTATTATTAAAATATTCTAATGTGACATGGCCTAGATTTAATGGACTATATAACTTTAAAAGTTATGTGCACTAATTTCTAAAACCGATATTTTTTGTGGTAACATTTACGAGTTCATAATAGGAACACTAATTTAACAAGGTCTACAAGTTCAATGAACTGTAAATTGCACTAAATAAATACGTTGTCTTGTCTGTAACGATTGAAATTCTACTTCCTAATTCTGAAAAAGTACAATAGGCAGAGGCTGTATATTACGAGCTTGAAGATCGAGCTCAGTGACGTGAGAATGATATTAGAGAGAAAGGATCTGAAGTGACGATGATAATCTTTCTGAAAAGCGAGACGTAGACAATTGCAAGCTGTAGAATCATAGACCACACAATGATTGATTCTGAAGGATTATATTCTTTCACGGGCCCTAGGTGCTTTACCCATTAAGTGCTGGTTAGACTTTGACTTATTTAAAATCCTCTGAACATGACCCGTCATAGACTAAAGTAATACTTTAAAATGCCATGCTATACAACGCTCAATCATTGTTAATAACCATAATGTTGATCTCAAGTAACACCTATTTTTATACAAGAAAATATTTTTCTCGCTAGCCAAGTAATAATTCTTCATAATTGTCAAGCTACATCTTACCGGTCACGCGAGCTCGGTCTTTACTTGTACATGCGGGAAAAAATTGTAGAGCGTAACTAAATCAACACTTTGCTTGTGCCTAGGGCCTTTTTACCTACGGTTTTATTATTTAACTATGTACTTAGTATGAATCAATAAGTTTCCAAATTAATACCTAACAGTAAATTACACACGTCTGTTAAACTAAACGTTAAAAATGCAAATGTTAAGATTTCTTCAAGAAAACCTGAATCTAAAGATTTTTGTACCAGTGCAGCGTTGACCTCCAATGCATCGGGGAATGTATTGTGTATTGGAGGTCGCTGAACTGCTGGTTCAAGTCAAGTTTATGTTGTTGCATTTATTTTTCCAGGATTTTATCTTTTATCTTTTGTAATAATACAATGCAATTTATATTAATATTTTTAACTTTTCATTGTCGACTTGCAGACTTTGCAAGAGGAGCTAACCGGTGCCGCGTTCCATCCACTTGACGATAACTTGCTCATCACTCACGGAAAAGGACATTTAGCGTTTTGGAATCGTAGAAAAGATGGATTCTTTGAACGCACCGATATTATTAAACCAGTAAGTAAAACTAATTTACTCAAATGTATTTAAAATAAAATAACATTTCAGCTTAATTGCTTAATTTGTGCATTGTCTTCGTCAGCTATGGAACGCGCGAGTCTTTTCCCGCGTAAGTTGTAGAGTGAAGTAAAATACAAAAAACCGTAACTACCGGTTTTTTTATTATCTTTATATTTACAGCCATCGCGCACCCATGTAACTGCATTGCAGTTTGAACAAGACGGTGATGTTGTAACTGCCGATAGTGATGGTTTTATCACAATATACAGTGTCGATAGTGATGGAGCTTACTTTGTGCGAATGGAATTTGAGGTAAAACAAAATGTTACTGAAAAAGTTCACATGAAGCAAAAATTAGTTCAAAGGGTCTACTACTAATCACCTCCATTTAATTTACAGGCTCACATTAAAGGCATTAGTTCTTTGGTGATGCTCTCTGAAGGGACTTTAATATCAGGAGGAGAAAAGGATAGGAAAATAGCAGCATGGGATTCTCTTCAAAATTACAAGAGAATAACAGAAACTAAGGTTTCTTTTACTGTTTCTGAACTTACTAATTCATACAGAAATTTTGAGCTACGTAGTATTAAATATGATTTATCGTTTTCAGTTGCCTGAGTCTGTAGGTGGTGTTCGGAGTATCTACCCACAAAGACCTGGCAGAAATGATGGTAACATTTATGTTGGTACTACACGCAACAATATTATGGAAGGTTCTTTGCAAAGAAGATTTAACCAGGTATTCGTATAATTATATAGGTATATAATTAATGAGTAAACAAATTTAAAATATTCCTAGGATGTCTATGACATGTCAGTAATCGATGAAAAATGCGTCTGTTACAGGTGGTGTTTGGACATCACAAGCAACTGATGGGTCTAGCCGTCCATCCTGATGATGAAATGTTTGCGACGGCTGGACACGACAAAAATATTGCTCTATGGAAGGGTCATAAACTTGTATTTGCTACACAGGTAAAGTATAGTCAACTGTCCAATAGTTATTATGGCCACACCTATGTACTACTTCTACAGAAAATATACTTCGTAAAGCTGTTTTATCATTGTTATGTCTAGTATAACAGTCCTTATTGCCGCTAAAAATTATTATAAATGATTTACAGGTTGGATATGAGTGTGTATCTCTAGCGTGGCATCCAAGTGGAGGCGCCCTGGCTGCAGGCAGCACTGAGGGTCATCTCGTAGTTCTAAATGCAGATGCGGGGGCCCATGTAGCCACATTACGAGTTTGTGGCTCACCGCTCAGTTGTTTGGCATATAACTCCGGTAAGAGTTTAAACCATTATTTAATTATAATGTATTGTTTTATGTTCTGTTGAAAGCATATTTAACCTATAGAAAAATCTGTGTTGAAGTTGCGGAAATAAGGAACATAGAAATAATAATCCAAAACATATTCATTTCAACTATTCTTAACAAGTTCTTAATATTAATTTTTCAGCTGGCGACACTCTGGCAATAGGGTCACAAAACGGTAGCATTTATTTGTTCCGTGTGTCCCGTGATGGGTTTTCATACAAGAAATCGAATAAAATACGAGGAGCTCAAGCTCTCGTGCAACTTGACTGGAGTTTAGACGGGAATTACTTACAAACTGTGACTGCGGATTACGATCTTGCCTTTTGTAAGTTGATTTTCATAATTTATTTACATTTCATAACTGCTTGTCTATATAACTTTTTATTAATTTTCCAGGGGATATTAAGTCTTTATCACCAGAAAAGAGTCCTATCGCCATGAAAGATGTTAAATGGTCTACTTACAACTCTACTGTTGGATTCCTTGTATCAGGTAAGATTATTTTTTAAACTCAAATGAATTCTTTTGTTATCATTATCCTAATGAAATATTCTTGTCCTTAGGAATGTGGAATAATCGATTCTACCCAATGACCACTCTAATATCTACGGCAAGTCGATCTGCTGCTCATGATCTCCTTGTAAGTGGTGATCTGGATGGATACGTGCGTTTGTTCAGGTAGGTTCATCTACACATTCACATACAATCAAAATATTTATAAGTGTTATTAGTATAATGCTTTATTTTATTTAATGCTTATTCTGTTTGTTCTTAGGTATCCTTGTGCAAGTCCAAAAGCAGAATACAATGAAATGAAGGTATACAGCGGTGCGATATACAGCGCCCGCTTCTTATTCAATGATCGCTGCATGATCAGCGCTGGAGGAACTGATGCTGCCTTAATGCTGTGGGATTTGGTGGATGATTAGCATAAAGTGGCGCAGGGTCTACGGCCGCCCGCGGTTGTGGTAGCTCCTCCCACGCCCTCGCCGCCGCCCCACGCGCTTATCTCTCATCCCACTTTCAAAGTGCTGGATTTTGATGAACTGGATTGAACCTGTCGAGGAACGTCCATGGATTTTACAGATATTGCGGTTTTAGCATTAAAAGCAATGAATTTCATAATTGCAATGCAAACATACTTTGAGGATGGTTAACAAGATATAAATTCTTGTCAGATATCCCAGAAATGTAACGAGACACGACACCTTTATCAACTTTTATCACAAAAAACATCGAAGATTACATGAGAATTTGTCTATTATATTTTAATTAAGTAGGTTTATGTGACTCACTGCCATTTTAATGTTGCATATTATAATTATAGATGCGTAGTATTAATCACGCTACAATGTTAAGAAAAATATATTGGTCTGTTAATAAAAATTTAGCACAAATTAAGATATAGGTGAATGTTGGACATTTTATTAGACAAAGCAAAATTTATAAATTAGCTACCGACTATTATGGTGCTGATGATTTATCAAATTAAATATTGTATCTATATCTTCCAATGCAATACATTTTCATATTATTGAAATTAATCAATACAGAATTTGATTTAAAATCTAAGCTAATGACACTGCATAATAATTATTTGAATACTTTATACAAAGCGTACATTAATCATTGTAGGCAAAAGCACTATTTACATATTAGATATACAACATAAACGTAATAATATTATATTAATTAAGTATAAAATATATATCACGAGGACTTCCGGAATGTGGCAGGCCACAAACGAAAATTTTGTATGTTAAGTATCTCCTCTTTTAATTTGTCATTTTTACAACAAACATTGTAAACTAATGCATGGTTAGAAAATAAATAAATAACATATTTATGGAGCAGAAGACGCAAAACTCCGTTTTACTAATTAAGTATTATGTATACAAAAACATATTGATCATGGACCACCTGGATGTGGTACTACATTGACCCAAAACATGAAAATATGAAATCTTTCAGCCCCTGGAGCTAATACTTTCAGAAATAAATAAAATCTGATCATACCCACATGAATCCCGCATGATTTTCAAAAATTTCAAATTTATTCAAGTCCATCAAAGGGCTCTGAGTGCCTTAAACATTATTTTATGTGGGTTAATGTAGTGAAGTTAAAGGTTAACCTTTTAGGGAAGAAAAAATATATCATTAATAAATATCTTATCTAGTCGTCGTATCTAAACTTATTTATATTTTTAATGCTTTAGTAAAACTAAAATCTTCTCAATGATATCAATGCATTTCACGAAGAAAAGCTTCTCAATCACTAAAATATACTTTTAATATAGTAGTAGCTTTCAATTTATAATGGTTATTTTATAGTTGTTTACATTAAGTTAATCTTATTGATATACATATATTCGTTTTAGATTGTCCAAGACAATTAACATTTTACTAAACTTATCATTTTCAGTAGGGTACCAGCAAAACTTTCCTAAATTTAATTTCGAGGATTATCGAGGATCTATCCTAAATTTTTTTTCATGAATATTAAAATGTTACTTATTATTACTTTAGACCTAAATCTTTCAAATTGTTCAACATAGTATTTATTATTATTTACAACATAGTGGTTTAAAAACTTATTTTACTCAATGTTTCAGAAAGGCAACCTGTTTTTATATACATAATAATTAAAGAATGAATAAAATTAATATCAGTTACCTTTAACGTGTTTTTATTCAGAAACATACTGCTTAAACCCCATAAAATATCAAATACAGAAATTAAATAAATATTAGTAAATAAAGAAGGAACATGGCAAGTTAATTAAGTATTTCGGTTTTCCTTTTTGGCAACCGAATCTCCAAAACGATGTTGTCGACTATACTGCCAGTGTCGAGTGATGACGGCAGAAAGGAAACGTATTTTTAAGTACAAATAATAATCGTAAATGTCAAAGTGACGTTAACGGTTTTTTTTCTGTAGATGGACTCTAAATAAAGATGACAGACATAGTATATTTCTGTCAGTGTCAAAGTCAGTCTTGCTAGGTCGCCACGGAGTGTTGTAAATTCGGGAAATCAATCGAATGGTTTTATAAATTCGATCATCGATTGTTTGTATTAACAATCATTGTGAAACAATGACCAAGCCTCGGCCATGTGGTTGTAAAGGTTGTAGAACATGTTTAATATGTGAAACACAATATGGAGCTGAAAACTTGAAGCTACAGCTGGAATTGGATAAGAGTAAAGGTTATGTTTATTGTCCTTTTTGTAATAAAGCCTGGAGAGGCTGGGACTTGAACTCTTACAAACAACATCCCAATCATGAAGGGGACTCTATAGAATATCCTGGTGTGTACATCCAGTTGAATTTCATATCAGAAGAAGAAGAAAGAGATTTGATGAGAAACATCGATGAGGTGCCGTGGGACATATCTCAAAGCGGTAGAAGGAAGCAGAATTATGGCCCGAAGACTAACTTTAAGAAGAAAAAAGTTGTTGTTGGTAAATTCGAAGGTTTTCCAGCGTTTTCTAAATATTTGCAGGAGAGATTTAGTAGTATTGATTTGTTGAAAGACTACTATGTAATTGAGCAATGTTCTTTAGAGTATGACCCGAGTAAGGGAGCTTCTATAGATCCTCATATAGATGACTGCTGGATATGGGGTGAGAGGATTATCACAGTCAACTGTTTATCTGACACAGCACTGACAATGACCACATTCAAGGGTGACCTGAAGAAATATAATCTGTATTGCGCTGAAGAATATGGCCCTGTGGTTGATACTGATGGCAGTATACTAAAAGGCCATAAAGAGGACAAATCAATGTTGGAAACATGTAAATCTTCACTCCCCAATGATATTATAATTAGGATACCGATGCCAAGGTATATTATCACAATTTCTTAATTTTTTATTTAACATGTATCTTGGTAAACACTAACAACAAAATATATGTTATGAAACACATTTTGAAGTACTGTAGTAATCAATAATCTATTTTAAAACATTCTAGTGCCATATTGCACAATTTTAATGTTGAATCATGAAAATAATAAAATGTTGTGCAATATTTGATGAGTCTATGACATAAATGTGATTGTAGGCAAGGTCACGCAAGTACTATTCTTAGTACTTGCCTTTTAACTTTGTTGCTGGCAACTTTTAATACTGTTCATGATATCTAACCTTTTCCATGATGCAACCTTCTTTGTACTAATGCAATGACTTTCTTGTGACCCCTAAAATCAGTATCAGTAAAAAGTTTGCTACTACTATCTTGTTACTGCCTGTAATAAATACATTCATGTATGCCTATTTCCATATATTCAAATTTCTACCACCCGTTAAAATACAATTTAAATATCCCTGTAGGTCTTTACACAATATTTCGGTAAACAAATATTCTTTGTCTGTTGTGTGTAGTGTATTAACATATTTTGTCATATCATTCCAGGAGGTCTCTAATAATTATTTACGGAGAAGCAAGATACCACTGGGAACACAGCGTTCTTCGTGAGGACATCACATCCAGGAGAGTGTGCATTGCATACAGAGAATTTACCCCACCATACCTAAACGGTGACCAGCAAGAAATTGGCAATACCATCAGAAAAATAGGGCAAAATTTCTGGGACCACAAAGGTAAAAAATATGATACCGTAGAACCTCAAATACCTAATGATAATATGGGAGTAATGGATATTATTAAATCTCCAGGAATTTCCCCGTTGATCGGGCAAAACAAAAAGGTTGAAAACCAAATAGCCTAGAATAGAACATTCTGGAACTCTGAAAGTTAGTATTTGTTACCACTAGACAAACGACGGAATTTTAGTTTTAGTTTATATTTAATTTATTTTGTATGTTAGTAGTTACATTGAGGGCATATTTTGTCATCTCGGACTAACCACTTGTCTTTGGAAACATGTCTTAGCTTAGCTACACAGTGCCTTTAGCAAAACGCCACTTTAGCACTTGTCTACAGAGAGATTGGAAAACTAAATGTATGGGGATGACACTGACAAATGTCAAAATTTACGTCAATCCCATATAATTTGGTTTTCTATTCTACATATAGACAAGCGCTAAATGGCATTTGGTTACAGCTGCAGGTATTTTAAAACTTTCTTTAAGTTTAATAAAATTTACAAAATGAATTGCCAAATACTTAAATAGAACATACTTTTGAAATTTAGGTGATGAAATAAGCCCTAAATAGGTATTGAAGTTTTGGGTATAGAACCTACTTGATATGGTGTTAAATATGTAGTTAGATTTCAGCATAGTATTACATACACACTCACACAGCTTTATGGAATGCATCACCAAAATATTTATATTACAACTTTATTTACTTAGATAATTTTGAAGTTTGTTACAAACCAAACAATATTTAGCTACAATATTATATGCAGCAGAATGGCAAAGCCAAAGGAACATCACTTATACAATATTTTCATTGGAATTATGGCTGTTCATTTTATGTTTCCAAAATGATTTGTGGCTGAATTATTCCTAAATATTTTAAATTGCTATTAATTGTGATAGTAGTCAACATTTAGCAACAAAATTGTGTGTTAAAAGCACCCAAAAGTATTTTATAATTTCTTGTAGTTTGAAGTCGCTAGATCCTATTATTTTTAACTTAATTTCATCCTATTTTCATTACTATTTTGAATGTTTTAATTATATTGATTGTAGAATGGAGTATGTTTATTGGTTTTAGCATTTGAGCTATGTGGTAAATTTAGTTATAGCAGTAGTTGTAGTTTAGAACTTAGATTGATTCTCAGTAGACACATATATTATGATGTTTTTATAATAACTATCGTGAGACATACTAAATTAACTAGAGAATCGCGGGTTACTCACGTAAATATACTAAGAAAAGCTCTACTAGTTTCGAACCACAGAGGGATTCTTCCTCATGAGCAGTATATTCACGAAAGTAACCCGCGATTTTTAGTAAACATATTTATGATATTTTTATTTCATAGTTTTTGCTAGATTTCTTAACAACACTAGAGAAAAGAATTATAAGACAACATTTCTATCATATTTTAATATTCTTAAACTGTCAAACACCAAGCGGTCACCGGTGACCGCGACCTATTGTTCTTTAATTGTGTCTATAAAACCGGTACTCGACGAGTTAATATCAATTTTCAATATGTGTTTGTCACTACCATCGACATTATGTCTGCCGATGAACAAAGGACCCCAGCCCCCCTGTAACTTCCAACAGCCAGTAAATCTGTATCCAGTGCCTAATGTATCGGTTTATCATTCAATAGGAATGACAAATTCATCATAATTTATTCCTATAATTATCAAAATATTGCTTTAATTACAATGTTATTTATTTACCAGCAATTAAGCAATATTATCTTTAATTGTGTTGACATTTGACTTTTATGTTTACGGGTTTTTATGACTATGTATGGGTGGGGTGGAATTTAATCAGCACATTATAAGTGACCGTGATAGTTCCACCACAGTATAAAAATATAGATGTGGGTACGCTAAGCAAAACAGCTTGATATTTCCGAAATTTGAATTTAGGAGATAGGGTTAACATGCAGTGTGGCCAACAGTAAATAACAGTATAACAGACTCGTCATTAGTTTCAATTATCGCTGTGGTTGAGGTGTGAGGTAGAATTCTGGGCATTTTTGACCTGTTCTTACTTACATCTTAGAGATCCTAACTGCGTAAAATCTCCCTAAAGATAAAGATAGTTTATTTGCAAATATGGGTAATACTGTATGTGGTGTTTAAGTACATTGCGAGCTCAACCATATTTTACTAGGAGGAATGCAAATATAGGGCCTAGGCCAGTGCATACATACATATTAAAATGAAATAAAATGTATTTAAAAACAATGTTTATCGAAAAATATTACGTTGTTTTACAGTTAAAAGCAGGCCTCCATTCTGTTTCATCATTGATAAGAAGATAAGTGATATCATCATAGAGTAACTTTTCAAGTTTTATGTTAATATCTATATCCCAGTCTCTGGCAGTAAAATAGCGACTGCAGTTCGTTTCTATAAAGAAAAACCAAAAATGAAAAATATAATTCAATGCGTTACGGCCTCCGAAGATTGTAAATTCATTACCCGAGGTTATTGCACTCATGTTTTATTTATTTTATTTCGATGGTAACTAAACCTGTCTACATAAAATAAATTTATTATATTATTCAACGCAATTATGTGCGTCCAATGTGTTCTAGAAAATCGCAGTATTAAATACGAGACTAAAAATAAATAAATGAATAAATACATTTTAATCAGAGGTAGAATGAATTACATAAATAAAAACTGTGTTTTTTTGTATCATTGGTATCTTTGCAAGGTTTTTTTTCTTGAAAATTATCAAGTAATTAGCAAATTAGCTATAAAATTATTTATCACATTGTAATGCTCTGATAACAACCAATATTATTGTTTTATGTTTTAAGTTTTTTAGATATTTCTGTGTGTGACGTATTTTGTAATTAATTCGTAACGTCTGTTCCTGACCAATGTGTGTATTCAATTTTGCACTTACAACATGGTGTTTTAAGGTGTTAAGTCCTATTAATCCAATCAACTTAGTTTTCACGAGCTGACTGACTATAGATTTGACTATAGATCAATCAAGTCAATAGATCTTAAGCTACACTGGCGCCTCTAGTGGCGCAAAAACCTTTATTAATTCCTTAAACAACGTCTCTATAACTTGTAGATACCAGTGTTGTACCTAACATTTTTCTTTAATATTATGTTCCTAAGTTATTGTATGTCGTTGCTGAGCTGTAAAAGGATTTCTTAATAAATGCCAAATATGCACTCCATATTCTGAGTTTTTTTCTCTATATTTAAGGTAAATACTTCTTGTTTTACTACTACTAATACTAATACTTCTTCGTGGTTTGATACTTCTGCCCTCTGTAGTAAAATACTTTTTGTTATTTCTCGTAGATTGTCCTTTAAAAGGACAAAAGGTTGAAATGTTTTAGCTGGTCAATGGTCTTCATTTCAAGTTCAAATGTATTAAATAAAACATGACACATTAATTGTAAACGTATATTAAACAATAATAGATTGACAAGTGACAAAAACAAAGAAGTGTTATGACCATCAGTGATAAGTAAGCACGTTCTACTACTTACCTATTATAGAATTGAGTGTCTTAAGGTGCGTCCACATCTGGCGAATATGTCGCTCGCGAGCTGCGAAATCGCAGAGCATTCGCTAGATGTAGACACACCCTTATACAAAAGGAGGACTTATAGGTAGATTGAAGTATTTCAGAAACTGATTATAGTATAATTATTATTGATACATGCGCCTTAGTCTAAAATACCTTATAACTACTTAAAATGTCAATGATATGTAAAAAAAAACTTGATTAAACGACTGATAGGCGATTCTTCACAGCCTAATGATTACCTTAATAAGTAAATGCAAAATAAATCTTATAAAATATGTCTTTCAAATTATGCTGTGCTTGATGACTGAGGGTCGATGTAGACTTGGTTTGCCTCAGTCTGCTGCCTTTCCTCAGCCTGTCGTGCTACAATAACCCTCTCTCGAACTCTCCACGCGAGCAAAACTCTTACACTCTTCAGTTTGCGGATACTACGTGCCAGGAGCAGAGCAAATATTATGCCGAGTAACTGCAATATAAATATTTTTTATTAAGGACTTATAAAAATATATTAGGTACCTGTCTGTGTGTGCATTGTGATGCACTACTGTTTTTATCACTTAAATTCATATTTAAATAATGTTCTTTTTGGAGCGAGTAAATAAAAATCTTTAGACTTTGTTGAATCTAACTGTATGTGTCCACTACTTATCTAGTAAAATTAAACAATAATTAGATTAATTTGATACTCGTGTAAGTAATGTTATCTATAAATGTAGTCCTAGGAAGTAGAACACGGTGTTTCCCCACAAAGAATAGACGCCTTATAATCTAGGCCAGCCTGTGTGTACACTCTCTTTAGCAACCAAACGAAGATTGAATCATTTAGAACAAAGATAAGGAACTAATATACACTTTTAAATACCGATTAACTATTTGTGTCGACACCTTACGTATGCAAAACTAGACAATAGGTAGATAAATAAATAAAAATATATAGAAAAGTTAATCATTTAAGTAACCTTTTTTTAAGGGGGGGGGAAATCATCGAATGACTTCTCCCGCCTGGGTGAGGCGAGAGGGAGTGTCAGACTCTTACTGACTAAAACCCACCCCGTTCCTACTCCTGCACTTCGAGCCAGAGCCCCGGTAACCCGTTAGGTTCTCCGCGACGTCCTTTAAGTAACCTACGTTAAAACTTTAAAATACATCGTCTTTAAATAGGTGCCTTATATCACATCAATGAAATAGTTCCTAATCAATTTTGAAACGGTTCATTGAAGTTCAACAATAGGTCAAATCGCCAATCAGCGTAAAAATCTATAGTCATAAATAAACAATGAACTTTATACTCACATTGATAAACATCACAGATATTCCAAGGACACCGATGACAGTCGAATTCTGCACCATAGCGTTTACTAGTGCGTCCTTGCATCCGATCCCTGATACTCTTTGACAGAAATTTCTATCGTTTGTTAGACAGCATGTTCTAGGTAAGGTCATGCTGACTTGGTCCCCATCAATTATCATGGACGCCTGCAGTGTAGGCTGGTTGGGCCCAAACACCACGTCCAAGTAGTCCATGTAGGAATAACTGCCGCAACAGCTGAACTGCAGAAGAGAATTGAGAAAAATTAACAATTACTTTTGCAATGAAATAGACTTTGTCGTAGAAGCGGATGGGTGAGGGACAAACGAACCAAAAAGTATAATTATCAAAAGGAAAAATCTGTATCCAATAGTGAATGAACCTGGTTTACGATAATGAGGATGTAGGACTGGCTTACTGGCTTAGGCTTCGAATTCAAAAATCATGTGAGAAACCACTCAAACCACCGATATAGTTTCTATTTCGTCTAATTACGTCATCATGTTGAACCTACATTTACCTAAATGTAGGTTCTCTATCATACCTAAGTAGATATACCCACCTAATAATAAACATCTTGTTTCCTATCTACATGCGAAAGTCAGTAGATATAGTACAGTATAGCTTATCTACATAATAAAGATAAGAGAAACAAATACACTTGGATTTGAATAAGAAAGGGCTCTTAAGCCGCCATGAAGGTTGCTTAACACGTTCTAGTAAACGTTGCGTTACAATTTTGGGATAGTAGCTACTTCTTCCTCATTTGTATATTCATTCACCCAACACTGATCCTTTTTGATACTGTTTCATTAGTCACACAGTCTTGCCTTCGGGGGAAAATGATGCAACTTTACCCAGGTATATTTTATTATACTATTAAGAAATAGTTAGTAAGAACTAACTTCTGCCAGCGGCAGCGCCCTGGGATAAAAAGTACCTAGCCTATATTTTATACATACATAATATCACGCCTTTTATCCCCGAAGGGATAGGCAGAGGTGCAAATTACGGCACTTAATACCACTGTTAAATGTAACATCCACTTTCCACTATTTTATGTTATGAGTCCCATGTAATAGGGGGTGAGCCTATTGCCATATACCGGGCACAATTCCAGACTCCGTACTACTACTGAGTATTTTTAAAAACCCAGTAATACTTGCCCGACCCGGGAATCGAACCCGAGACACCTTGCCCGGCAATCGCACTTGCGACCACTCGGCCAATGAGGCAGTCTATATTTTATATTAGACTATAATCTACTCCTGATCCAAATTCCGACCATCGTCAGCCGTTCCGACGTAATTTCATAACAAACATACCTACACACAAACTTTTGCATTTATAATATTAGTACGACTTTTTTTTTGAGAGGGGAAAATCATCGAATGAATGCTCCCGCCTGGGTGAGGCCGGAGGGAGTGTCAGACTCTTACTGACTAAAAACCACCCCGTTCCTTCTCCTGCACGTCGAGCCGGAGCCCCGGTAACCCGTTAGTACGACTTCGATTTGTAATATTGGTTAGACTGCCTCATTTGCCGAGTGGTCGCAAGTGTGACTGTTGGGCAAGGGGTCTCGGGTTCGATTACCGGGTTGGGCAAAGTATTACTAAATCTCAGTAGTAACACGGAGTCTGGAAACGTGCCCGGTACCTATATGGCAATAGGCTCACCCCCTATTACACGGGACTCATAACATAAATAGTGAAAAGTGGGTGTTACATTGTACAGTGGCATTAAGAGCCGTAATGTGCACCTCTGCCTAACCCTTCGAGAATAAAAGGGCGTGATGTTATGTTATGTTATGTAATATTAGTACGATGCTATCGGATAATTATTTATTTAAACATGGTATGAGTAACAGATGAAGTGGGGAAATGAGTTCTACTCACGCTAGATTGCAGCATATCTATTTCTTCTTGAACCTCAGGATCGCTGTACATGTGAACAGGCACATTGATATGTCTCCATATTTCATACCCAGTCGTAGTGAAGGCGAGAATTACTACAACTAGTTTGACAATGAACACCAGCATCAAGATCACTGCATACTGAAAATAAAGACAATGTTTTAATTAAATGGTTGCTTATGGGACGAAGTGTTCCATCGTAGAATGCATCATCGCTTACTACCTGGCGACATAGTGGTCAAACGGCGGCTCATCAAATATAAAAAAAAAATATGGCGAAGATGATGATGAGATTACCTATCAGATGATTCATCACAGCGAACAGAATCGTATCCTGAAGTATTGTGTGGAATGGACATCATAATCATCAACTCAACAGCCTATATATGGCGACGGCTGATCAAAAGCATCATACAAGGTTTGAGCATTAATCACCACGCTTGCTCAATGCGGGTTAGTGATTTCTAACTAATAATTTGAAATTATAATGAACTTATAATTAGTAGTCAACATAGACAAGATGAAGTAGTAGCGGGACTATCACTGGTTTGTTAGAACTTAGATAACCGAATAATATGTGCTGAAGTGGATACCATACCTAAGCAAACCTCATTATACAAGGTGTTCATTTTCTAGGAGGTAACTCGGCAATCGATTCTGAGTCCGAATTAATAAAAAAGAATGTAAGTAAATATTTTTCATTTTTCTGTAAGGAAATCCGTAAGTGCGAACTACACGCCGCCGTCTTGTAACTAGCTTTATAACGCGGCTTAACACACACAAACTCAAACACATAATTGATATTATTCCTAATTCCATAAAACCCCAATAAGAAAGATTGCTGTCGCTTATCCTGAAATACTGTCGATCTTAAAAGATTTATTATAGCCGTATTTTTATCTATTGGCCCGGAACTTTCTCTTATAATGAACCTTTATGACTTCTGTGACATCATCATCCACAGCCTATAAATGCCAACTGCTGAGCAAAGCCTCTTCTCACACGGAGGAGGTTAGAGCATTAATCACCACGCTTGCTCAATGCGGGTTGGCGATTTCAAACTTATAATTAGAAATTATAAGTCCAGGTTTCCTCACGATGTTTTTCCTTCACCGTTTGTCAGTGGTGTCTAAATAATCTCAGAAAGTACATATAACTCGGAAAAAGTCACATTGGTACTTGCCGTTGGTAGGTTTCGAACCCGCACCCTCATGCATGAGAAGTGGGCGTCTTAAACCTCCGGGCCACCACGACATTCCTCCATCACGACATTCTGCCATCTGTGACATGCCTCCGAGAAATGTCACGGTTTCAAAACTACACATGTATAGTTAAATCATCCTTTAACCAGGGGATGTGAGGATATCAAGCAAGGCAACTAAGTGGCTGACAGTAGTTGCCATCAGCGAACAAAATCAGATTGATTGCCACCTAATTTGCAATAAAATCATGTGATTTTTGACGTGATACTCGATTCGTAGATAAAATGCACATTCGGAGAATGTTCGATAATGTTTTTATACGTTTGTAGCGTACCTCAGGTTTCTACATAAAATCATGATATCAATAATTAAAGTATTTTCTGATGATGTCAACCTTATTATTATCACATTCTCACGCTAGTTAAACACCTTGAACGCCATGGGCCACGATAGCGGAGGATTTACCCTCAATAGTTTTTGTCGGCACTCAAAGGCTTAAACTGATTACGTACCACGTTGACCATGCAAGTGCTTAGCTTCAAACTGCCGAAGAACCCGAAGATGGATATGATCAGTAGCGCCAAGCCAATAAACACGCTGAGGGTCGATGGTGTCATGCGTATCATTCCACTCTCGTAGAATGAGGAGAAGCTGTGGAAGTGTGAGTATACTGAGATACCCAGCACTATCATCAGACCTCCTACCACCTGGAAAAAAAGAATCAATTATTATTTTATAACTAGTTTCTGCCCACGACTTCGTACGCGCAATCCCATTTTCTCTCGTTCCCGTAGGATTTCCAGGATTTGGATTTATTTCTGTCATAAGAACCTTCTCCTAATAATAACAAATAAACAAAAAAAGAATTAGTGAAAGCTGTCCAGCGGTTCACGCGTGATGCTGTGACCAAGGGAAAAAGGGATTAATTTTTATATCATATATACCTACCTAGATTTTGTGTGACGTTGGATTCTATATGTCCATGTATAACTCAGGAAGGTATTATGTAGAACGCAACATGTTGTATTTGAAATAGCTAGGTAGGTACTAGCTTTTACCTGACCTATTACTTAAAAATCCGTTTTCAGCACGTAGGTACTTACCTACGTGCTGAAAACGGATTTTTTCTTGTTCATTTTGAAAAATTCTTGAAATTCCGACTTCCTCTTACGTTCCACAGGAACATCATTTTCACGTTCTACCTCCCAGTCGTTTAGTTGTGCATTATCTGTTTGTTAATGGCGGAAAAGTTTTGTATAAATATGATAAATACGAACGAAGTTGGCCAGCGGATTGTTAAATATCTCTTCAGCTTGCATAGCTATATCTGATGTTTGCCTAAAGCTTGCATTTTTCATCAAAAAGCTAAGTAAATAACAGTTGTCAATCGTCATGATACTAGCTATAAAATCCCGTTGGATATTTTGGAGCAAGAGCAATCGTCAGTTTCAATTTACAACAACAGTGCCTTTAGCCAAACGCCACTTTAGCGCTTGTCTACAGAGAGAGTAGAAATCAAAATGTATGGGGATGACACTGACAAGTGTCAGAATTTACGTCAATACCATATAATTTAGTTTTCTATTCTACATGTAGACAAGCGGTAAACGGCATTTGGCTACTGCTGCAGGCCAGCAGCTGGGCTATTCGAGGTAAGGTCGATCTTATTCTCGCCCGTCATTGGTCAAGATTATTCTCACAAAAACATGGCGGACCGCGATCGAGTTTACTTCGATCTGTCGCATTAAAAGTTACAAAATAGCCTTGCCTAGCAGTTCTAGTATACCTACATTTAATTATTATTAATATTTTTAATTTACGTAGGAATGTAGGTATTTAATTGACTGAATTGATAAGCAATTAAATTAACACTTAACAGCCATTTTTTGTTTTTTCCATTCATAATCGTGCCCCTAATCTTTGAAATGAATCATTTTCTATACATATCGAATTACCGGCATTGATAATGTTTATTGAAGATAATAATTGAATATTAAAGTAAGACATTTTTCATTTGATAATGACAAAATATTTATCTATTTATTACTGATGAATAAGCGATTAATGTGTTTTTACCGGAATGTAGAGGTAGTTCTTAGCCTGACACAACAGCCATCAGACCACCACAGATGGGTACCAGTAGGGCTGATGCTCGATACGGAGCCGCGGAAGGCCTAACGGATTGCCGGGGCTCCGACTCGAAAAGCAGCAGCAGGAACCGGGTAGTTTTTAGTCAGTAAGAGTCTGACACTCCTTCTCGCCTAACCCAATGCGGGAGAAGTCATTGGATTGATTTCCCCCCTCAAAAAAAAGCCTGATACAATGTATCTAAATACCTGTACCTAGACTTATTTTCTACTGTGTCACATTTTCATATTACCTTATGTGGGAGTCGACACTTCGAAAAGTTAGTAGAGGGCATTAATTTTTAGCTCTCGATATTAAGTTCCCAATATTAAGTTCTACCTAGGTAAGTACTTTTCCTGGTAGACATTAGCCAAGGACGGTTGAGGTCATCGGAGATAATCGATAAGATTAACACGAAAACAACAAGATTAAAAACAAAAGGTTGAAAGGTAAAGGTTGTAGATAAATATGTTTTTAAAAGGTTACAGATAGCTAGCCAGCAAATAAACTACCATACATTTCTTCAAGCGTTGTCCGCTACGATTTTAGCCTGTGTCGTGGGTAGGGTTGCCAACTTTTTTGACGAAAATAACGTATAAATTTTGTAAACTAAAGCACTTTTTTTATAAGAAAAAAAGCATGTTTCAATTTTTTATTTCATTTCGGAATTACTCGTCTGTTATAAGCATTCCTTTTAACTTTAGTTTCTTTAATTACCTATACAAAATCGTCCTAAAATTTACATACAAGTTCGACGATAGTGATCACTAACATCTTGTTCAGTAATTATTAATCGTTTACCATAACAATTTTTAACTTATAAATACCGTTAAATATACAATGATAAAAATTAAATATAGGTACCTAGGTACGGATTTTAGTAGATTGACCCCTGATACAGAGATTCCCGGAGAGTGCGGTTATAATGAAGTACCTACCATTCATACGTATCAATGCAATGACGTCATTCAAAAGTAAACTTCTCAATTGGGATGACGACAGGGTATGAAAGTTAAAAATCTAATAAGTACGTAACTTAGTTATTTAAAAAATATTAGAAACGTATTTTTTTATTTTGTCGTATAATAAAACAATAATGAGTGGGGGCTAAAACGTCATTTCTACGTATAAAATGTACATAGAAGTGACGTCACGCGACATTTCAAATCAATATGTCGTCGGAAGTATTCGTTTGTGTAAGAAAATAAAAAATACGTGTCTAATGATTTAAAATAATCAACCAGACGGGCATTAACTCGTCGAGTACCGGTTTTATAGACACAATTAAAGAACAATAGGTCGCGGTCACCGGTGACCGCTTGGTGTTTGACAGTTTAAAATAAAAATTAGGCATCTACCCTATTGTAGGTACCTAACTTTTTGAATGGAGATAATACCTTGTTGGATTTATATAGGTAGGTAAGTCAACGAAATAAAATTAAGCATTATTAAATAGCTTAAGGAAATAAAATAATATCTTCATAAATGTGTGCACATATTTGCAATTTCAACAACAGATTTAGGATCTGCACGAGTACCGAGTACCTACTTAGTAATGGGATGTGACTTGGTATCAGCATTTTATATAACTTGATTACCGCTGATTTAAACAGGTTTTAGCTCAGCTAAAACTGCATAAAGTGCATAACATAAATAAATACACATAGGTAGTACTTTTCTTACATTCTTACACACTATAATTATCTCTTAGATATATCTATACATATAAACTCTGTACCGATAAATAAAATTGAAGTGTCTGTTTGTAATATTAAAATGCTCGCTTTTTACTACATGCATATGAACATAGGTAGATACATATACGATACACATACCATTTTTTACCTGTTCGTCTGTCTGTCTGTTTGTACTGGCTAATCTTTGGAATGGCTGGACCGATTTTGCAAGACTTATTTTTTATTGACTTTTATTTATTTTATTTTGAAAAATTGCAACAAAATCAGCTGTTTTAAAATTGATATTCAACGCTGACGAAGGAACAGGAACAGACAGACGGCGGATAGCGACTTTGTTTTACACTATGTAGTGATTTACAAAAGTATGGAAACTCGTCTGTATTATTCGTCTCAGATCCTAATCTACTAGTCTATATTAGATACGAGAATAATATTCGGATCATTTCAAATGATAAGAAATAAATGCGAGTATAACAATATCGCCTACATGTAGAAAGACTGAAAAACAGTAATTGTTCATGATATCCTATAGATACTTAGGTACTAGGTACTACTAGAGTGGGGACACTAGGTGCCCACCCTGTGGTCTCAGGGAAGATGGTGGTACAGTGGTCAGCAAGGCATAAAGGAGACACCCGTCTCCCTAGGCATGTGTCGTAACAGGCGTTGCACCGTGGAGGCTCCGGGGCAGGTCTCTTTTAGAGGACCCGGTGCCTCCATTCAGGTGTTGAGGGTGGCCACAGGGGAGGTTTAACCCGTCGAGCGTTCGCGGTCGTTATGATCTAACGGGTGCACACGTGACATTTGAAGAAAGAAAAAAATAAAGAAAGAAAATGCATTTATTTGGCCATTGGCACACGAAAACAAGGATCATTACAATAGAAATAAAAAATACAGAAAAATAAAAACAAAACATTAATAATAGATTTTATAAAAGAAAAAGCAGCATGGAGCTTTTTTCTTATGATCCACCGGGTGCTCATAAGGACGCTCGAGGGGTTAAGTGAGGTAAAAATCCCACACTCCCTAGTCTTTTATCCCCAAAAAGGCTAGGCGCATTTTGAAGGTTTCCCCCCGTCATCAAAAAAAGGTACTTGTTCTATGCTTGGGCTAAATTATTGTTACATTATTAACACTAAAGGTAACATATAATTAAACATTGACACTACATGTATGTAGGTAACGTACGAATACAAATTTGATATAGGTACCTAAATTTACATTCCAGCTCTAGTGCATCTTACAAAATGAACAAATGCTAATAAAACATAAGAAATGAATTGTCGCATCAGTCTATTGCTGTTATAATAAAACGTTAGACAAGAAAATATGAACAATAGTCTACAACTCTACAATCATCAATCATTATTTTTATCTTCACCTACGTGATGAGGACAAGGGATTTTACCGTAAATATGTATATACCTAATTTATTTCCCTAAATAACTATGGAAAAGTTTAAAACATAAACATGAACTTGCTTTTGTCACTTAACTATTTCATTTATCATGACAACATTATTTTGTCTCTCTAAGTTTTCAAGCTATCTCTTAGTAGTAATATCATCATCATCAATCCAGCAGTTTAGCCGTTAAAGAATTATTAACCAACTGCGATCGATGCTTCCATTTGCTTCCATTATGTTTCACATTTCTAATTCAATTCAATAATTTGATTAGATAATTTTTTATTTAAAACCTTTTGATTTCCCTGAAATCAAACCTCCATATCCTTAAACTTTTTTAAATGTATAAACTTAGGTACAGCCTGAACTGTACTTAGATCTTAGGTGGTCCAAAAAATATGCAAGACATTGTTTAATATCTAAATATAACAAAAATTGTTGATAACAAAGGAAACGGAACAAATACCTAAACAGGTAAAATTGCGCAATAATCAATACAATTTATAAATAAGTGTCTATTATCTTGAAGTACTTCATGTACATAATTTAAAGGCTACAAAAGGTTTTACTTACAATGAACATGGCCGTGATGATCATCAGGAGACACCTGATAGACTTCATGTTGTACTCAGTCTCAGTTTTAGCGGCACCCACGCTGGGACTCATTTCCACGGGAGTCACACTCCTCATTCTAAACACCCTCATCTATTTTTCTCGTCAAAAAAACTATAAAAACAACCGCACTGTTCCTTGGTCCGTGCCTTACAGCGACAAGTATTCTGATAACTAAAGTGGAATCTGATAACGTTGTTTCACACACATTTATGAACACATTGTGTTTTCCAACTGTCCGTGCACTGATTAGGCGACTCTTTTGTAAACTGCACTGTGTCCGCCAATCGATACTCACAAACAGTGATAGATAGTTTTAAAGAAAGGATAATTATATTGTGAATTATTTACGAAGGATTTCATTGGTGAAAACTTGTTCTATCTCAATACGTTTTTCGATATCAGCCATCAATGCATTCAGATCAGGCAATGTTACTTATTATCTTTGATAAAATTGGAAAAATAATCATAACACGCATATCTTTATTGTATTTACTGGGAAAATGCACGACTTGTAGTTGTTTTTCTTTGACCAAAGGGTACGAGTTTCTTTTTCCTTTAAAGTAATCGAAACGAAACCTCGTCCGGACCTCTGATTGGTTAGTTCATTGGACCCGGCCAATCAGAACGCCGAACGCAGTCTCGTTACGAATACTTTAAACGTAAATGAAACTCGTACTAAGCCCTCTGTATGGCAGTGATGTGATGTCATTTGAGAACATTAATTTCAAATTATAATAGGTACATCATACATGTTGTTATTATCAAACATAGGTTTATGAGGTTAGAGGATGGAAAAATATAATTTAACTACCTAATCCACTAAATATTCAATATTTTAGATAGGATGGATTAATCTAGCGATCAGAATACTGTTACGGGCATTTCACAGACGACAATGCTTTTACGGATAACCGCAGTATACCCATCATGACATGACATGTCGCATGTCCCGTAATTGGGATGATGACAGGGTACGAAAATTAAAAATATAATTAGTCCGTCAGTTAGGTAATGAAAAAATATTAGACACGTATTTTTTTATTTTGTCGTATAATAAAACAATACTTAAATAAAACGAATCAAAGTTTAGGAGTGGGGGCTAAAACGTCATTTCTAAGTATAAAATGTACATAGAAGTGACGTCACGCGACATTTCAAAGCAATATATTGTCGAAAAATACGTGTCTAATGTTTTAAAGTAATCTCCCAGACGGACATTAAAATAAAAATTAGGCATCTACCCTATTGTGTATTGTCGCTGGACGTTATGCAGTCCGTCCAGTGATAATCAAGAATGCCATGAAAATGTAACCAGGTGAATTCTTCCTTTGCATATTCTGTATACATGGACATGTTGTGCAAAGCCCCAATATAGTCACATTAAAACATGACTACATTCTAAAGATTTGTCCAAGGTAGAAGTTATTTTGTGATCATGAATGGGTTAGAAATAATACAAAAGAATAGTTGTAAAGCTATTTATTTACATAACTACAGATATATATTAAATAAAATAAACTTGACCTTGTGATTATGATCAACAGTGCTAAGCTAAGCCGTTTGTACCTATAACTACTATAAATCATTAGGTCCTTTAACTGCCAACAAATAGTGTAAAAGGCTAATCCTCCGTAGCGTCTGTCATCATTGTCGACCACGATTTCATTATATTAATTGGCAAGAATCTGTTACTGGTAGTTATTGGATTCTTCTGTCAGTTTCTATTTGAATACAATGACTATACTATCTCTTAGATCTATTTACAACTTAAAATACACAAAAATGTAATAAAATAAAAGAATATCAATGGATTTGTTTTTTTTTATGAGATAAGCCGGTAAACGCATCACCTGATTGTAAGTAAGCGTCACCTATGAACACCTGGCACACCAGAGACGTTACAAGAAATTTGAGGATTGTTGGGGATTCAGGGATAGGGGAGATTGGGGAATGGGGTTGTTGGGCCTCCGGTAACCTCACTCACACGACGAAACATAACGCAAGCGTATTGTTTAACGCCGGTTTCCAGTAAGGCCGGGGTATTACTCCGGTCGAGCCGACCCATTCGTGCCGAAGCATGACTCTCCCATATCTATATAAGTACAGGTTTATAGGTACATAGAGGATTATTGATAAAACATTAAGAACCTTGCTAAGCTGTTTGTACCTATTGCTAACATCATTTATAGGTACAACAACTTTCCTTCTTGGTCAAAATGCATTCTTGCAGTTGGTATAGGCTTCGTAAAATTATGAGTGTTCTATTTCTTTTATAAGCCTCATGTAGGGGTACTTAATAAGAGACATAGAACAAAAAATATTTACCAATAATCCTCTATTTTTACAGGTTTATTTATTATTTAGTCTATTTTAATTTTTTATTCAGATACATAGTAAAATCGCTTGACACAGCATTATGCAGCAACCTTTTTATAAAAAAAGTAATTTGAATTTAAACGATGTTCGAAAATTTTTCCGTTAGCGAATAGCAAAATCTAAAGAGTTTTTATCGCATTGCGTGATTTTATGATTTTATGTTAACACATTAAACGCCATGGGGTCACCAGTGACCGACGTTAGTGTAGGATTTACATTCAATAGTTTTCTATTGGCAGTTAAAGCCTTAACTATGTGGTCTTTCTATACCCATGTCTGACTCCAGGCATTCTCTGACGTTCTACCATCTATTGAAATCGACGGACCACAACTTACCGAAAGTCAAGCACCTAAATGCTGTAACGTGATCATCGCCAGCTTTGAGATCGATGGTAACTTTTATAATCGTTGCAACGATTTTTCAGAACACTTTAATATTAAGATTATATTGTTAAAAGTGATAATAATATGTACCTATATATAAATATACGTCCTTGCGAGTCTTATACCATTATCAGCAACATTTCAGTTAGGCTATTCTGTAACTTTTAATTCGAAATTCAAAGTTCGAAAAAGATACAGAGGCATCAGTACCAGTTTGTTTTACATTTAAAGTAATCAAATCGAGACCACGTTCGGCGCTCTGATTGGCCGGTGGCAATGAACCAACCAATCAGAATGCTGAACGCGGTTTTGTTTCGATTATTTAGTAGGTACTAGGCTTTCAGAATAACCTAACTGTTCGGGATCATCCATAAAACACCATTTGAGTACTTTTAAATGTCGTTAACATCTGATAGTTTGGATTCGTGCTAAGGCGGTAACGCTATAAGCTTTCAAAGGATAGACTCTACTCTATATACAAGGTGTAGTTTTGAAACCGTATCATAATTATCTCGGGGGCATGTCACAGAAGTCATAAAGGTTCAATGTAAGAGAAAATTTCGGGCCAATAGTTAAAAATACGGCTATAATAAATCGTTTAAGTTCGACAGTATTTCAGAATAAGCGACAGCAATGTTTCTTATTGGAGTTTTATGGAATTAGGAATAATATCAATTACCTGTTTGAGTTTGTGTGTTAAGCCGCGTTATGAAGCTAGTTACAAGACGGCGGCGTGTACTTTGCACTTACGGATTTTCGTAATTTCAGAAAAATTAAAAATATTTCCTTACAATTTTTTTTATTGATTCGGACTCAGAATCGATAGCCGGTTACCTCCAAGAAAATGACACGGCTTTAAAACAACACCTTGTATAAATGCAAAAAATAGCCTTAGAAGCGTAATCATTATGTTGCTATTGTTTTAATTTATGCAGTGCTTGATAATTGTGGTTCGATGTGCACTTGGTTTGCTTCACTCTGCTGTGATTGCTGCTGCTTTTCCTCAGCCTGTCGTGCCACGATAACGCTCTCTCGAATTCTCCACGCGAGCAAACCCCTTGCACTCTTCAGTTTGCGGATACTACGTGCCAGGAGCAGAGCAAAAATTATGCCGAGTAACTGCAATACAAAATTGAAGTGTTTTTATTGTTCAATTATTATGCGAAAATTTTAACTTTCAGTATTGAACATTAATAATGAGTCAATTATGAATTATATTAATTAGGTAAGATCAATAATTGTTTTATGTTGAAATACTTTAAATTTTTAACACTATATTTGTGTTGCAAACAGATAATCAACTTATTAGATGTACTCTATTTATTCGCATTTATTGCCTCGATGGCCGAGTGGTTGCAAGTGCAACTGCCGGCGCGGGGTCTCAGGTTCGATTCTCGGATTGAGCGAAGTATTACTGGGTGTTTTCTTTTTAAATTCTCATGAGAAGGTAGAAGCTTGGAGTTTGGAATCGTGCCCAGTATATGGCAATAGGCTCATCCCCTATTACATGGAACTCATGACATAAATAGTAAACAGTTGCATTAAGTGCCGTAATTTGCAACTCCGCCGATGTTATGATGAGTAACTTTTAGATTCGCCAACAAACTGTTGAACAGTTTATCGACGCTTAGTAAGTTAGTAATAAGTTAAATGCATGTGTCTGCAAGTGTATAATAGATTAATAAAAAAAAAATAACTCACAGTCATAAGTATCACAGATATTCCAACGATACCGAGAACTGTGGAATTCTGTACCAAAGCACCGAATAGTTCGGATTTGCAACCCCGCTGTGGTACTCGATCACAGTGACCATTGACGACGGAGAAACAGCAGGATTCTGGCAAAGTCAGGGTGACGTACTCTCCAGCAAGTAATACAGTTGCCACAACGACTGGTTGATAGGGCCCAAACGTCACACCTAAATAGTCTTCGAAGGAATAACTGCCACAGCAAAATAACTGAAGAAGAAAGTTCAGAAAAATTAGCGAGTTACTCCTAGCAATATTTGTTCCAATTCTCATCTACCCGATCTTTTTTTTTTAATCGGACTACCTCGCCTCAATCTATCACAACTTCTATAAGACAGGATCTACAGTAGATACAACCATGAAAATGCCGGAACACTGAAGTTCGGCGCGTCTCAGGGACATGAACAACTGTCTTGGATCACGTAACGAAATAAATCAGAAGGTTAACTAAAAATAATGAGTTACTCACGTAAATATACTGTGAAAAGCTCTACTAGTTTCGAGTCACAGAGGGATTCTTACTTGTGAGCAGCGTGTGCGGTCGCGGCGACGTCGAGAGCCTACCTCAGTATGTTTACGATATTCACTCGTAATTTTTAGTTAATCTAGCATGTCTCACTATAGTTATTATGAAACAAAATCAGAAGATATTAATAGAGGAGAAGAATAAACGATAGTTTCCACTTCCCTCGGTGAATTGGTGCAGGAGACAATGACTTAAGCAGTTAAGCCTAAAGGCACAAAAGATGTAACCGATCCGACTGATTTAACAATGAGTGCCCTATTTATATGTTTGTATATAACTACTGGGTTAAAGTTTGGTATTTAAGTGGGGATTTTAATGTTAATTTGTGTGCACAGGAATATTTATTGTAGATATCTATATTTGTGTGATTGATTTTTCGATTCGATTGGACTTCTCAAATAGATAGATAGGTATATCCGATAGGAGAAAGTAAAAAGGAAATGAATTGGAAATAAATACTTACGCTACTTTGCAGCATGTCTATTTCTCGTTGAATTTCAGGATCACTGTACATATTAACTGGAATGTCAATATAATTCATGTATAAATGGTCTCCAGCCGCATTGAAGGAGACTATTACTATGGCTAATTGAAAAATGAACAATAGCATCAAGATGAACGCATACTGAAAAGAAAGACAAGGTTTTGATTAATTTACATCGAAGAATATTGTTTTAGGTAAAAGTCAAAGCTAATTGCGCTAAAGCTATAGCGACTGCCTTTTTGGTTGAGTGGTCGCAAGTGCGACTGCAGCGGCAACGGGTCTCGGGTAGGGCAAAGTACTACAGGGTATTTAAAAAAATCGGACTAGTAGTTCCAGAAAATAGCACGTTGAAAATAAAAAAATTCCTCAGCTTTATGTACATATGTGGACAAGTATGTATAATAAGTATAAGATAAGATTAAGTATAGATTAAAAATACGTACCAGATTGACCAAGCAAGTGCTGAGTCTCAAGCTGCCGATTAATCCGAGCAAGGATATAATCACTAGCACCGCTCCACCGAACACGCTCATGATGGATGGCGTCATACGGATCATCCCAGTCTCGAAGAATGTGGAGAAGCTATGGAAGTGGGAGTATACTGATATACCCAGCACCATCATCAGAGTTCCTAGCACCTGGAATTTAGAGTTTATTGTTTTACTAGCTTTTACCTGCGGCTTCTCTCGCGTTACAAAAGGATAAAAAGTAGCCTATGTGACATATATCAATACACACAGCGCCATCTATACCAATACTTTTGTTTTTCCTCGGGAATATAAATTTTTCCGGGATAAAAAGTACCCTATTATTTAATCCGAACTTCTAACTTAACGTCTACAAAAATTCAAAGCAATCGGTTTAGTAGTTACGGCGTAAAAGCGGAACAAACAAATAAACAAACTCACTTTCCGATTTATAATATTAGTAAGGATTCAAGGTTAAACAAACATAATTGTGGAAATAAACAATTTATGCATGAAAAGATTGATGACTGTTAATGAAGCGAAAGAGGTATGTAAGAATCGTAGTAATTGGCGTTCCTTAGTCTCTACCTACCCCCATGGGAGACAGGCGTGAAGTTATGTATGTATGTATAAACAATTTAATCTGTCGGGTTTCTGGATGCACGGTCTAAATTGTAGATTCGCGTACAAAAGAACGAGCACGAAATTCCATGGCTACCTTTGTTCAATTAGTATTGGTACAATTCATGGCTATACTTTTAAGCAAATCCAATGATATGAAAGAAACGTACCTATCTAATGGAAGCCATGTAACTAAGTGCAACTTTGTGTGTTACAAAATAATGCTGGTTACAGAGACTTGACTTAATGCCCTAAGTTTTAACTATATCCCCTTGATGAATACCGTGGAAGTCCACAGAAATGAACAAGAAAAATAATCGTCTCTATTCCTATTTATAATTATATTAGTTAATAAAGATGGGAGGAAAATTAATATTAAATGTAAAAATTAGAAAGACCGCATCATCGTTTACGACCAGGCGAGATACATAGTTTCAAACGGCCCATAAAATATATAAAAAAATATTTTCTGTGGACATAAAAAAAATTGATGAAATCTGAATAACGATCTGGTTTTTAATGAACACGAATGAACAAAAATGCGTCTTACACAATTGTTCAAACCTTTGTTCCAACATAATGAAATATTATATATTACAAGATTTTGATCCTATTTAGTTATAATCAATTTATTGAACTAATAAAATACTTCAAGAAAATCAAATAAATCTTCATGTATTTTATATGTATTTTATTAAGAGGTAAAATTATGTACTTACCACAAACATAGCCGTGATGATCACCAGGAGGAACCTGATGGACCTCATGTTGAATTCCGTCTCTGTTCTAACGGCGCGGTCCACATCAGTATTCACAACCACGGGGCCCGCTCTCCTTATTTTGAAAATCCTCATCGTACCGGTACCAAAAAAACTGAACAGCTAAAACAACGACCGCACGGTTACTTAGATCAGTACCTTCTGATAACTAAAGTGGCATCTGATAACGTTGTTTAACACACATTCATGAGCACTGTGTGTTTTCCAACTGTCGGTGTACTGATTAAAACAAATTGTATTGAAAATTCCACCTGAACTGAAACCTAATGGAGCTTGAAAAAAAGCACTAAATGCAGTGAAATTATTTATACTTACAACGTTTTTCTTTTGCTTCGATTTTTTTGTTCTTTCCATTATTAATTACCAATGCACCCTCAAATCCGTTGGACTTTGATTATTATCTTCACCAATCTGCACCTAATTCTGTTTATTTGTACGATAGAAAATGAAATGTATGATATTTTCTTTGTTTGTTTAAATATATAGATTTATAGAAGGATAAACGTCACGACTAGTGTAACATACTGTCTGTAATATACTGATCGCTTTTATTTTGTTATTGATTTTCCTCGAGCCTTAATGGCGCACTAACCTTCACTCAATCAGAGTCTGAAATATTAATGTCTTAGCCATGGCCTAAGGCAGTTGTGATTAGCTTTGCATCGAGCGGTTTCCGATGCAGCATTAAAATAGTTTACAAATTAAAGTAAGCCACACCAAACAATATGCTTTTTATTTCTCGAACGGGTCGATATATGTTACTAAGTTATAAATAGAAATATGATAAATCCATTTTTTTTTTGTAATGTTTGCGGATGACAAAATTATGTTAGCTAGGTATTAGAAGGTGTATTAGTGAAATGGACTGTTAAATAATTAGCTTTTTCCCCAAATAACTTAATTTTGTAATTATAAATACTATTGATGAGCTCTGAACTCCAGACAGGATGGTAAACTAAATATCTGCTCGGCTATTCTGTACCTATCAATTCGAATTTGATGTGACCTTGACCGTATTTTTTGCCCATCATGTCATTGGTCGAGATTATTCTCATAACCAATGATATGGCGGACCGTGAACGAGTTCACTTCGATCTTTCGCATTGAAAGTTACAGAATAACCTTAAAATTAAATTAGGTATTTAAAATATTAAAAATTAATTTAAATTTGGTATTTCCATCGACAACCCGTGACAGGCCACTGCTTTTTTTTACACAGTCCACTGCTGAGGTGGACATTATGCGGCCCTATAGTAAGAAAATCATCAAAAAATGACGGAGTTATGTTTCAGTTTTGATTTAATTCATCGCTGATGTCACTGATCAGACTTACGAGCTTATCTCGAATTATTAATATCTTTAATATAATATTTTACCTTCTATACATACAAAAAAGGACATATCAAGGTACAAGTACATAGTAAATAAAACTTCCTAGATGTGTGAAATATATGTACAGGATGATAACACCCAGCCAAGCGCTTATAATGATAAGATCACTTAAGCCTTATCACGTATCGCTGTGATATCAGAATAGCCTCTGTACAGTTTTGCAAAACTACAATATACTTATTTGAATATTTTGCATAATATTTAATACGTTTGTTTTTAGATTGTTATCAAAATTTTTGATATTAATTTATGATGTTGAATTTGCCAAGATAAACCACGAAATATAAAATTTCGGATTTAATTTATCAATAATACGTGTTATTGAAAACTATCTGTGCCCGCGACTTCTTCCGAGTGTAATAGTGACTTCAGCTAGGCCCCGTAAGTAATATTGTGAAAAAAGGAGCCTATATATTGGTCCGTTCTGTATAATAACATTCATGCGAAATCTAAAGGAAATCCATGCCGTACTTTTTGAGTTTAGGCCGGATACACATACAGACAAACAGACAAAAATTAATAGGTAACTATATTTTTGGCTTCGATATCGATTGTAGATCACGCCAGAAGTATTATTTTAAAAAATTAAATGTACAATTTTATGCTAAGTACCTACTGACTGACAAATGTGACTTATATCTGAGCAAGCTGAAAAAGATTTTCCCATTGGTTTATACATAGCAAAAATTTCAGTAGGTCCTAAGATACCAAATTGCAAATGTTATAAAAATATAATATATATGATTTCTGTTTCCTTCCACTGCTGGACATTATTGTTAAGTCCTTTCCAATAAGCACGCCATTTGCTTTTGGGCTAACTTTGATTCTCTGTCAGATAACTTCATTTCAAACTCAATCCTTCTTTCCTGAAATCCTTAGTAAACATGTCGCACTGTCAGTTTCTGAGTCTCGGCTCTCTATAGGACCATTCAAAACTATTTCCTTTCTGTTTGTGGTATATTATGTAGATCAATTTAAGTGTGGGAGAGCCATGCTTCGGCACGAATGGGCCGGCTCGACCGGAGTGATACCACGGCCTCACAGAAAACCGATGTGAAACAACGCTTGCGTTGTGTTTCGTCGTATGAGTGAGGTCACCGGAGGCCGAACTACCAATCCACCAATCTCCCCAATTACTGAATCCCCAACATTCATCCAATAACTAATCCCCAAAAGGCCGGTAATGCACTTGTAACACCTCTGATGAACATGAACATCCATGGGGCGACACCGATTGGTTAACATCAGGTGATCCGACTGTTGGTATACCGGCTTATCCCATAAAAAAAATTGACACAAGCAACGTTTGGTACGCACAAAATAAAAAACACAAAAATATTGTATAAATAAAAATATTTCTTTACAATACTCTTTATAATACTTAAGTTAATATAGTGAAAACATATTATTATTTAGAATCTCTATAAAATAATTAAGTAGCATAGGTACAGATTTATTGAATGGCCAACAAAGGGAGTTTGGAGGAAAATAAGTTTTAGTGACAAATAACAGCAGTTAGGTACTCAGTAGCTATAATATAGAAGCTAATAATATTGTTTGGAATGTGTGATTAATTTAAATTATGAAGATATAGTTATAGTATGTACCTAATAATTAGAAAAATGACTTAAATCTCTACTGCTTTTTAAGTAGGTCGTTTTTTATTCCTATTCACAAACCGATATGTGTTCGCGCCGAATGTCTAATGGCGTATTTCTTGCTCATCTACTTATAGAAAAATATTTAATTACAGTGATTTTTCCTAAAACAACAAAGTTCCTGAACATACAAATATTCGTGCTTATACTAACTACGTCGACTTTATCACATGAAACTTTTAAGTATCACAATATAATGCGTCCTAATTGTGTAAACTTGAAAAACTGTGTTTTTATAACAACTGTGCATTCCAAACGCCAAATATTATAAACAGAGACAAAAAATATTTCAAAGTGATTCACATCACAGTCCAATAACATTTCAAGAGCATTAGTATTACGCAATTAGGGCGCGAAATTTAGAAAGTTTATTATTAAATATTTGTAGGATCAGGACAAGGTAACACTTCTGCAGCCTCTTAAGCGGTAGTTTGTCCATGGAATGGGACATAGACAACGGGTGCTTTTTTCTCATCGCTGGGGTTGAGCGAGGTGTACGCGTTGATCATACGTTCTTGAATTTCCCAACGTCTGCGTTCGCGTTCGGATTTTGCCTTACGGATGGAACTGGCCAGTGAGAACGAGAACACAATGCCAATAATCTGAAATTCGATAAGATAAACATAAATATTTATGGTGATAAGCCAATTTCGCACTGGATTTCTGGTGTAGTTATCAAACAAAGTACTTTATATAATCGATATTAATGGAAAAATAACGTCATATGTACCGAAACAAGCGCTAACATGATTAATATACTTTGTTAAACGATAAATACTGTTATACGTTTGTTTTGTGTCATACTAATTTAATTTCTTTCCAGTCATCAACTAAGTTACACATCCGAACTATCCTGGCAAGGCTATGTAATGCCCTTCAAAAGAGAACCTTGATAGAATAAGATAAAAGAGATCTATTTACCCAGTTAAAAACTAACCTGAATGAAAGCTATGGTCATGGCTCCAGCGCCCAAAAGACCAGCGCTCTGGTATACCAAGTAGAACATTCTGGGAAGGCAGCCGTTGCTGTAGACCTTTGTGCAGACATCGACTTCAATGCCGTCAACGATGTCGAAATGGGCCTCGGCACAGCAGGAGTTGGGGACGGTGATGTTGTTGGTGGAGATGGTTGAGACTCCAGGTGGAGGGGTCACTACGCTCCAGTCAGCGTAGCTGTCTACTCCGCAGCAGCTCAGCTGTGAAATGGAGAGGAAGATGGTTAATCTCAATTCCTAATTAAATGTATTGACTAGTGTCAATACACTACCTCTTGTTCAGAAAACGCACGCGTTCATTGAATATACTCAAGTTCATTATGTAAGTTATGTTCGAAATACATTAAAAAAATCTAATCAAGACAAACCTAGACTCTTTCCTTTGTCAAAGACTTCGTAAAGAAAATGCTGTGTTTACTTTGATGATAAATTCACGGAAGAATTCACAAGATAACTATGTGTATGTTCATTGGGAAAGAAAACATTTGACCATTGAGCACGCACTCGTATGGTGTCCAGTGTGCCCTTGTGCTGTCATACTCTCCCTTTAATTTCCAACGACACTGATACATTTCGACACATGGCATTAATATAGAATAGATGATGGATATTTTCTGTGGACACTGTTGTCCACAGAAAGTCCACAGAATTATAGACGTCATGTCACGTATGTTAACCAAATAACAATGTTGATGAGATATCGTGTGTGAGGCTCGTAACAAATTCTATAGGGGAGCTCCCCTATAGAATTTGTTACGAGCCTCACACAAGCTTAATCCACCAGTGGCCGTAATAAATTGCTTACCCTGCTCTGAATGAAGTCGTAAGACCCTCGGACTTCCTCGTTGTAATAGTAGTAGGGCAGTGTGGTCCTCAGGTTCTCGTCCAGCATACCTGTCACCTGCGACCGGAGGCTGTACGCTGCAATAGCTGCTGCGATCTCCAGGACGAACACCAGACTGAGGATGACTGCAAACTGAAGAAAATAGAGATTTAATAATAATTTTCTTTGATTTTTGAAATCGATGTATGGTGCCTGGTGTATGGCTATATAATCGCTAAGTATTTATGTACCTAAACGGATACATTTCGAACGTCCGAACGATTTTATATTTTCCTTAAATAATATAACAAGGACATGCTTATTTGTGCGTGTATATTTTCCTAAACAAAGGTAGATGTCAGTTGTACCTCTAGTTATGAGTCTAATAAAACAAAGCAAAATCTTCGGCTTTATTGTCATAGCACTTCAAGCGAAACCCATGTCAGCTACATTGTTTAAAAAATAATCCGTAATATAATTTTAAACAATGACTGTAAAAAATCAATATCACACTTAAAATACATTATCTTAGCCATATTATGCCATCTAATCATAAAAATATATCAAGGCTAATCCAAATTTTTGTTTATATTTCTTATAGCGTTACGTATGGGTTTGTTTACGCAATCTCTGAAGCCTCTGCAATCTGCATAGTTGAGTTAGGCCTCTCATTATTCATAATTATGCATATGCAAAAAACCCTACCTTCCAAAAGACCCCATACTCTCTTTAATGAAAAAATTCTAATGAAGGTACTGCAACTTACAATATTGACCAAGCAGGTGCTCTCCTTCAGTGCGCCGATACATCCGAAGAGTGAGACGAACAGCATGATGATACCGATGGCGATGACGAAGCTGGCTGGAGAGAAGAACCTGTCTTCCAGGAAGAAGGACACATCGTGGTAGATTGCGTAGATGGTAGTACCCACGGAGATTATTAGCGCTGATGTTAGCTGGAAAATGAGAAGAGGACATTTAGGATTGACAAGAAGTAATTTCGTTATTTTCTATCTATTCAAGATTAAGATCGATGCATTGCGGAATGCCTAAAGTGTAGGTAAAACGTTTAGGACCTAGACCTTTGACTGTAGAAACGAGAAAAAATAAGAATACCGTTTTTTTTGGGGGAAAAGGGGAAAATCATTCAATGACTTTTTCCGCCCGGGTGAGGCAAGAGGGAGTGTCAGACTCTTACTGACTGTCTGATGGCTCCTTGCGATGGCGATGCGCCGTACGCTCAGGTCTGGTTCAGGTCGGGTGGCGAGTCACCCCTGCTCGCCGTCTGCAGGTCTGTGCTTACGTTGGCCGGAGATCGTCTCGCGATCCCCGACGCCCGGAGTGTCTCTCGCGACGGCTAGGGCGTGAGGAATTTCGTTACCTCACGCTCCGTCTCCTCCTTAGCTAGCATAACTGCTTCGCAGCAAGAGGAGACGGCATCCCAGTCCCCTTCGCTCCGTACCATGGTCTGAACCAGGGCCGGACGCGAGAGGTCGACGTCGCCGATCACATCCCTGAGGACACGGCGGTGCTAAGGGCACACCGCCACTGTATGCTCCAGCGTGTCCTCCGGGCGGTTCTCGCAGTGATAAATGAGAACACCTACGTCCACATTCCTTGCCTCTGAGTGTTGGAAATGGCCTATTCATGTACCTAAATGTGTATTCGTTGTTTTCTTGTTGTTTTAACAAGAGAACATTTTGGGTTTTTAAATAAATACTGTAACCATTTCAATAATATCATTTCAGCCAGTAACTAATATGACACACATAATAAATATGAAGGCTATAAAGCTATCTATTTTTTTCGAGAACAGGCTCGAAGTAAAGAAACGCAATACGCCGACATTCTGACAATTTGACCGACTCATACATAACAAACATACATTGACCAACCATTCATGATTCATAGATATCATGTGATAAGACTATAAGAGTTTCTTTATCATTCATTGGAAATATAGAATCATAACAACCTAGGTAAGTTGTCTGTATGGTGTGAGACACCCATGTTTAATAGTTGTATAATAATTTTATCGTGAAGGAATGGAGAAAGGACTACTGCTTTTTAGGTAGGTTAATATCTTACATAACATCACGCCTTTTATCCCCGTAGGGGTTAGGCAGAGGTACATATTACGCCATTTAATGCCACCGTACAATGTAACACCCACTTTTCACTATTTATGCTAAGAGTCCCATGTAATAAGTGGTGAGCCTATTACCATATACCGGGCACGATTCCAGACTCCGTGCTACCACTGAGAATTTTTTTTAACCCAGTATTACTTTCCCGACCCGGGACTGAGACCTATTAATATCTTCTAAACAATAATATCGAGTCAAGAACGTACAACGGATGTTTAAAACTATAGTGTATCTCCCTAGGACCTAATCACATTTAATTTCATAGCATACCTGTCTTAAAAAAACCTTTTTAAACCCAGTTATGGTCACATTTATGAAACATATGTGAAGTGCACATAGCTATAATTCATATAATTGGATTGAATAAATAATGCCGGCCAAGTGACCATAGACTTAACCTTGACATTTTAATGGTCGCTGAAAATCGATACATGGAGTCGTGACCAACCGCTGAATTTGGTGCAGAGGTCGGTATAATTGCACATTAAAATATTACAATAAAATGTTTGTTTTAATCTTTTTATATTTTAAGTACTTACTCTTTTTTTAACGGGGAAAAATCATCGAATGACTCCTCCCGCCTGGGTGAGGCGAGAGGGAGTGTCAGACTCTTACTGACTAAAAACCACCCCGTTCCTTCTCCTGCAAGTCGAGCCGGAGCCCCGGTAACCCGTTAGGTTCTCCGCGACATATTTTAAGTATAAGAAGTAGATTTTAAGGAAGCCGATGTCGATTAAGATTTCGTCCTTTATAGATATAGGTGGAATGTTATATTTTGATAGGATGGCGTACAGCCTACATCTCGCCTGGTTGTTATTATTAAAACCTATACGTTGTCTACATATTTCCTAGACAACTTATTCTCTATTCTCCTATTCTCTGATAGGAGACCATTAAATGAATGATTTCTAGATTTACTAACTACCTACTCTGTTTAAACGATTTACTAATTTGCTCGATCTAAACCAGGTATAAATAAACCTGTACTTCAAATATTCATTGTTAAGGTAATTTGTTGTTATTACTGAAAACTTTAGTCCAAAATTACTTTACATACAGACATAAATATTTAAAAAAATGTACAAGAACAAAACGTGACGCAAACAGCGAGCCAATGATAAATAGAAGTTTTTCTTTAAGTTAAACATTTAGTATTGTATTCGAAACGTGTCTACTAACAACAGAAACCATGCTATAGCTACTATATAGCAATTGTATTTCACTACTGATGACTTCAATACTCTACTAAACGACGCCACTCGAAATTGTCATACAAAAATGATCTTTAAAACGAACCTGTTAAAGATGATTATCGTATCGCAGCACAGATATTGTTTCACGTCCGCCTAGGTCGATATACATATCTATAAATAGTTGGAAATCAATTAAAGATAAACGGCGGGAAACAATAAGAGGATGACCTCGGCAGGCAGTTTTGTTGCTGGACAATTAAAATGTTAGCGAAGTATAATCTATGATCAATGGTCACATAGAAGGAAAAAAAAGTGTAATTTTGTCTATTCCAGTCCTTAAGACTTTGACTGCCAATAAAAAACTGTTGAAGGTAAATCCTACGCTAACGCCGGTCACCGGTGACCCCCATGGCGTTCAACGTGTTAATATAGTTTTTTGGGTTAGTATAAAATTAGTCCTTTTTCAGTTCTTCTGTCGAACGTAAACATAACACATAACATAACATCACGCCTTTTATCCCCAAAGGGGTAGGCAGAGGTGCACATTATACCACTGTATAAAGTAACACCCACTTTTCACTATTTATGTTATGAGTCCCATGTAATAGGGGGTGAGCCTTTTGCCATATACCGAGCACAATTCCAGACTCCGTGCTACTACTGAGAATATTAAAAAACTCAGTAATACTTTGCCCGAGCCGGGAATCGAACCTGAGACCCCTTGCCCGGCAATTCATCTACCATACATGTAACAAATCGCCTTTTCTTTTCATTTTCGTAAATAAAATATCATAGTGGAAAATGCTGGAAGCCAGTGTACAATTAGAGTCTTAAAGAAAAATGTACAGGCTGCGTTTAGCATCTATAAATAAATTGATATTTCTGTGTCCAGTCGATACAATTCTATAAGTTCATCATCAACAGTCTATAAATGCCCACTGCTGAGCAAAGCCTCTTCTCACACGGAGAAGGTTTGAGCATTAATCACCACGCTTGCTCAATGCGGGTTAGCGATTACAAACTTATAATTAGAAATTATAAGCCCAGGTTTCCTCACGATGTTTTCCTTCACCGTTTGTCAGTGTTGTCTAAATCTTAGAAAGTACATAATTATAACTCGGAAAAAGTCACATTGGTACATACTTGCCGTTGGTAGGTTTCGAACCCGCACCCTCATGCATGAGAAGCGGGCGTCTTAAACCTCCGGGCCACCGGGACACAATTCTATAAGTTACGAGTTGTTATTTTGTCAGTTTATCAATGTAGATATTAATATTTCCTATTTTTTGTTATTGTTGTCACAAATATATTATACAATTGGACATATATACGTTTTCCTAATAAATACTGAAACAGTGTAAACTATTTTGATGAAATCATCAAGCAAAATCATGCGCTCTCCGCTTCGTTAGTTTTTATAACTTATACCGCTATTTTAAAGTAAATATTTGAAGTGCATACATAACATATCAATCGAGACAGGTCGATAACATCTTCAGAATAGTGTCAAGATATATAAAAGTGGAACAGATCAGAATCCATATCAATAGGGATATCAATAATACTAAAATGTCCATTGTTCTTCCATCCTATCTTATCTTTCTTAATTTCTTATCTATCACAATATATTTGTAAGTAATAGAAATTACCCAAAAATATATTTCTGCGTCTTAGGCAAACAAATTGTCAATTAGGATAATGACAGGGTATGAAAATTAAAAATCTAATTAGTCCGTAAGTTAGGTAGGTAATTAAAAAATAATTTAGACATTATTATTTTTTATTTTGTCGTAAGTATAATAAAACAATACTTAGAGGTAGATAAAACGAATCAACGGAGAAGGAATGGGGACTAAAACGTCATTTCTAGGTATAAAATGTACATAGAAGTGACGTCACGGGAAATTTCAAATCAATATATCGCCGAAAGTATTCGTTTCTGTAAGAAAATAAAAAATAGGTGTCTAATGGTTTAAAATAATCTACCAGACGGACATTAAAATAAAATTTAGGCATCTACCCTATTAAGGAAGGATTAATCACACATTAGTAAAAAAAATTAGTGCACTTGGACTTATTGCAATGGGCACAAAACGACAGTGCTGGCGCTAGCTTTCTGTTTCATTCGTAAACATAATATTTTATGAACATTCTTCACTCCTATTTATTGCATGATCATTTATTACATCAATGTAATATATATATATCTCTCTCTCTATTTCTCTGTTCCTCTCTTTCTTTTATACAACTATGACCAAATTACCTCTTCGATATAAAACGTCAAATTATGCTCAAGAAGACAAATCGGAAGATATTAGATGTTGTCAAGAGGTCCCTAAAAAGATAAGAAAAAGAAGAAATGATACGGTGGATTTTTTATCACATCAACATCATCAGCAGGAGCCAGAAGACGTCTCCCGCTGAACAAAGGTTTCTCCTTAGACCTCAGCCATGTTTGCTTTTAAGGGGTGAAAATCGTCTAATGACTTCTCCCGCCTGGGTGAGGCGGAAGGGAGTGTCAGACTATTACTGACTAAAAACCACCCCATCCCCAGACCGATAACTAACGGGTTAACCAATCTAACGAGGTTCTCCGTGGCACCTCAGCCATATTAAACCGTCAAACACCAAGCGGTCACCGGTGACCGCGACCTATTGTTCTTTAATTGTGTCTATAAAACCGGTACTCGACGAGTTAAGGTATTGCATTTTCTAGAAATAATTTAATAGAATTTTCTAGAAATAAAATGCTATCATGAACAATGAACTATGACTAAATTACGTTCACGTTGAACGGTTGAAATATAGAAGAAAACAATATCGTATAGTGGTCATTGTTTTTATTGCACGGCCATTGAAATATAAGTAAACATGGTCCTTTGGTCGCAATAATAGGCGAGGAATTATTGTAAATACTTTCACGGATTCGCGACCTTTTATTTTTCAATGGTGTTGGCAAAAGTAAGTAGTTTTATGTTCACAGTATACCTATGCTAACAACTAACCGCTTTTGTTATAAGTAATATTATATAGTTTAACTTTTCCCAGTTACCTAAATCAGGCTCCATGCATAAAAGAGACTAACGAGCATGAAATTCCATGTAACCTTCTTGCATTCAAATTTTATGAACCATACATTTCTATCTAAGTATTACAATATAGTTTTTCACTCATATCAAACCCCGTTTCCAATAAAAAATTAAAAGATATATTACATAACCTGTCGAAACCTTTACCAATAAGTTGCTATCATGTCACACCATTATGTATAACCTATGTACATTATATATTATTAGTTACAGGGATTTACTTAATCCAGTAAGTGGATAGTAAACATTAGCCTGTTTGCGTGTGTTATTATGACGTCACAGCACACAAAACACTTATCGTGTATTGAAAGTTATTTTCTTGGCAGGAAATCGAAGAGATAGTACCTACCTACTTATAATGGTCTTTTCGTCCTTTGTAGATACAAAGACTACTTAATTACATGACTGAAAAATAAGGTAGGACCTTTCACTGAATCAAACTAAACTTTTTAAGTACTACTTAACTACTTAATAAATATTTAAATATTTATTAAGTAGTTCCCATAAGATTTTCAGGATTTTTTTCTATCATAAGAAGTTTCTCCTGCCAATACCAAACACAAAAAAATAATCAGCCAAATCCGTCCAGCCATTCTCAAGTTAAGGCGGGACAACGGGAAACGGGTTTCATTTTTATATATTTAAATTGTCTTTGAACTTTTGGCCGAAATAGTTGAGTTACCCTAAGGCTCGACGTGCAAGAGAAGGAACGGGGTGGTTTTTAGTCAGTAAGAGTCTGACACTTCCTCCCGCCTCACCCAGGCGAGAGCAGTCATTCGATGATTTTTCCCCCCTTAAAAAAACCCTGAGTTACACTATTTCATTTGACACTGACTGTACAACATTATTATGGTATATTCAATGTGAAATGAAAAACAGGTTGTATCATGGACTAATAATCACTTGTATCATAGAAATGGATACCTAATTACATTATTCAGTGTTAAACAATGTTCATCACTACAAACTGCCGGTTGGAAACAAAATCTTTTTAGAGAGAAACACTGACGCGGCGTTATTGCGGTGTCGCACTCACACCGTGAACTCAAGGTCATCAATTTGGAGGCCTCTAAACTCTTTAACGTCATTTCAAACTAGCGTTTTGCTCACGACTGCTCCTATGACATAGGTATGCTACAGTTTAAAATTTTAAACCATATGTAGTTATATACTGTTTATCTCTATAATGAATTTTACCACAAAAATAAATTGATTCTTTATTATGTCTATATACTATTAGACTGCCTCATTGACCGTGTGATGGAAAGTGCGACTGCCGGGCTTCGGCTACGATTCCCAGGTTGGATAAGCCTGGGTTTATAACAAAAATCTCAGTAGTAGCACGGCTGCACGGAGTCTGGAAATGTGCCCGGTATAAAGCAATAGGGTCACCCCCTATTACATGGGACTCATAACATAAAATAGTGAAAGTGGGTGTTACATTGTCAGTGGCATTAAGTGCCGTAATGTGCACCTCTGCCTACCCCTTCAGCTTCAGGGATAAAAATCATAAGGTTATGTTAGTATTGAATTATGGCATCTATGAATTTGACCCTTATCTGCATCTGTTTTGTATCTGAATTATGGAAAATGTTAACTGATCTAAATACGACATATATTTATGTAGTGATTTCTTTATGTCTACATTTAATTGTATACTTTTGAATACGTAGGTAATATAACACACTGTGGGTCTCATGTAAGATAATGTGAGCGTATTGCCATATTTGCCATACACCATTCATAATTTTAGACTCAGTCCGTATTAATATTGAGATCTATCATAAAATTGTACCTAATAAGTTTTGAATCTAAAACATTGGTGGTTTAAGTTCCATAAAGCAATTAAATATTAATTGTTAAATGACATTTTCATTCGAGAGACACACGTAGGTACCAATTCACGTTATCTTTGATGGTATTTGTCATCAATAGAGCGTTTGCACCTGATAACGATGAATTTCATCAAATTATGACTTAAACTTATGAAAATGACTCATTTAGCACATGTAACTTCTTTACTTTCCATTATTTGTAATATCTATAATGTTAACATTTAGTTTTTTGGATTTTCAGCTCTAAAAACTAAATAGAGGGACACTAAGGGATATGCAGTTGGGTTTTTTTTTAAGCGGAGAAAGTCATCGAATGACTGCTCCCGCCTGGTTGAGGCGGGAGTGTCAGACTCTTACTGACTAAAAACAACCCCGTTCCTTCTTCTGCGCTTTGAGCCGGAGCCCCGGTAACCCGTTAGGTTCTCCGCGACATGCGGTAGGGATAGGAAGGAATCCCATAAGGGATATACAGTGTCTATGTACCTTTATTTTGTTTACCTTTATTTTTCCTGTGTATTGTCTGTGTTGTGTACTTACCTACTTAGTTACATAAACTAATAAATAAATAAAATTGGAAATCTATTAAACAAATTTGAGTAAATCAATGTATAGTGGACGCCAAAATAAAGTAGACGCCTTATTTATAGAGAGGTAAGTAGAGATAACCCCATTTTAGTTGAATGGCTGTATGTGCAACAAAGAACTGCGTAGGTACGTAATATAGTTTTCGTGTCTCAGGATAGTTATATAACCTACATTTTCTGGAAGTCTGGTCTTAGGTATTTTTTTTAATTAAACTTGGCAACTAGAAATCATACTACATAACACCCTGACATCACTTGTTGTAACATAACCGGCGTACAGTCGACTGAATGGAGATTGTGGTGAAGTGATATTTAATATGTGCACGTGCATGCACCTCTGCTTACTCCACAAACGTAAGAAGATAATAATATTAGATATGTAAGTTTATAATTAATAAGACGTCATAAGAATCGTAGCCATTGACATTCCATGGGGGACAGGTCTGTCTACCCCCATGGGAGACAGGCGGGCGGTTATGTATGTATGTCATAATTAATGCCTACGAGCTACTAGTGTCGTTATAAGCTTGGCAACATGGCAGTTTACTACGACGTGCAATCGATATTCGAAATTCAAAAGATGCCTTAAAAATGTTGCCAGCCTTGCAGATAAGCCGCTTAAACGTATCGCTGGCAACATTGTATGCAGATACTTGACTTATCGCCTCTATTAGTAAAACAGGTAAGCACAGACGTTGATTAGCCTTCATCCTTATCATTTGCTGGCAATTTGTAACACATTAGTTATCATTGTTAAATTGTACATGCCTATTTGTTATAATTGATATATACTGAGATTAATTGTGCTTATTTAATAAGTAAATATGAAGAATGTAGATAGGTACTGTTTAGGTACAAGCTAAAGAAGAACTCCATCTAAAGATTTCTATTAATTTAATTCAGATATTAAAAATAAAAACATGAACATGTTTCGCTATTAAAATAAACACAAATAGACGATAAGTCAACAAAAACACGATCAATATGAATGTGACCCTTTATCGATATAAAAAAAAACAACACAGACTCAGGTATCTATGTACATACCTAATATCATCGACAACAAGAGTTGTCATCGGTAGGTAGATAACAAGACCTTGCGCATATAATATGGCGCAATTTACAAGCATAAAAAAAAACAAACCGCCATTTAAAAATAAAAATAAAACTCACCACAAATATAGCCGTTATACACAACAGCATATATTTAATGCACTTCATTCCAACTTCTAAATTGGTTTTCGTCATTTTGAACACAAAATCCACGAAACGAACTTTCCACAAGCGTTCTCGATACACAACTGAAATATTTTTCACTACGTTATCGTTTCTGAGTTTCTGATAAGGTAACACTCGCGCACTAAGGCTGCTTGTCGACTGTAGGCATTTAGCAGGAAAATACGACGTTTTTCTTTTAGCCAATTAGCTAGTACAGTTTAATATTATAGCATAGCACACGTCACGCGAGCAGCGGTGCTAAATATTATGTGAACAGTCGTCGCTATGTATTCATACTTTTTGGTATTGATTTGTACATAAAAGGTTCGTGTTGTATGCTGTGTGCTAAGCATAGTAGGTACTTATTTATCATATATTTTCATATATTCCGTGTTAGTTTTTATATAGATGGGTTCTAACATTCTATGTGAACGTTCTAGAATAGGTATTTGCTTTTAGAAAAAATCATAAGTATTTACTTTTTTAGATTTTTGAACAAACCCTTTTTAATTGCTTTCTTCATCTGGTAAATACATATAAAAAATATAATAACTTAGGTAATTATTGACTGCACAGTTAGCGCAATGGCTAGGTAACGGACTGAAGTGAAACATATTGTGAGGCATGTGGGTTCGATTTCTGTATGACTGAACGCAACAATTCTTCGAGAGGTATGGTCCACGACACAGAAAAAAAATCCTTGTGTGAGGCAATGATTTGTTGAAATAATAGGTACCTACACCTATTCCTAGATCGGTCTGGGCTCTGCTGTCGGTAGCATGTTGCATTTACCTCTATAATAGAGGTGAGTAGCCCTCACACAAATTTTAAGTAAGCAGATAGGTAAGTAGGTAAACCGACCGGAGACCGGCTGAAAGTAGAAGTCGGAACGGGGTGATTCTTAGTCAGGGAGAGTCTGACACTCCCTTCTACCTTACCTCACCCAGTGCGGGGGGAGTATTTAATGATGTTGAATATAAAATAAAACAAATAAATTCGAGATAAAATATACGTTTATTCAAACACGTAGCTTAAACCTTAAACATTTAGTTATTGTCTCACTTTTAGAACATTCAGAACATTCTGGAATGATTGGTAACTGCAATAATAAAACAATATGACTTTCAAACAACCACAAATTCGTTTTCTAAATTACATAATATTATAATAGGTACATAATTATAATTAAATAAAACAAAACAATAATAAACACTAAACAACATTTAACAAATATTTGTAAAAACAACTATGTAAATTATTATGAATTCATAAGTAATACAAAATTAATAATTCTATAGCTGCCACAGATTAACAATCATGTAGCCTGGCCATAATCAACCTGCGACCCACCAGGCCTTTTTGATTGGCCCGCAATATTCCTATGCTCCGTTTTATTTTGAATTTCGCACCTATAAGAGAACGTGTGATTCAGGAGTTAACCCTTTGAGTACCGTCATTATAGACACAATTAAAATAGATTGCGGTCACCGGTGTCCCGCGGTGTTTGACAGTTTAAAAGACAAAAACCTAGGTAAGAAATTACTTGTCATTTTTTTTTTAAATGAATAGGTACATTTTACAGACGTCAAAAAAAGGAGGAGGTACTATGTTCGGATGTTTTTTTTGTTTTGACCTTTGATTTACATTTTATTTATGACCTAATCATTTCTCAGTTACACCCTAGAATCTCATGACTGAACCGTTTTTTGGCCCTAAGTCAAATCAAAAACAGGTTGAGTATGGCTGATGTAACCAAATCACAATGAGCAATGGCACAAAAATACTAAAATAACAATGTATAACTTTATCTAACAATACAAAAACAAGCAAAATATTAAAATTACTTCATACAATATTTATTAAATTGTACAATTTTCTTGTACATAAATGCAACACTTGAACTACCAGTTTTAATTGGCTTTGAGTATCCTTGATATGTATGTAACAACTTTCTACATTTTTTTTGGTTTAATTTTGATTCTTAGCCTAATTTGATGTAATTTTTCTTCTATTATAGACACAATATACTAATGTAATGTTTATTTATATTATTTTTTTCTTATTTTCAAAGTTCCAGCAAATTCAAGTGACTTAATCAAAACCAGACTAAAGAAACTTGATTTACTGGAAAATATGTTAACTTGATATTGTGATATTTTCATTATTCCAGGTCCGACATCAGAGTATACTTAATCTCAGTGTACTCTTCAGCACCATGCATACTGCCCTCTCGACCAATTCCTGACTCTTTAATGCCACCAAATGGTGCTTCAGCAGTAGACAGTAAGCCGTCATTGATAGCAACCATCCCAAATTCCAGATCCCTTGACATTCTAAATGCTTGTCCGAGATCTTTAGTAAAGACATATGCAGCCAGACCACTGTTTGTGTTGTTAGCAATTTCTAAAGCTTCCTTCTCACTCTTTATCTTCACGATAGTTGCAATTGGCCCAAAGACTTCTTCATTAAAGACTTTCATGTCGGGTGTAACATTATCTATAAGTGTTGATTGAAAGTACTTTGTACCAAGATCGGCTGCAATCTTGCCGCCAGTCAAAACTCTCGCCCCTTTTTGTGTTGCATCTGCTACAAACCCAGCAACCTTGTTTACCTGCTCTGCATTAACAAGAGGCCCACATGTGACTCCTTCTTTTGTCCCCGGTCCTAATATGCAATGAGTTTGAATGCGTTCTTTGAAACCTTCAATAAATTGGTCATAAACATCTTCATGTATTAGGAATCTATTAGCACCAACACATGCTTGCCCGTTGTTCCTGAATTTAGCAAGCATTGCTTGATCCAAAGCACGGTTCATGTCAGCACTCGGAAAGACAATAAAAGGAGCATTTCCTCCTAATTCAAGAGACACCCTTTTAATTCCTTTTGCTGCAAGTCCATACAGTAATTTGCCAACATGAGTAGATCCAGTGAATGAAATGCATCTCACACGAGAATCCTCACACATCTGTTTCCCAACATCTGCAGCATTTTTCCTGCTGCAGGTGACAACATTTATCACTCCCTTTGGTACTCCAGCTTTTTCTGCCAGCTCAACAGCTGCTAATGCAGATAGAGGTGTGTCTTCAGCAGGTTTGATTACACAAGTGCATCCAGCAGCCATCAAAGCTCCAACTTTTCTGGTGATCATAGCAAAAGGAAAGTTCCATGGAGTAATAACGGATACAACACCAAGTGGTTGTCTGGAAGCCAATATACGTTTGTTGGGCCATGGACCAGATAAAATCTCTCCATTGATATGACGAGCACAATCAGCAAACCACTCCAAAAAGGAATTGCCATAGGCTACTTCACCTTTAGCTTCTGATAATGGTTTTCCACTTTCAGCAGTTACAATGGCGGCTAGATCATCAGTGTGTGCTTCGACCACTTCATACCACTTCCTAATTATCTTGGAGCGTTCTTTTGCTGAATAGGACTTCCAGGTCTGGAAAGCGTCAGATGCTGCGTCGAGAGCTTTTTTAGCATCCGGAGCTGTCATATCCGGCACTGATGCTAGTACAGAATCATCGGCAGGGTTGAGCACACTGAATTCTTGCCCACTTGCTGCAGCCACCCATTTGCCCTCAACATACGCTTTATTTCTTAATAAATGCATATTTCTATGTAACGGTCTGTAGGCTATTAAAGTTCTCCGAAAACTGAAGCGAATTAACTCCATTGCCAACAATAACAATGAGTATTTATGTGATAATGTTATCTAATTTACACCTTATCGCTGACCTCGCTATGAAAAACACTTTACAACTATATTACTAGTAAGTCTTGTTTATGGAAGACTCTGTTAGGAACTTTGAATCTAATTCTCACGTAATTTACTGCTTTTATTCTATTTGACACATCGCTTCCAGTTTCTCATTCCATTCCATTCACGTCGTCCGAAGTTTTGATTGAAATATTGAATTGACTTTGACGTTTGGTTGAATCTGACATTTGCGTTATGTTACATGCATCGGTTCCAAACAAACTGTAAAACAAGAGCAGAGAAAAGAAAAAGACTCTAAAACAAAACCAAAAATAAACGACTTTTGCATTCAATTACATAAATAAAACAGTAAAAACATAAAATAAGTGACATAAAATGAGTAATCATTAGGGTCGGATAAAATTATCCTAAATCGCCCGCGAAATTTAAATTTTTAGTAATGTACAGCCCGATATCTGATGATGAAACATAATACATTTGTGATAATAATAAGTACGTATTTACCTACATATTAAGTACTTGATAAAACCACATAAAACCATCAACATAACTCTGCAATATATAGGTGTCAAATGTATCATGTTGTACAGATTTGTGACCAAGTGTGACAGCTAGGTATCGTGTAAATAAAGGATACCGCGGGTACATGTGATTAAATAAACATTTGGTTTTTAGATACTTTTATTTCTCATTGACAATACAACAACAAACTTATTAATTTATAATATAAGCAACAATAATAGAATAATTTAATTTTATAGGATAGGAATGAAATGTTTACGGTGCGTGGCAAAAACTTATAGACTCCTACGATGTAAGATAAAATGTGGATAATGGACATTGAATACATCCGTTTTAATTTCATAAAAATACAGGAAAGATATTTCATAATAATATTTCTATGGTTGGTTCCTAATATGGCAAAATTATAATTCAAAATTATCTCGGAAAACCCATGTTACGCTAAATCGATTCAATATCATTTGGTATTAACGCCATCTGGTTTAGTATTGATGTACTTTTCTTCAGGTATTATTTTTATTTTAGGTTGGAACTGGTGGCACTTGTAACAAGACCTTTATTACTGTACGTACACACAAAATCTGTTAACTAATTATTATCAAAGATTTTGACTATGAAATAAAGACTATATAGAACGGTTACCTAATTTCATAAATAAATTTAATTTGCGTCGAAGTTATTTGTCTTAATTATAGGACATTCTAATTTCTGTACTTTATTTAATATTTAATAGACTTTTTTATTTATACAATATTTTTTACAATGGCAACAGAATACTGATAAGTAAGGTATGTACACGAACGATTTACAACAAGGAACGATTTAAATTAATTAATGAAATGTTGGCACTTAGCACCTACATAGTATCTAATGTACAAAAGTAAATAAGTACGTTTTTACATAAGTAGGATATTTTATTGTATGTAACTTAAATGACGTAAAACCTTAACAATTAATTCTACAAATGCCTCGTTATTTATGTAGCTTTAAAATTTGATAAATAAATAAATAATTATAATTACAAATCTTAAATACTTCTTTGTAAATGAATGTACAGAAATGCGCGCTTAACTTCAATGATTATAAATAGGTAGTATTTTGTTCAATAAATATGTGGATGGTATTATTTTTATTTTTTCACAACACTTCTTTGACTTCAATAAGAACAAACAACAGCACATCAAATTACCCTACTTGTAACTAAAAAAATACAAATGTATAAGCGACAAAATAAATATCGTGAGACATACTAAATTAACTATAAATCGCGGGTCACTCACGTGAATATACTGAGAAAAGCTGTACTAGTTTCGAACCACAGAGGGGTTCTTCCTTATAAGCAGTGTGCGCGGTCGCAGCGATGTCGCACAGCCTACTGGCTAGCGTTGGCGCTCGCGTCGGTGTTGCTACTTTCGCTTGTCTTTATTTTTGATGACATAAAACTATTGAGTACTTAAAATCAAGAAGGTACAAACTCAGTTAATAGAAGTAGTATCTAGTCTTAGCAGAAGTACGGCAGACAGGGGTTGGGCCTACGGCCTGCGGGGTAAGACCTACGGCGTAGCCCGGTCGTAGCCGTAGGCCGGTCGTAGACCCTCAGCGATACGATTCTGAAGAATTCGGGTTAATTTGATGTGCTGTGCATGTACATAATGTTACTTATTATAATAAAATGTATTACAGGCTAAACTTAAGGGTAGGCACCGCGTTCATCTCTAGATATTTTTGCCATCCACACCGCACCTGCTACCGCCAATGCCTGAAAACATAATGATAGCATGTAGGTACCTACATATGAAGCACCTCAACAGGGCATACAGGACAGAACAAATACAAATTCCGACTTTAACTGAAACTTATCAAAAATTTAATATTTCTTCTCATCGGTTCTTTAGATTAGACCAACTATCTAACTCTTTGTTTTCTTAGAGCAGTCGTTTTCTATCATTGACCACTAAGGCTCGACTGAGGTCTCGGTCTCGGTCTCGGCATTCTCGGCCACAAATCCAGCCGAGAAATTATAACCGAAATCCTCGGCCACGGCCGAGATTGTAACTTCGTTCATATTGGCATTAAATTTTTCAGCATTGCACTTAATCAGCGGTTTTCAGATGCACTTAATCAGTGGTTATCATTTGTTAAAAGTTGTTTGCCACTAGTTACTGCAACATTATTCGATCCATGCTTTAAAACCAAATATTTAACTGAAAGCGAGGTTAACTCAGCGAAACTTCTATCGATCAAACTTATGTGGTCACTGGTGTGTGACATTGGTACTTGCCGTTGGTTGGTTTCGAACCCGCACCCTCATGCATGAGAAGCGGACGTCTTAAACCTCCGGGCCACCACGATACTCAGTTTGTGGCCAAGCGTCATCTTAATTAATATAAGTTTTTCTTAAATTCAAAAAAGTATTTTGCCCATTACTAACCTGCATGAAAACTAAGAATATCCCAGCTACGCCAATAGCGGCAGCATGAGACCGAACCCAACTACCGAAGGAGTCAGAGCAGCCAGTAGTGTAGGCTGACTGCATGCCAATGTTACAGTTGAGGACAGCCACGATGCCATAGTTCTGACTGCAGCAGCTGACTGGCAAGCCGTGTGTCTCAGTTGTACCCAGAGGGATCAACCATTGGCTGGCATTGAGGACGCCACAGCACTGGAACTGGAAGGTTAAATTATTTAGATTATTATTGTGACATTATCTTCTTCTTACTCTGCCGGGTCTGGGAATAAAAGTCGTGATTAATTAAGGCAAATAAATGAAAGATCCTTTTACACTTGCGGTTCCGGATTCAAGACAAATATTAAAGCGTCGTGGGTGACCGTGGTTTGTGTTTTATTAAGGGTGTGACAAACCTAGATGACCAAAGAAAAAAGTAAGAGTAATCCTAATCCAAATTAACTATGAAGTCGGTTAAAAATCGCGGGTTACTCAAGTGAATATACTGAGAAAAGTTCTACTAGAGAGTTACGTCAGTGAGATGCGTGATATCGCCGCGACCGTACACGCTGCTCATGAGGAAGAACCCCTCTGTGGTTCGAAACTAGTAGAGCTTTTCTCAGTGTATTCACGTCAGTAATTCGCGGTTTTAGATAATTTAGTATGTCTCACGACAGTTATTATAAAAAAACCTAATCTACTTTATTAGCCTATCCTTTATTGCGAGGAGAAATCATCTAATGACTTCTCTCGCCTTCAGTAAGGCGAGAAGGAGTGTCGAACTCTTGACTTGAACTGACTAAAAACCACCCTGTTCTTACTCCTACTTCGAGCACCGGTACCGGTTACCGGTAAATAGCCCCTGTAGGGTCTTACCCTATTTTTATATTGCTATTTGTAGTAGTGTCTATAGCTTCAGTCATCAACAGCCTGTTTACCTCCACTGCTGGACATAAGCCTCTCCAATGGCTCGCCACGGAGCTCGATCTTTCAGGTCTACGCATCCAACCACTACCAGCCACTTTACGTATATCGTCACTCCACCAAGCTGGAGGGCGCCTTACACTATGTTTGCTTTCAGCTTCAGTATGTATCAGTTGTTACTTACATCTTGTTGCACCGTGTCCCACAGCTTAGTGACTTCAATGCTCTTGTTGAGACCGTACCTGTCCATGGTCTCCAGCAGTTTGTGCTGCACCAGGGACACGGCGTTGCCCTTCAGCGCATACCCAGCGATGCAGGCAGACAGTTGGAAGATGAACATCAGGATCATAGCACCCGCGAACTGGAATATTATCGAATTAAGTCATTATTATTGGATTATCTCATTGTTTAATGATAATTTTGACACGGCACTTTATGCGTACCTACTATTTAGCTTTGAATTTAGCTTTGTTCTAAAGATCATATCAACTACTAGTTATTAAAACTATATTTTGTAGATAATTAATAACACAACGAATCTCTTAATTTTCTTTTAATTGCTTCAAATGTCAAATTAAATAATAAGTCGATCGAAATTTATTATTGAGGAATGCCTTTGGTAGCAAAATAGTTTAAAATTATGTACATATTTAGCCAATATGAAGATTTTAAGTATCAACTATCTATATTTTCTACTTATCCATTAGACAAAACGATGAGATTATAATTATGTATGTCAAAAATAACAGCCGAAACCAGCACAATCACTAGAAACAAAAGAATTAAGTTCACTTAAAAACTATATCATTCTTATCTATTTTTAAGTAACGGCGTAGCCATACCAGTGCCGTAACGCATCGCTACACAAATACCATTGACAATGGTAGGTGTGTTGCGAGAAATATCTAAAAGTTGACTGTTTTAAAAACTCATTTACAGCCTCATTATTAACTCCACAATCAACTGGACAATTATCTGGCAGTGGAGTAGAAAACATTAATTTGTCTCCTCCTCAACTCATTTCAGAAAATCATATCGGAAAATTTCTATTGACATTTTGTAAAACTTGAATGGCTAATTTCTGAACTTGTCATCAAATTAAGGTTCATAAGATTCCATCAGATTGATTTTATCAGTTTGGCAGTGGCCTTTTGGCAGACAAATGCTAGATTTTCATTGGATATTAATTAATTTCGCTTATCTTTATTCTCAATATACTCTAAATTCTAATAATAATTGAATATGCAAAAGGTACTTGAAAATGATAAGAGTTTCGCGAAACTGGCACAAAGGAAACAATAAGGTACTAGGTACTTACGTTGAGATAAGTCTATGAATCATCAAATTTTCTGAATACGTAATACCTAACTTCTAGAGGTATATTAAACTGAGAACGCCTGATGTCTACATACATACACATTTCTTTAATTTCCGAATGACTACCTATGCAGCGTTATGCTTAATCTATCTAACACCACTACCACTTTAATACCTAATGTTGCAAGTCCCAAAGTTGTAGTCCCAGCTGACCATGACCTACTGATCTTTTTTTTATTAAGTTTTAAACATCGATGTAGATGATTCGCACAAACATCAGCTGTAGACTCAGACTACCTAATTAAGCGACATTTCGACACGATACGTATCATCATATTACTCGTATCTAATTGGTATTATAACGTTGGGGACTAAAAAACCTAATTCAGCACACTTGTACAATCGCAAGATCATGAACATTTATATTTTATCTCGCTATTATATTATTCTACTAGGTACAGCTGCAGCCACTATCAAAAAAATACCATCTGTTTTATTTAAATGATGATTCATCGATGCAAAAATATTATTGGTAAGCGCTATCGGTTACTGTAGGTAATGTAAGAAATGAGTTTTTCAGGTGAAGTGTGTGATGAAATGTAATTTTGCAAAGAAGCGTGGTCAAACGTTGTTTATTCTGTTAATCGATTGAAAAAGTTATGGAAAATATATATGAAGTGGGTGACACATGACTTTTTTTTGAGGGGGAAAATCATCGAATATCTTCTCCCGCCTGGGTGAGGCGGAAGGGAGTGTCAGACTCTTACTGACTAAAACACACCCCGTTCCTTCTCCTGCACTTCGAGCAGGAGCCCCGGTAACCCGTTAGGTTCTCCGCGACTCCGAATCGGCATCAGCCGTATTGGGCCCCATCCGTGGTGGTCTGATGGCTCTTTGAGGCGCGCGCTTGACACACATGACTACGTGTAACATTCACTTGGCGCCAATTTATATAAATATGTACCTATTACTTAATCCTTCGTATAGCACAAGGCTATTAGCATATCAGGCTACAGACTCCTTAAAAATTCTTAAAGATTTTTTACATTCATTCGAAGTTCAATTTGTCTTATCCTGGATTCAATATTAATGAGATTCCCTAAACTAAATTCAGTCATTCTGCGAGCAAACCTGTGGCAGTAGATATGCCGATATTATGACTAATTTATGTATTTTTTGACAAAAAAAAATAAAAATTCATGGTATTTCATACACTTTAGGGTAATGTAAATAGTCTTATCAGTCCTTCTAATTTAGTGTTCCTCGTATTTGATTCTAAAAACTAAACAACCAACTGCGTTATTTGCTTTAATTATCTCGAGAGATTAAGTAGCTGTGTTATAATTTATCACTACTGACATTTCTGTAAGACGTTCCTCCTCATCTCAAATATAGGGCACTACGAACAAAAGGTAAACATCGAGCTAATTTTGTCTCCCAGGCCGAACTAGCATCAACAACGGACATTTTATGACAAACACGTTATATACCGACAAATAATGATGTAATTATCTCATGAACATCGTTGCCATCACGATAATTGTGTTTACTTTCAAGCAGTGACGTAGCCTCCCAGAATATTAACATTTCAATGATAATGGAGCCTCTAGAACAGAACAATTCATGTTGACATTAGTATCAACATGATTTATGACCTAAATCTGTACGCAGCTACCAGTTTCTTGCAAATATAATCATGAAACACAATCAACATCAACACGGAACATTTCCGTGATATTTTCAACGGGGGATCAATTAATACCGTCAATTATCAGACGTGAATCATGAAATTACAAATCAGAGTGCAGACGATGAGATAACAGGTTTCCACGGCCATCGAATGTTGTATAGATAGTAGGCAGGTAGGTACACTTACCGTCATGATCACTATGTAGTTCTCCATGTACGCTCCATAGAATCCGAGGAATGCGACCAGGAAGATGATGATCCCAGTCGCAATGCAGAAAGCTGGTAGAGAGAAGAACCTCTCCGATAGGAACTGATGGTAACCATTGTAAGCTGACTGTACGGACGCGCCGACCGATAGAATTATAATACCAGTGATCTGTAAATATCACAAGCACTAATAATATCGAACTGTTCTACATAAGTTACTGAAACACACACTGTTAAATACTTACCACAAATATGAAATTCACAATCACTAATAAATATTTGACCGTAGTAAACAGTTTCGACCACATTTTGTTACGATATATTCAAATAGTTACGTGGATGTTCGCGTGACAACTTCTCTTCGCTAGTTTTTAACTTGGTACAGATATTTTTATCACTATAGGTAGGGACATTAATCTTGATAAGGAAAATAAACGGATTTATCTCATCTGAGACGAACGAACGTCGCGGCGTTCACTCAGGCACGATGTATCAAACTGAATTACGGCGTACGGTTTCAGTTTAAAAACTTATTGAGAATTATTCTTTAACGTTTACGATTATTGTGTTTATTTTTAGACACTTTTTGAATACTGTATTTGTTATTTTTGTATAGATAAATAAACTGCGGTACTTGGTACCGGTGTGTACAATAGGTTCGCTGATAATTTAATAATGATAATAACAAATATGCTAATTTTAAACCGGCTCTAAGGTGTGTGCACTTTAACGGTTACGTTGCCACTTACTGATACGATAAGAAACACATACAGCATTTTACAATTTACTTTACCTACGTCATACACTGAACATTTTATTCTTGCTATGTAGGCGGGAAATGGCTTTTCCTTCGGCGGTAGACAGAAAGATAACGAATGGAATGCAGGAATTTAATTAAAAATTGATGCTTAAGCTACCGTCTCATTTACACGCATAGATCAATGGAGTGCGCAGAGATAATGGTATTTTTACGTAATTACACATACGTATTAGACATAACGCCTATTATCCCCGAAAGGGGAGGCATAGGTGCACATTACGGTACTTAATGCCACACAGGGCCGCGCCGCCCCTGTGTGCGAAATGTGCGGCGCACACAGGCGCCAAGACAATAGGGGCGCCGTGTCGCGCCACCACCTCTACTTGAATTATTTTTGTTACCTTAATTATTATATTTTTGGTAGTAGAGTATCGATAAGTAAGTAGGTACAATAGGCGCAACATAGGCCTTGTATACAACAAAACTTATATTACGCTTATTAAACAAGTCTCTCAATATTTATGTTTATTATTAATCACGTTTATGGTTTCATTTTACACTTAGGGTTTTAGTTTACATTGCTTACTTACGAGTTACAAGATCAACGTTAAAACGGCGGCAGATCTTTTGAACCACAGATAAAGTAGGTACCTACTAGTTATATTGAATCATAAAGGCGCCGACTTTGTATGAGTAAGTATGAGTGAGTTTGTGAACGCAACCCGATGCGATGCGTGCGAGGCTATAGGAGTAGGGTCACAGGGATTCCCCGATTTTAACGAACGAGAGAGTCAAGCTAAAACGAAACAATTGAACAATCATTTGATTGAAAGTGTGTGTAAGGTGTGCATTGAACTTTTTACTGACTTTAAAAAAAGGAGGAGGTACGTATGTTCGGCTGATTGTTTTTTTTTTCAGTACTCCGCCATATGTGAACCGATTTCGAAAATTCTTGTTTTGTTTGAAAGGGTATACTCCCGAGATGGTCCCATTTCCATGAGGTCAGGATCTGATGATGGGACCCAAGGGAAACCAAGGGGAACTTTTGAAAATTCTATGGGCGAGTACTGCGTCTATTTTGTTTTTCAATTACGATTTTTAAACACTACAATTTGATAAGGGTCTGGATTTGACCTGATGATGGAGCCGACAGACAGTCGAGGGAACTCCTCAGCGGTTTATATTAACTACCTTGTGTTTGTACTAAATTAATCAAGCCCAAGCATAGGGTAGTTAATAAAAACAGCTGAGGAGTTCTCTCGATTGTCTGTCGGCTCCATCATCAGGTCGACTCCAGACCGTTATCAAATTGTAGTGTTTAAAAATCGTAATTGAAAAACATAATAGACTCATTACTCGCCCCTAAAATTTTCGAAAGTTCTCCTCGGTTCCTCTCGGTTTCCCTAGGATCCCATCATCAGATTCTGACCAATCAGCCATCAGATTCTGACGGAAATGGGACCATTTCGAGAGTATACCCTTTTAAACAAAATAAGATTTTTGGAAATCGGTGTACAAATGGCGGAGTAATGTGCGAACAAACAAAAAAAATCAATCAGCCGAACATAGCACCTCCTGCTTTTTTTAAGTCGGTAAAAAAGAGGCGCTCCATCGATTCCGCACACAGGCGCTGCCGGGGGTCGGCGCGGCCCTGATGCCACAATACAGTGTCACACCCACTTTTCATTATTTATGTTTAGAGTCCCATGTAATAGGGGGTGAGCCTATTGCCATATACCGGGCACATTTCCAGACTCCGTGCTAACACTGAGATTTTTAAATAAACCAGTACCTAACATTTGACCGACCCGGGAATCGAACCCGAGACCCCTTGCTCGGCAGTCACACTTGCGACCACTCGGCCAATGAGGCAAAGGCAGAAAATTACTATATTTTTTTTATTTACGACATTTAACTAATCAAATATGTATCTGAATGGGTAAGTAGTTCCAATATCTACCTTATTCTGATGAAGAAAGAGATTTTAGTTAGTAACTTGCCTTTGCCCAAGATAGGTTATTTTGTTGCTTTTCTCAATATCTGTCCCCTAATTTTCCGTTGAATTTGCCATGTTTTAAATATCAGACAAACCTTGTCCCGACAATAACAAAAACATCAAAAAAGGAAGTATCCAATTTGATGCAGTCATTCGTGAATTATTTTGTGTACATTAATCACATTTTGTTGATCTATATTTTTATAGATTAGTCATATAATCATGTTTATTATACATCTCTATATTCTCTATTAGACGTCTTCGCTTGTCTATTAAAAAAAAACAAATAAAACAACAACACCGTTTTTCATTATTTTATTAATAAGGCACTTACTTAAATAAATACTAAGCTGATAAAGTATTGCACAATGTTACGTTAAACGGTAATTATTATAATTATAATGATAATTAAAACATAGACTTAGATGCTGACTTGTAATAAAAATGTAAAATTGTAGATTGTCATTGTATGTATAGTTATATTTATAGTTATTATACAGTATACATATACAGTCCTTTGCAAGATAACTAGGGACTTAATTTTAACAAAAACATATATTTTTTTTAAATCGGTTAAAATTACATTAACATTTACCTACACATCGAGTAGCTAAGTATGAAAAGTATTTCAATACAATACAAAGGTATCTACTGTACAATCAATCTATTGTTTGAAATCACAATGAAATATGTACCGAAAACGATCACAGAAATGCAATTGGGTCCTTATAAAGTATTTCACTCATTAGACCAATTCCAATTTGTCTCGAATATTTTAAATTATAACTACATATAATTAGCTGTCGTAAGAAGGCACTGTATAAACAATAAACGTAGCTCTTAAAATCTAATCCTTACTTAAATTAGCTAACTTAATTAAGACTCCAACTCGACAACTTCAAACTTCGATCTGTAAGCCAAGTAGCCGCCCATCAGTGAAAGCAGTACCTGAAAATAAGGAATTTACTTCATTTACCAAATCTTGAAATATGTAACTTTACTAGGTTTTCACTGCTGAAGGCAAATCCTCCGCTAACGTAGGTGGGCGACCCCCATTGCATTTAATGCGTTCATATTAAAAACATTACTTAACATGAAAGATAGTAGGTTAGAAGGACCATTAGGTTATTGCTAAACGGATGATTAAGTATGGGAGAGCCATGCTTCAGCATGAATGGGCCGGCTCGTCCACAGCGGTACCACGGCATCACAAAAGATCGACGTGAAACAACGCTCAAATTCCTAATCCCAAAAGGCCGGTAATGCACTTGTAACGCGTCGGTATGTATGACGGTAACGGTCTTCCAGGTGTCCATCCATGGGCGACGCCGATTGCTTACCATCAGGTGATCCGTCTGCACGTTTACGGGCTTATCCCATAAAAATGGCTCATGAATATGAGCCTCAAATCATTACATGAGTAAGCCGCAAAATATATTAAACTGTCAAACACCAAGCGGTCACCGGTGACCGCGACCTATTGTTCTTTAATTGTGTCTATAAAACCGGTACTCGACGAGTTAATTAAAAACTATATTCTATTATTTAGGACAAATTATATTACAAATACGAGATAACATAAATTGCATCTGTGGCTTTCTTTCAGCAGTTTTAGAGTGAACATAGCGTATGGTCACGTCTTAGCTTCATGGAGTAACGATGGGCGAGGGGCTGAAGATGGAGCTCATGTGGCATGGTATTAAAGAAGCTTATGAGGGAAAAGAGCTGATGGTGATGATAATGCATCTGTAAAAATAAGCGTAATCCCTAAAGGTTGACTACGCCATAACAAATCAAATGTGATAAGAAGTGACGCTATATGATGATTTCATAAAAAAGTTGTAATACCTATAATTATCTGTATACATATACAGTAGCTTAATTTATTTGACGTCATGAAAACCTGTAAGATAATTTTTGCCGTCATTCTTTAACAATATTATTCTGACGTCACTGAAGTTATTGCTTGTGTTTCCGAAAATTGTTACCGATTTTTAAATTGTTCCATGCATAAGTATGAGTCGCTGAATTTTTTACAATACTACAACAAGCCGTAGTAGGTAGATGTAGTTAGATAGGTAATAGTTATTTGAAACTGAGCACTGATACCGTTCTACGGCGAAGCTGTTTGAATGATCATTCTTAATTAATTCAATTGACACGACTTAGGTGGGCATCTACAATGTGAATTCATGAGTTTCGTGACGCATCTAGCTATAATTCATCCATTTGTTCAGAATACCTAGATTAATTTATATGTACCTATGATGCTAGTCAACGTATAAACTATTGTTTCGTGTGTAGTCTATAAAAGTAGGTATACTTAAATGTTCAACGCTGTGTTACTGAATGAAATCGAATCTAAAATTCTTAATATTCTTGACACAATATTAATAGTCTTTAATCGCTGAAACTGTCTGGCGAATTGCAGAATTTGGAGCCAGTGGCCCAGTTCACCCAGTTGGTATCTATCTATGAGTATATTGGAGTAACATTAATATTTTCTTTATTCTTCCCACTACATTACACTACACGACAGTGTCTTTCGACGACATCATATCACATAATAGGTATGTACGTGAACTTACATGTTTGTAAACGCACGTACGACAGAGCAGAAGATCCTAGAGTGGGGCATTATTAAAAAAAAAAAAAGAAAAACAAATTTAATTTTTACGTCCATTACTCATCACACTACTTAAGAAAGAAACGTAATAAGTTACTAACATTACTGACCTGCACACAACAGAGTACGACAGCAGTTACAGCTATGACATTAGTCTTGAAGGACAACCATTCTGCGAGAGGAACCGCACAACCATCCGAGTACGCATTGCTTCCACATTCGAAGGGAGATATTGTGCCGTACTCTATGTAGCAGCATGAGATTGGGGTCTGAGTTAACTGGTAGTCTCCTGGTCCTCCGACGCCGCAGCATTTGAACTGAAACCAAAATAATTAACCTGAATGTTCTCTCGTGGGAATGGGAGAGCCATGCTTCGGTACTTTTGGCACCAAGGGGTCGTTTCGACGACAGGAATATCACAGCATCACAGAAACTGGCTTGAAAACAAACTTGCGTTTTGTTGCACTGTATGAATGGAGTTACCCCATACCCCAATTTTTTTTTTTGGGATCGCTGCCATTGCAGCGGTAAGTCCCCTCTTTGAGGAGTGGCTTGAGAGACGCTACGGCGTCCTCACCTACCGCCTGACGCAGGTCCTCACCGGACATGGAAGTTTCGGGAGGTACCTGTGTCTGATGGGGCGGGAGGAAACGCCCGGGTGTCATCACTGCGAGGACCGCCCTGAGGACACGGTGGAACACACAGTGGGAGAATGCCCTGCGTGGGCTGAGCACCGCCGTGCCCTCAGGGAAGTGATCGGCGATGGCGACCTCTCGCGTCCGGGCCTAGTGCAGGCCATGATGCGGAGCGAGGGGGACTGGGATGCCGTCTCCTCCTTTTGCGAAGCAGTCATGCTAGCTAAGGAGGAGGCGGGACGCGTGAGGCAGCGAAGCGCTGCCTCCTCGCAACCCAGCCATCGCGAAGGACACACCGGGCGTCGGGGATCGCGGGACGATCTCCGGCCACCGTAAGCGCGGGCCTGCGGACGGCGAGCATGGGTGGCTCCCCGTCCGACCAGAAACAGACCCGAGCGTACGGCGCGTCGCGTTCCGCGCGCGCCTCAAAGAGCCATCAGACCACCACAGATGGGGCCCAATAGGGCCGATGCCGATTCGGAGTCGCGGAGAACCTAACGGGTAACCGGGGCTCCGGCTCGACGTGCAGGAGAAGGAACGGGGTGGTTTTTAGTCAGTAAGAGTCTGACACTCCCTTCCGCCTCACCCAGGCGGGATAAGTCATCCGATGATTTTCCCCCCTTAAAAAAAAAAAAAAAAAAAACCCCAATTTTTAAAAGATCGTAATTGCTCTTGTAACTCCTCGGGCATTACTGGTGTCGATAGGGGATTGCTTATCAACAGGTGATACGTCTGCTCGTTCGCAGCTCTATGCATTAAAAGAAAATATAGGTACTACTTACATCCATTTGAAGATTATCCCAAAGCATATTGACGTTGATATTTGTTCCATACGTCAATCGGGACTGAGCCATTACCGGTCGGATTTCACTCAGCACGTGTTTCGTGAGGTTGAAGGCAGTGATAATCATGGAGACTTCGAAGATCAGGACCACCAGGAGTAACACCACATACTGTAAGATGGACTGGACTCATAATATTGAGGGTACATGCTGCAGTCAACCATATCTGACTTTATTTACTCAATGAAATTGTTAAAATAAAAGTTCAGCATTATACGAGAGATTACTAAAATAAAAACTTTGAATTTTGCAAACTGCTATTAAATACTTTACCCAGTAATTGAACCCAGACCCAGGTCATAAATACATTGAAAACAGATCATTAATCATCAGATCACGTGATACAAAGTTATTTAGATAAATTGATAATAATTACCCCAGCAACGAAGTAAAACTTTTGCGATATAGCGCTGTAGAATCCGAGCGCTGATCCCAGAATAATGATGACGCCGGTAGATATCACAAAGCTTGGTACATTGAAGAACCTTTGAGTGACAAGTGGTTCATACTGGGAGAATGACACCAATGCTGTTATACCCACGATGATCAGCACGAAACCTGTCAGCTGGAAACAAATATCTTAATTCATTATTATCATCATCACACATGAAGGTCACTATTGGCTTTCTTCTTATGGAGATTTACAGGACCAACGACCTCCAACACGTCTATTAAGCATGGAGATTATGAGGGGAGGTCCATATTTCAGCTGTGGGCTATGGAGTCTATAGATTTGATTATGTGATAGACCAATTAAACCAACAAGGTAACGTACAAAAATATCAACTAAAGAAAACAAATGGATAACTTCAAAACAAAGACTAAAACGTATTATAATGAATGAACAGGTACCTAGATACATAATGACTTAGAATACCTTCCTAATCACTTTTTTTTATTCATAACCCGTCATTTGAATTAATCGACCTTGTATGCATCTTACCTACGGTACCGGTACCTACGGTTACGTATGATGTAGTAACTAGAATATTTTACACAAACACAATATTTGAATGTGGAGAACAAAATAAAACAGGGTTGCCATTGCAGAAAAACACATAAAACGTCTGAGGTAGGTACCCACTTTTGTTTGTTACATATTTGTTTTCGGATCTATCTAAGTTAGAATAATGAACTTTAGTAAGTGCAAACATAAGGAAAAAGTTTTCACAAACAAACAAGTTTGCGATTTTAAACTGCTTTCTCAACGATTTTTTTATTGGCAGCATTGTTTGTCTATCACTGGCTCTGGAGCCAGTAGTACTTAGCAACTTTAAAAAAAAAATAACTTTTTCCCTGTTTTGATCCCCGAGTAAAACAAATACCTAGGTTCCTAATCGTGGTTATATGCCTATCTTCAGTTACATTATCACAAGACAACCAAAACCAGTCCTCTAAATAAGATAAAACACCTAGGTATAGTTATGTATCTTCGCGGAAAATTGACAATGACAGAATTCGAGGTCAACCCATCAAGATTTGAACTCACTCACCAAAAACACTCCATTTACAGCCGCTAACGAATATTTCACAGACTTCAAAACTTTGGGAACTTCAAAATCGAAATTGAAAGTCATTTTTACGAACTTGAAAACTTTATAAAACCTGAACACATGTAGACATCAACCGAATCGGATAAGTATACTAAAAAATGAGATGCATTATCAATCATACACTAGCCAATATCATTGTTATCTTGACATATTCATCTTATCTCCGAAAATAGAAACTGTAAGTGTCAATATTCGAGGTATAATACATGTTATGGGGCAAAGAGATTAGGTGAACAACACTCTATGTGTCATTGGGCGTAGCCAAGATTACGATCAGGGTGAAACGAAACTTCGTAAAGCAATGACTACGAAGTAGGTAATTACATATACTTTTTTTTAAGGGGGGAAAATCATCGAATGACTGCTCCCGCCTGAGTGAGGCGGGAGGGAGTGTTAGACTCTTATTGACTAAAAACCACCCCGTTCCTTCTCCTGCACGTCGAGCCGGAGCTCCAGTAACCCGTTGAGTTCTCCGCGACTCCGAATCAATTACATATACTCAGATCCTTTGTAAAAGGCTGGCGCACCTGTGACACTGACTCCTCTGGTGTTGAGGGTGTCCATGGGCGACGCTGATCGCTTACCATCAGGGGATCCGTCTGCTCGTTTGCCTCATATTTCATAAAAAAAAACCTAGGTACCTTACCTTTTCCCTATAGGCATTGGCTAAGCCGCATGAACCATTTACTGCATTTAACGATATTTACTTTTTTTGTCCAATTGAACTTGGGATACGAAAATCTGGGTTTGATTAAGCCAGATTGACTCGGTTTTTAGTTAGAGATCGCTTTTAGTTCTGTACCTCTCATGTACCTAATCTTTATCAAGAATACATATTCCTGTTTTATATTCTTGTTCTTTCGATTTTACATAACAACTGACTCCGTCCGTTATTGGATTAGTAGCAAAACCTCTTTTTCTTACAAAAAAGTTTGGTATAATTTTTTTAAGGATTTACTACAACAGTGACTAGTAAAACTACTGGTCTAACAACAGAATAGTGAATATAAATAACGAGCGCCTGACATATAACACATCGCAAAGGCTACTTTTGCCCTTTGTTGCTACTTTATTTAACACTGCAATGCACTTATTAACACAATTCCTTTACTTAAAATTGATAATCGATTTATTAGAAGTTGTTGTATCAATAAAATATGTACCACACAATATTCACAAAAATGCTCTAAAAGCGATTCATTTTCATTTATTCACTTATTCAAAATGCCATCACTCGATACATTATCCACGTTTATGCTGGTAGAAAAAAATTAAGTTGTTTAATTAATTAATTATTGATCAATATTAAGTAACTATTTCATATAATATTTCTAATCGATCACTAAATAAATAAAAAATCGATCATTAATCGAATGAATATTTTTTACTATGGCAGGTCGTGTGACTTTTCGTTTTCGTCTTCGTAATTTTAGCAGGTTGGCAACACAGACATTCGCTATTCTCGGCGTAATCGGACGTCGATCGCGTTGTATTGTTTTATCGCTCAAGATAAATTTTGGCGGTAAGCTTTGTTTTTATATTTTCGGTCTATAAATAAACGAGAAGTGTTATAACAGCTATTTATAAAAATCAACAAAGTATACGAAAAGATTGCGTTATGAGTGCGACCCACCTGTCCCGTGAAGTGACAACAAAAACTCAATCGATGTTTACCTTGCGCGACCGTATCGAGAGAAAGGAATTGAAATAAGTGTCTTTTGTTGCAGGTCTATTTTTTTAAAACTAGATTAGAAGACAAGATTTTAAAATGGCTATCGGTGCAGGAATGTCTTGTGTGAAATATCTGCTGTTTTGCTTCAATCTTTTGTTCGCGGTAAGCATTTTTCTCTTGAAGGCTGTATCTGAGCCCGTGTTGTTCACCTTCGATTTTTTTGAAGTTAAACGCTTGGCCTACGTTGTGCTGCAATGATAATGAATTTAATGATACACCTTACTGTTACAATACAGTTATTATACAGTAGTTTTACGAAATGTATGAAAATATGTTGTGCGAAATCTAACACGCATTTTACAATGTACCCTCACACCGTTATGTTATGATGACTCATTGCGTTGAGATTTACTTATTGCACAACTTTATTTATTTTACGAAATAATAAAATATATCCTACTTACTACATAAAATTCTAAATCAATTTATCACTTAAATAATAAATACCTACCAATTAGATCTTGAACTACCCTTTTAAGAAAATGTTAGTGTATAATAACAATAAATGTGTGACTTGAAAGCCACAGCATTTTATTTTTCAGATAACATTTTAACACATAAACAAAATAAAAAGTTATTTTTAAAAGATTAACAATGAGTAAGCCAATGCCAGCTGCTAAAAAAACCAATGTTCTACATTTAAAATAACCAACTTTATTTTTTTATTATGCCCATAAATATTTTTCTGAGCTGCCAGTGCTACAATTACTATTTTTTTTCTAGATCACGGGTCTTATAATCCTGATTGTTGGCATCAAATCAGAGATTAATTCTTCTCCGTACATCAACCTGACTGATGAGAACTTCTACACATCAGGACCCATTGTCCTGATCATAGTTGGAGTGATTGTGTTCATTGTTGCCTTCTTCGGATGCTGTGGTGCAGTCAAGGAAAATCACTGTATGATAGTCACTGTAAGTACATTCATACTTTTTTATAACAATATACCTCTTTTTGTGATGTTTTTTTTATCTATGGTTCGGAGGTATGAAACCTTTTTTGAGATCTTGTGAGTCAGTTTCTCTGAGAAGTTAATACATTGCATACATTGATAAAGCTTTTTGAACTTTGTTATTATTGATTTATCATGTGAATTAATTGTCTTTCACCCATAATATTAATAGATTTCATTGCACCAAATAACTTTTTGTAAAGGTTTAACTATGGTTCTTAAAATGTGACTGAAATGCCAGATGGTAATTAATATAGGTAGAAGTTAATTGCCCGATGGAACTCGCTTAAGTCCCAAAGGTTTTGTACAAACAAAGAAATGCTGATTTTTTCTTAATTAAATCTGGAATTTATGTAGATGTAAGCTCTGTACATACAAATATAGGCGTAAAATGACGTCGCAGGAAATCCGGTGATTAACATTAGCGACAATCACGTCACAATATAACTTCAGATTTAACATGAACAATAAAATATATTATTCATAAACTATTGATAATATTAAATAACTACAACTTGACTAGACTAAATTTTATGCATAATAATTATGTACCCAAATTAAATCATAGTTATGTATTGCATACCTATTACAAATAGTATACTGTAATGGTTTTAAACTGAACTTTATCTTGGACAAATAATCACGTGAGTTGCTCCAAAAAAAGAATATTTTGAGAATCCACGCACCCTCAAAAACCCTCTATACCAAATAACAAAATTCTGCATCCATTCACCTAATCACGGACAACAGAAACCCTTTAAATAATTTACACGACACTACAAAATACACCATCCCTTAAAAATTCCACCATGAGTTCCAAATATCGATCGAGCGGTACCACCGCACCTATTGTTCTGCCAATACCATTAGCGGAACGAAAGGCGTGAAGGACAGCTCATAGGCAGATATGAGCTGACTTCCTACTTGTGCAACCGGATTCCGTATTATACAACGTTTTCTCTGTGTCTCGATTCTCGATTACTTGTAATCGATACTATCCTTGAACTATGCTAGTTTGTTCACGAATGATCATTTAGATCTTAGTCGTTATTTGAAATTTTAAGTTTAGAATAGTAGTCATCTCCCTTATGGCCAGTATTAAGAACTTCATTGTCGGTTGACCATAGATTTAGCAACCATAGAGCAGATATAAAACTCTTATGCCCCTTACAAAAAGTATCTTAACTTTCTACACGCTATTTTCAATATTTTGTGCTATTGAAAATGATATTTTTGACAAATACTGTAACGGAATAGAATACTAAGAAGGTAGTCGCTAAAAAAATACTCAAAACCACATTACACAAAGGACAAGTACTTGTTCTTTATCTCTTTCATCTAAATAAAACTCCTTATAACATTTTTCTCTATTTCAAAGACGCGTCACAAGTTCACTTGGTAAAAGTCCTAGAACCAACAACCATACCGAATATAGAATTGTGTTGAAGTTACTTAAAATTCAAATCGTGACGGCACTCACTTAGCTTGATACATACATTAAGCTACATATAATGTGTACATACTTCAAGTTAATGTACTTAGGCACTTCTCAAACGACGCTATGCTAGCCCGCATTTCTTTACAAGATACATTATCACAACGAATATCGATCTTCACCTGTGTTTTTTACGTATAAAAACGCCAGAATGTTAATATACTTTAAAAATAAACTGAGAAAGGAATGTGTTTGTTAATCTTATAATTAATAGTTTCTTAGTAATAGCTTGGTGTCTGGAATCTAGAATTTTGTTTAGCGTAACGTAGTTCATGCTTCCTTTATTCCTCTGCCTATCTCTTCGCCCTTACAAAGTAAACTAACAAAAACTATAAGTAATATTATGTACTTATCAAGTTTTGGGTCCGAGGTTCGACACCTACCAACGGCAAGTACCAATGTGACATTTCCGAGTTATATGTAATTTCTAAGATTATTCAGACAAACGGGAAGGAAAACATCGTGAGGAAACCTGAGCTTATAATTTCTAATTGTAAGTTTAAAATCGCCTACTCGCATTGAGTAAGCGTGGTTATTAATGCTCAAACCTTCTCCGTGTGAGAAGAGGCTTTGCTCAGCTGTGGGCGTTTATAGGCTGTTGATGATAATGATGATGATGATTAAAGAACAGTGCACATTAGGATTTTCTCTTGCCTGTAAATAGTTATGATAGCATAAATACGTTAACAATACTTTTTATAAACTTACATTTATTATTATCAAAACCAAAATTGTGAATCCAGAATAGCAATAAGTTAGTGGACCAGGCTTTTTTTTAAGGGGGGAAAATTATCGAATGACTGCTCCCGCCTGGGTGAGGCGGGAGGGAGTGTCAGACTCTTACTGACTTAAAACCGCCCTGTTCCATCTTCTGCACGTCGAGCCGGAGCCCCGGTTACCCGTTAGGTTCTCCACGACTAGTGGACCAGGCTAATAGTGCTATTTAATATTGACCAACTGATTACTAATGATCACGAGGTTAAAATGTGCAATGTCTCGAATGAGTAATTCAGAACCGCAATAAAGGTACATAACAACATACATAGGTACTACTTTCGTAGTTAGTCAACAGAATATAACGCGTACAGTGACTCTAAAATATATGTTTATTTAGTAACCTAATTGCTTCTTTAATTGAACACATAACATCACGCCTTTTATCCTCGAAGGGGTAGGCTGAGGTGCACATTATGCCAATGTAACACCCACTTTTCACTATTTACGTTATGAATCCCATGTAATAGGGGGTGAGTCTATTGCCGTATACCGGGCACAATTCCAGATTCCGTGCTACTACTGAGATTTTTTAAATCCAGTAATACTTTGCCCGATCCGGGAATCGAACCCGAGACCCCTTACCAAATTACCAATATACCCAACCTAGTCTTAATAAACGAGCGTTTTAATTGACTTTTAATTATATCTCTATAACCGATTAATTTCACATCTTAAAGTATGTTACGTTTCTATCGCCTTTGTCAACAACTTGTTATTACGATATCAAAGTTATTTGTAAATAAAATATTGATATTTGATTACTTAGAATTGATACGTAAAATGAAATAGTCAAAACAAGTTCAACATACTGAGAAACATGAGATGATTCATTAAACGTTCATACCAATTATTTTGAGGGCAATGTCAAAACATTATAATAAAGTGATTGACGTTACTCATCTGTATGCTTATTAACAATCATACACTAATTTACTATATCTCCTACTTATATTATAAATGCGAAAATTTATAAGTTTGTCTGTTGCTTAATCACGTCAAAACACGCTGAAGGGATCGGATAAAATCCGGAACATGGGTAGATTATGGTCTGGGTAGGAAGATAACACATAAGAAACTCACGGGAACCCAGGAAAAGCCGCTGACAGGAGCTAGTCTCCTATAAATTCTCATCTCTAAGTATTTACGTAGTCGCGGAGAATCTAACGGGTTACCGGGACTCTGGCTCGAAGCGCAGGAGTAGGAACGGGGTGGTTTTTAGTCAGTAAGAGTCTGACACTCCCTCCCAGAAGAAATTCGATGATTTTCCCCCCTTAAAAAAGAGTATTTACGTAGCACCAAATTAACATGTCTACGAATTTAGGTCCCTAGAGCAACTAAACAGCTAAACTGCCGAACAATTTGCTCGTTTAGCAAACATTCACAACACAATGTGTTACAAATTGCATTTTTATTACATAACCTAACCAGTGACTGGTTGCCATCATATGACTGCAGCGTAAAAACGACAACTTGTATAGACTACTGGAAACTGTGGGCGTAACTTTGACGCGGTAATTTCTAGAAATATGTACATACCTATCTAGCATTATTGTAAATAAAAACTACAGGTAATAAAGATGCATACAAATGGCAATGGTTACTCGTCTTATATTAGGTTCAGCTGTGCAACTTAACTAATTTTCCTTGCGTCTACGCTTGCTAACTTTTCAAAAGATTAGCTAGTTTAAACTAATTAGATACGCTCTTCAGCTTTATTATGTTTGAACAAATGTTACCTAAAGGTTTTACGATATTGTGCCAGATATTTGTGACGTGTCTTCTCTGCATGTGTCTTCTCATGTCCTATTGTTAAATACATAATAGTTACGCTCGTGCATGACCCAGATAAAAAGTACCAATCGTGGTTGCTCTGTATGCCATCTTTATTCGATTTGGTTCATAACCATTGCGTGCAAGATGAATAAATAATGAATCAATCACCATTCATTATTAAGGTATTGGAATCGTAATATTCCAACGTCCACAGATGACACAAACAATAACAGTACCGTACTAAAGTACAAATATTAATTTGTAATGCGGCAGCCCTGTGTCCGCGGTCAATTGGCCAAGATGAAGTCAACCTGCGACCTTTGACACAACTGTCGTCTCATCCAGTTAAATGGCCACATCCTTTTCTACTTAAGCAACCAGCTATTATACCTCTGTTCCTAATAGACCAAGATTTTTCAACTAAATCGTGTAGGTTGAGTGTTAGACGAGTAAACAGAGAGGTCATCACCCCAAAATAATGGCTGATCTATTAATAATACACTTTGTTTAATAGCCAATGATTTTAGTGTCTTTACTCATTAATGACTGTATTGCCGGAGTAGTTTTAAGTGTTAAAATGTCTTGATAAATAAGGATTTTTGCTTCCGAAGTTCTGTTTTATATTGAGACCTAAAATTATAGTGTGATAAAACTAGTAAAAAAACTTATTAACATCTAGAATCAAGCATAGAAACAGTACGTTATATGTACCATAATGTAACTAAATAGCTATAGATAGTTCATGGAAATGATTGCAAGCTGGGTTTAATTGCGCAGACCAGCGGATGTTATTAGCTAATTCATCATATCAGTGGCGAAGCGAACTGGCGATGTACTGATTTGTTGAACTACGCTCCGGCTCCGCTTGTGGTTTCAATCGGAAGTTATAAACTGGCTCCACTGTAGAACTGTCCAAC